ATATTAATATCATGAGAAATGTATAGTGGCCGCGCAGGTGCCTATTTAAGTAAGTTCACTATAATTTGCTCTATAACTTTTTTCAGCAAATTTGGTTATTTAAAAGGTTGAAATATAGTAAAAGGATCTTAAAAAACATTAAAGAAAGAATGAACAAGAAAGTTGCTCTCTAAGGCGAAGTATTAAGTAATTTATATTAATAGTTTATTTAAAAACATATTCTTAGGATCTAAACAGCCGATTACCGTTATAATCACAGAATAACTAATTTTGGATTTAATATAATATAATAAGAACTTTGAATAAAGAAAATAAAATGAATAACAAAAGTTGATCTTATACATATTAATCATACATCTAAATCACAATCTCCTTATTAAGAGCCTAATAATATTTTTTCTGTTATTTAACTTTTCGTCCTATGTATTTTAACATTATTCTAATAAAGAGCTTAAAATAATCTTCATCCTCAATTTAAAAGCGTCATCAGATTTCACAACATTTCTTATAAACTCTTAGGATATATTCATTATAAGAAGTTCAGGATATTCGAAATTCTAAGTTTATGGTAGATCATACAATTTTAATCCAAATTTAAATTATAGCTGAATTAATTCTTATTGAAAATATTGGTTGTAGTTTTAAAAGTAAAAATTATTTAAGAAGTCTTTAAATATATCATCAAAGTATGGATTATTGATATGATTATTTATTACTTATTTAATTATTTATATAAAAGATTCTGTGTAATTAAACCTTTCAAATATTATATTTAAGGCATTTTTTTTTTCTTCCAATGGTTATTACTGTGCATTAAAAATTTTTTATAATACGACCTCGAGTACTAGACTAGCAGAGTTACCATATGAGAATTTTTCAATATTCTGAACAAAGTTCATAACTAAAATTAAAAGATTCCATACTTTTCCTAAAATTGTTTGTAGAAAGTATAATTCCTTTCAATTTAGAATTATAAATATCTAAAAATTCCTACTCAAACTCAGCATCTGTAATTACATTTGTGATTTCCTCAAAAAAATATAAGATTTCATTTTCAAATGTCATCTCATTTGGAATGTCTTTAAGAATGGTCTTGATTAACTAAAATTTACTTTTCTAAATTTAAATAAAATAATATAGTACTTATATTTCATATTCTGATCTAAGTTTATCCTTTTCTTTACTTTCAAAATACAAATATAAAAAGTAGGTCAAATGCAAATCATATTTGAGTAAACAATTAATAATGTATACATTTTATGATGTTAATACGATTTCTCCGAATAATTACATCAGATTATTATTCTCTTCTTCAATAGAGAATTTTAATTATTTTAGAATCTTTGTCATGTCTAAAGGTTTAATTCTATAATCACAAAACTAAACATATAGCATAACAAAAGAGATCCAATCAGATTTAGATAGTTCTAGAATCGATTCTACATCACCTGATAAAATTTTATTGATTTTATTTAAAGTAGCATCATCGTATTGCTTTAAATTTTCTTTTACTCGTCTAAAACTTTCTTCTTATTACATTGAATCACTTTTTGGAAAAAAATTGTGTTTTTTAATTGCTTCAAAAGCATTGCGGGATAAATTTTATTCAAACTTAGAGATACATTCATGAACTTATCCATTTCTTAATAAATCAAGAGCCTATTTTGAATTGCAATCTTTAAGTTGTTATACCCATTGTTTAAATCTATGTCCCAAAAATTCTTAATTATTTTACCAAATTTTAATCAAAAACAAAATTAAATAACGATCATTTTATGCATTCAATCTACAAGATGCCATCATATCTTCAAAATATTATTCATCAAACTAATTTTTATGTATTTTTGCTATTTCGATTAGATGAAGTAAACTTTAATTCATAATTTTAAACAATAATAAAAATTATTAAAAATTAATTAAGAAAGTCTTTCTAAATTTTTGGTTAAATTTATATAAATATCATTCTGGATCTATTATTAGTATGTATTCTGCTATTTTTATGACTCTCCTTCTACACAGAGCCACACTCTAAGATTAGATCCCAGATTTACTTAGTCTCATCCAAGTTCTATTTCACTCTAAAATAATACCCACTAGATGTTTTTTAATCCTCTATACTGACACCCTCACTAGTAAATTCTAACAAAGCATGATCGAATGCCATGGTTTAATCCCCAAAGGTTTATGATCCTATCATTTTTGATTTCCCAATCTGTAAAGTAAATTAGACTGATCCCATTTGAGATGCTAAGACAATATGACATTCTAAACAATTAAAATATGGTTTTACGTGGACCATTTTGCTGAAGACTTTATATAACTACTTCAGTAGCTCCCATTTAGATGATATATCCTTACACTATTTATGTTTTTGTCTCTAATAGAATGAATGTTCCTATTAAGCTCCCTCTATCTTATAAGTAAAACTATTTTTCTTTAAAAGTGAGCTAAACTATAAAATTAGATTACCCAAACATGAGTTCTACTTACAGATTCATGATCTAACTAAATGTCATTTTCTGGATTTCTTCCTATTGTAGCATTTTTAGTAATTAACTTGTTTATGGTTGCTAAACCTTCTTTTTTTATTTTAATGTTTAATTAATTATTTTTTTATGTATTTGGTGATTAAATTAAATGTTATTATTGTTATTGTTATTGTTATTGTTATTATTATTGTTATAATTCTTATTGTTATTAATTATTTTACTGAATTTCCTCTGAGTCTTTCTTTTCTTATCTATCAAATCTAGGAGTACCAAATTAAGGTAGATGATAATTAGATTCTTGTAATTGTTATTTTTTCTGAGGACTCAATAAAATTGGCTTTTAAATTTGTTAAATTTATAATTCAGCAAATATGTTCTATTATTTAAATGAAAACTCACTTTTTTATTGCTTTATTACACTTATCTTGCTAAGTCTTCCTCTGTTATTTTCGATTGAGATTTTGGTGCAGGCAAGATGAATTACTGTTTTTGTCTCCTTCCTGGTGATGGAAGTGGCTCTATCGGGATCTACCCCATGGTTGTTTTCTCATCTATTTCGATGTCATATTCATGTCTGGATTATAATATTCTATCTTGAATGATTTTCAAAAGTAACCTATCTTATTGTGGTATTTCCACCCTTGGCGATGGAATTTATTGAACTTCCATGAAATTTTGAACTACTTGAGGAGTAACTTCGCTTCTTGTATGGGATTTACAATAATTTGTAAATTCTTTCAATCCAATTTGAATCCCTATATGCAATTTAAGAAAACTCTTACATTGCAAAAGTTTCTTCCTTTATAATGGAGATGAGATTCCTATATCTAATAGATCTTAATCTGTTAAGATTTCCAAACATGAACCATCGACACATTCATTTACTATGTTCTTATTTATATTCTTACCAAAATAAGTATCTAATTAACTATATCCGATATATTTTAACCAGACTAGAACTTCTTAGGTTGTCCATTTTTTAGGGGGCTTAGGTAATATGCGAAATAAATCATCATAATCCATTGATCGTTAAAATACAAAAAATTGAATATAATTATTACATAATATATATAAATTAATAAAAGTAATAAAGTTTGATAAAACAAATAATGTTTCAAATAAGTAACTATTCTTCAAGAAGTTAAGTTAACTAATTTACTAAATTGGGGTCTAGTTTATTATCTTTGATAAACTTCTCTGCTAATTTTCTTGGTTGATCTCCAGGGTAAATTGCTATTTTTTTGGTCGTATTATTCTCTAAGGCTACATTGATATACATTATTGGCTATTAAATTAATTTGCTTATTTCTTCTTGATAAAGTTATTGTTCAATATTTTTTCTTTTCTTTTAATAACAAGTTCCTTAAGAAATGATTATTTGATTCAATTATTTTTCGACTCTCCCTTTCACCATTCTTTTGATAGCTTCTCTTTATTCAGGTAATGGAATCAAATCATTCATTGAGGATAACTGGGATTTATTTAAGTTTGGTTGGAATGTAGGAGTTTCTTCCTTTTTTGGTGAAAGCACTTTCTTTTTATTCAAATGATATCTGGGACTAGTTTAAGTTGAATTAATTTTGGGTGAAAAAGGACATTGCTATTTGATATTAGTGTCAATTTCCTATTTTAACTACTCCTTCTTCATTTGATAATAGTGATCATAGTCATTCAAATTGATTGGTTTAGTTTCTGTTATCTGTGATTGTACTCTTGCTCTATATTTATTAGCTAATTCATTAGTTTAAGAGTTAGATTTATTTTGTGATTGAAATTATTAATTCTGATCTTGTTCCTATAATTTTTTGTTCTGTTTCTTATATGCTAAATAATTTAAATATAATTGATTAAACTGTTTGGATATTGTTTCTTAATTCTAAATTATCACATTCCCATCTTCAAATTCGACCAGATCATTTTTATATTGTCTTGGAAATTAAATACTATAATTATTATTGTATTTAGGTAACAATTAGAAATCCACATGAAACCCTTACATAGCTAATAAGAATGTTAATAAATTTCTAGACAATATGAGGTCTAAATCATCAGGACATTATAGCACTCTGAATATTCTGAAAACAATGTTGTCTTGATTTGTATGATCGTAAGTTTAATATGGAGCAAATCCAAGATTATCTAATGTTATTGCTAGTTCATCTATTGTCAATAAACACAGATCATTTTCTATTTCAAATTTAAAGTCAATTTTATTTAGATTCTCATCTAAATGATCCAAAGTCCAAATTCTGGCATTAGTTATACTTTCATAGAATTGTTTGACAAAATGTCTAACTAAATGTTTTTCTGATCGTTATGTTTAAGTCGCAGTTTTTGGAGATGCAACCAAAATCTCTTGGTAATTAAACTTAAATTTCTTTGGTTAAAAGGCTTCTTCGTAAAGTCTATTGCTAACAGCCTCCACTCTTTCAGGAGTATGCCTTTAAGAAGTCCTTGTTGATTGGGGTTGTAACTGAAAAGACTGGGGAGTTTGACGACATTCTTTTTATTTTGATAGCCTATCCCATACATTTTATGGATTGTTCTCCTTATTACTTTTCCTGCTAGATTGTTTGATTTCTTTGGTTTAGGGGAGGAATGTCTATGTTTAAAATGATTTTGGTGACATATAACGAGGAGATGAACCAAAATAGGATCCAATTTACTTACTCTTATTACTGATTGATGGTTAGAATGAACATTATTATAATTCTAACTATTAATAATTCACCTTCAATAATTCTTTCTTTTGTTGCAGTTCATTGTATTCTTCATTTAATCTTAAATGGATATTTGTTCTCCATTTAAGATGTTTTTGTTCTGGTTTACTTGTTTCAGCTTTGCGAATCAATTCTTCATACAGATCCTAATGTTTGAAAAGCTATGGTTTGAAGGATGAATGAGATTGAACAGTTTCCATTAAGTTTTAGTTCGTGTATAACGGATACTTGTATTCATCGATTGATTAATCTGTCAGGGGATTTATGGGTATATCACCTTTTGGTAATTATTTCATTGAATCGTTAATAATTTTATAATCGGAAATTTTATTAATAAAAATAAATAATTGAAAATCTTACAAATCAATAGACATTGCTTCGATTGGCATAATATTACTCAGAATTCTCATTCTAAGAATGATCTTGTTATTTATCTTGCTTATCTTATTGTTTTTTAGAAGTATTTTCTAAATTACTAAATTTAAGAAGTTTATATTCATATACTTACTTAAATTAAAATTTACTTTTGATCTATATATGATAATTTTAATCTTTTTATATAGATACTTAGTATTATGAAATATGTATCTATGAATAATATACAATTTTCTGGAAAATTACTTTTATTACATGAGATCCATTATCACAAAAGAGATTGGTTTTCAGTAAATTCATTCGGTAATAAACCTAAAATGATCTTCATTTTAACAGTTCAAAAATAATATAGCTTAATTCTGTATTAGAATAAAATAGAACTTAATATATATGAGAATAAGGCCTAAATTTTGAGGAAAATGTATTAAAAGGGTTTTAGTTTGAATTTACAAAATTAGAATATTTCTATTAAAATTAAGATATAAGATAGAGAGGAGAAATCAGATGTTAGGAACAATCTTTAGAATATTTGGGGAACATATAAGAAACATAAAAGTGAATGACTCACAACCAAGAGACACCAATAAAAACAATAATTTATGTTCTTAGTAATCTAGCAAGAGAATGTATGATTATTTCTATATGAGTATAATTTGATTACATTGATAAATAAAATTTTTGTTTAATGAATAAGCCTCTTTTGGATGACAAGAGTTCTATGGAATTTAGCATTAGAGAAAGTGCAAGAAATAAATCCCAAATCCTGTATGACATTCCGCCAATAGCTTAAATTTAACTTTTTGATGTTAGTCAGGATTTTGATCCTCTATTCGAGAATTACATTCCTTAGTAAATGCTGTCTAAAGAAATCTAAATGTTCAAAGCGGAACCAAGAATGAGCTATTGCTCTAGAATTTTAAATGCCATTCCTGTATTTCAGCCGGAATCAAGTGGATTATTGCTTTGGCAACTAGTTGTCGTAATCATAATTTTCACTTACCTATTCTATATTCCTTTTAAGGTATTCAAATATTGATATTTTAGATAGCTTTCACTGATGAGGCAGACGGTCTGAATCCAAATGACACTACTGGAGTGAAGTCTTATTTAATCTTCTCTATTATAATGCTGGGTGCTGACTTGCTGGTTAGCTTTAATTCGGGTATAAAAAAGCAAGGAGAGGTAATATTGGATCGTAGAGTGATAGCAGAAAAGTATGTTATTTGGGTATTGCATGTAGAATGATATAAATCTTAGGAATTCGAATTAGATTTGATTGGAGTAATATCATTAATGTTGTCATTGCTGCTTAAAAATGACTATATTCGTATTCTATTCTACTTGCGATCGTATTACGTGATAAGATTTAGTGAGAAGATTGATCATTCTTTGCAATTAAGAAGCAGTAATTATGCAAATGTTATTGTAGATTGGAAGGCAGCTTATACAGTATTAAAATTGATCATCGTTGTTCTATTTGTCAATCACTTAATGGCTTGCTTTTTCTTTGGTGTTTCTTATAAGGAATTTTAGAGAGACGAGGCAGGAACATCCAATCTTCCAACTTGGATTGAATACAATGGTTATGTTGAGAATGACTAGACCATTCAACAGTTGTCATATTGGTCGAGGTATGTAGTTTCCTTTTATTGGGCTACCACAACTGTATCCACGGTTGGCTATGGTGATATCACACCTAAGAATGATTATGAAATTGGGATTACACTGATTACAATGAGTAAATGCTTAATTTGATATTAGTTATTGCTGGAATGGTGTTTGCATTCAATGTAGCTTCAATTAGAGATGTCATTGTTGAAATGAACTCCCAGGAAATCAGATACAATAGTTATGAGGCTGTTATCAATCGTTATATGAAGATCAAAAATATTTCTATGTCAACTCAAGCCAGAATTATCGACTATTATCAATACATTTGGTAAGATGAGAAGAATAGAAATAGACCCATAGAACAATTGCTCATCTCTAAACTTGCTCCAGAATTACGACAACAATTGCAATATGAGACTTATATCAATTTTGTAAAATGCAAGATATTTTGGAATCTCAATTTTTCAGAAATGTTCATTCGCTCCCTTGTTTAATATATGCAAGAAGAAAGCTATGGACCAGGAGAAAATATTCACTTTGATACCCTCAATCCTCAATTGTTGTTTCTGTAAAACGGAGAAATTTTGATTGTACTTTACTTTTCAATATTAGTATGTAGATACTGCTCACAATTCTATTAATATAAAGACAAGAATTGATTTAGTTAAAGCAGGCCAATGTCTAGGTCAACTCTTATTCTTTACTGAGCAAAGATTTAGATACAAGGCTCAAACTTAATAATGTTGTAATATGTACAAATTGGCTAAAAGTGATTTCTTAACTGAAATTGTCAACTTCCCCAAAGATTTTGAAATTTATCATCTTCTCATTTCCAAATAATACTCTGAATAGTCTCAACTTTTTAATTAATTAGAATTAAAATGTTTCACATGTCAATCTGTAAAATCATTTAGCAGATGAATGTGATGTCACTCACTATTATCCTAAGCATATTCTCACTCGAATCAAAGTGAAAGATGATAGATAGAAAAGAGAAGAATTTGAAAGAAAAATAAAAGCATAATTCAATTCAGTATTCATTTCTAAAAAGGTTCAACTCTCTATCTTTGATTATAATATTAGAGAACGGAAGTTAAAGAGAATATCAATGAAATAATAAATTCAATTTGAAATCATAGAGGAAATAGAGGAAGAAGAGAATCAAGAGTAATATCAAGATGACATAGGTGAAATTAAAAATATGCTCAATTTAATTATGAATAAAATGGGTATCAAATAATAATAAGCCTTCAAAGCACAAAATGTATTTATTCCATAAAGTAAATTTATTTCAAATTATAATCTTTAATAGAACCCAAGTTTGATCCTTACGAAACGTCTTTTGAAATTGATCAAGTTAAAAATTATGAACACTTTTATCCAAAATATAACTTGGATAATATTATCAATAGGATATTTTGATTTTTATTTTATGTAAACTTAATTTTCATCCAATATTCAATTCTAATCAGCATTTTATGTACATAAAGTATAATATCTCTTGTTTAGGTTAAACCTATTACTTGATTGATATAGTTTTGCAATAATATCAAAAAGAGCAATAGAATAATAAATCAAGATAAATTCCAATTAATAGTTATTATTTATTATATTATTATAGAAATATTCTCTTAACATTTTGAATTGATCGAAGGAAGCATCAAATCCAAAGATATAGATAATAAAAAGTGTTTATAAAAATTGAATATCAACTCCAATATTTATTGTTCTTAAATTATTATATCAGTTCATTATAAAATATTTCTGGAATTATTTTTAATAAATATGACAATCAAGGTAATCAAAATGAAATAAGAACTTTAAACAGCCAATTATATAAACATAGATAATAATAGTAAGAGGAAATTGAAAAGAATGAGTAAAAATTAAGGAGGATATTAGAAAAGTATGAAGATAACATATATTATTTTATTGAAACATTTTAGAATATTATTAATTGCTCTTATAAAAAGAAGAAATGTTGGAGAAAGTATGATAACATGAAAATAAAAATTAGGAGAGTTGCTTAATAGAGATAGTATGACTTATATTTAATTATTAATAATTTATTAACGAATATAAAATTTTGCTTGTAAATGAAACCTATTAAAATAAAAAATAACGAAAATGAAAATCCATTACCAATGAGATCTAAGTTAAAAAGAATCAATGTATGAGAATAATTTTAGTTTAGATCGCTTCAGAATTATTTGACAATCCTGTACAATTTAACATCTCTCCTTTAAGGTTGAAGGTTGAGAATGATGCACAATAATACCTGGAAGCGATTAGTGCATTTTAAACAGTTGAAATTTAGAATCCAATCGTAAAAGAAAGAGCTAAAAGTGTTAGTAATTCAATAGATATTTATAAAAATAGTGGAAGACACAGATTTTGGGGCCTGGTAAGATTAAAGATACATGTAACCAAATTCCAATTAATATCGGTAATCTTTTAAAAAGGAATAAAAGAGTTGTTAGTTCAAGATTAGACAGCAATCACCTAAAATTTAACAATAAAATAAAATAACTAATAAGATTATACAATATCCATTGACAGGTTATTTAGAAAGGAATTTAAATCAGTTTTTTTAAAAAGACAAATATTTTAAAATTATTTAGAATATGACTGGAGCAACCCATAGAAAAAAAACTAAGAAAATAATTCCAAATAGCACTTAAAATAGCAGAGCATAATCGTCATTATCATTTTAACTATGACAATTACTTTATTATTAATTGCTTGTTTTCGATAATAAAGCATTATATATATATTATATACATCAATATTAAGTCAATTTGATATGGCTTATTTTCTCTGAAACCATCTTAAAACTTCTTCATCATCATGAAATAGTTTAACTCCCTTGAATTCATCGCAGTCATCAAATTTGTATAATTCAAATGCCTGGTCAACTATGTATTGCTTTGATATTTCTTTTATTTAGGATTCAGTATATTCATATGCTATTTGAGGGAATTATTATTTCAATTAATTAAGATATATATCTGATTTTTCAAAAAACTAAAAATAGTCTTTCATTTCTTCTTTACTAAACAAAATCTTTATACATTATTCCTCCAAAACCTTTTATTTGATCTATAAAATAAAATTATTTAATTACTATTCTTATTAATTCTTATCTATCATAGTAAATTTAAATATTGTAATAAGATTAAATTAACTCAGCAACTTGAATTACAATCCTCTCCCAATGCTATTATTCCAAAATAACAAATTTAGGTTAGAAATTAATTCTCCTTTCATTAGCATATAGATTTTTTATTTCTAATATTTTTTTCCAGCATAAATCAAGCACTGCCATATTAAAGCATTATCGATCTGTCAAAATTTTAGCTTTCAATTCCTTATCAGAATCTAAATAACTTTTAATATAATCATCATCTATTTTCTAAATAGTAATTTTACATTATTATTTTGATTCCTCAGGAGTCATCTCTTATTTATTTTCTTGTTATTGTGTCTCTTCTTTAGAAGAAAAAAGTCCTTTTGCAAGCTGAGTTGTTGCATTTTTAATTGAAGAAAAGAACTTTTTCATAAAATTAATATTTTAATTAACATGTTTGAGCTTGGTTTTTATTCATTTAATTTAAAAAATCTAATATTGTTTAATTTAAGTCTTAAACTTTTGCATCATATTTGAACACTTTTAACTTAACCCAAATCAAATGAATTAAATTGATATGACAAGAATAATATATTCATAAAAAATTAATTATTAATGATTTATATTGAATGATTTGTACTTTTGTTATTAACCAATTAATGACATTAATGATTATGAACTATTCTTTTAAATTTCTATTTTCAATACATTCAAAGGAAATCCAGAAGAAGATAATTATCTATAATGTTTTTAAGATCCATTTTAAAACTTATAAACTAAATGATTGGATCAACAAAAATTAAAATTATGCACATTAAATAGTGGCGATCTTGTTATCTATTAGTAAATGGTCAAATTCTTTAAAAGCGAATTGATATATTATTAAATGATACCATATTCATGCAGATATCCTGATTGCCAAAAGCGATTTAGTTAGTCCAGCAATCTGACCGCCCATTTAAAGAATCATTAAAATCCTGATTACGCTGGTACTCAATGATTTAGACTATTAATAGCATCTGAAAGCGAAGAAGTTATTGATGAACTCGAAGAAGAAATTGGTAAAGATGATGTTGATTAATGAAATTTTATAATAATTAGTTGGCAAAATTATTTTTTCATTAATAATGGATACTAAGGCATACTCAGAAATCTCTGAGAAGGCATTAATCACTGAGTTGTTTAGGAGATATCGTTGTTAAGAAGAAGGATTGAAGAAACGTATTGTATTGCTCGGAATGCCTGGAGCTGGTAAGTTATGCGTTTTACATATGTCTAGGAAAGGGGACTCATTCAGCAAAAATGCTGGCCCATTTTTGCATGTGCCATCTATCTACAGGAGACCTCTTAGAGAAGAAGTCAGGTCTGGAAGTGATTTTGGTAAGCGGCTTAAAGGAATTATGGATAGAGGTGAGCTAATTGAAGATGAAGTTATGTGTAATTTAATCAAATATCAATTATCCAAGTAATTATAAACTTTAATTCAGGCCTGCATGTGCAAATGGAGCTATTTTGGATGGATTTCCAAGAACTATTCCTCAAGCTCAGAAATTAGATGAAATTTTAAAATAGAGTGGATAATAAATTGATCAAGCTATCTTCATGAACGTCAGAGAAGATACCGTTATCGATCGACTAGGAGGTAGATGGACCCATCTAGCTTCGGGAAGAACATACAATTATAAGTTCAATCCTCCAAAACAATATGGAAAAGATGATATCACAGGAGAAGATTTAATATAAAGAGAAGATGATAAGGAGAGCACTATTAGAAACAGATTACGAGTGTATTAGAGCAAAACCTCTCCAATTGTTGACTATTATAGATAGTATACATGGATATTTATTATTCTAGGAGAAATATTTTGCATGAGATCGATGCAGAAAGATAAGTAGATGAAATTTGGAGATAAATCAAGAACATTGTTAAATAAAAATGATTGATGTATTTTATATCTTAAAAATATTTGAATTTAAAAAGATCTTATTTATAATTGAATCTAAAAATATTCATCTATTTAATTCAATGTTCCTCATTCAACATATATTTTCAGCTAAATATTATGTCCAATCCTTGATCCATAAAGATAAAAATTCAAAATTGGCTTGGCTGGATGTTGTGTAGAGATATTTAATTATCATCTACAATTTATTAAGATATGTAATTATCTCCAAATATAATATATCTGTGATATCTACTATACATATATTATGTCTATTATTACGTCTCTATTAATTGTAATATTATTTGATTCTACAAAGAAATTTAAATTTAATCAATGGTTCTTAATGAGATAATATTGTGTATTAATTAGTAAGCTTCTAATCATTTTATTTAAATAAAACAAAAAATAATTCTTTTAGTTAGATAATTAATATCATAGTAATTGTAAATAATTACAAAAATTTAATAATATATTTTCATTATAGAATGAAATAATGAGAATAAGAAATTAATCTATATTTGATTCTCTACATTAAACACTCACTTACAATTTATTTATTAAATTTGATCAAATATTTCATGGTTTTTAAAAATGGGCCTCTATTATTTTAGTTTATTGAGGAATTTTGATAAAAATGGTTATAATATTTTGCGCACATCAACTACCAGTGTCATAGTTAATACTGAACTCATCATGGCAATAATAGCCCATCCTATTTAAATTATCTTAAATGGGTCAGTCTTATATAATTCATTTATCAAAAGCATAATATTGATGCTAAATAAATGAAAATGCTTCAATTTTTTTTTGAATAATGAAAATTTATCAAGATCGCTCTTTAATTTAAATAAATGGTAAAAATAAATGAATTCATTTAAAGCACACAATTGAATTTAAAGTATGGCAGACTTAAAACAAATAATCAAAATAATTCCAAATAGCACCTTTTATACACATGAGTAAGTAAATTCAATGTGTAATTTTTTCTCTGAATTTTTCTAAAATAGTAAATAATAAAACAATAGATAGGTGACCACTCCATTTAATATCAGACTAACTTTTCCTTCAGTTGAACTAAAATCTTAATAGATTAAAGATAAGAATGAAGCTATAGAGTATTCATAAATGAGTGATTAAAATAGTCCTTTAATTTATTCACTAAAGTTATTTCTACAATTTTTGATTAAAAATCTTATAACTTTTTGGAATCTTTTCAATAGAAACATATTAAAATTTTTAATTTAAAAATTCTAGATTTTATTCATAGAGTAATTAATCCAGATCTATATTGCCAAATGAGTTAAATAGGCTAGAGCAAAAATTGCAGAGATTTAAATGAAATTAGCTAGATAATTCGCATTTCGTCCATCTTCTTCAAAAATGCCCTCTGATTTCTAAGAAGAGAATTCAAAAAATAAATCATTCGAAGGATTGAATCCGATCAAATCATAGAGATTAGTGAGTTAAATGATCCTAAAAGTTTCAAAAAACTAAATTAAGTTTTGACCTTTTCTGGTATTGATATACTTTAGGTAATAAAGCAATTAAATAGTATCAATTTGATTTTGAATTATCTCAAATTTTCCATCAAATGATGATAGTAAAATAAGACCTGCTATTATTTTAACTTAATACCCACTAATCGATATAAGGGATTATGTTATTTATTTTTGTATTTCAGATAAAACATTTGGAGATGCTAATTATATCGAGATATCTTATTAGATTGATGTCATTCCAAATTCATTTATGATTATATTTAGGTCAGTAAAATGAATAGAAAATATAGGATTGATTATTATTTCCTCATACCCTATGTTAATTTCAATCTGTAGGTATTTATAAGATTCTTAGTCAAGTGCACTAATTTCAGAAAAGGATACATTTGTAACTTTATTATTTATTTACGATTTGATGGACTCTGTAAACATTGAAATTGAATAATTCTCTGATAATTTTACTTATTGATCATAAGTCAAATAAAGAATTTAGGAATTATCTTTTTCTTTTACAAATTTCAATTAAGGTATAGGGGGTGAAATGTAAACGCATTGATTATTAACACATTGGGTATTTTTGGATGGTTTACAATGTGAATCACAACCATCTCCATTAATTCTGTTACCATCATCACAAATTTCTTTACCAAAAATAATTCCATCCCCACAAATAGTTTAACATTCATTTTCTATTGGAGCGTAGGAATAACCCATTGAGCATTCAAAGCATTTAAAGTCTTCACAATTTTCACAATTTTCAATCAAGCATGGCTAATGATTCAATTCTTTAGAGTAACATTTTTGATTTAATAATTCATAATTTTCCTTGCATTGAATACATTATTTATTTGGATCACAAATCTCACAATGATCGTTACAAATCTTCTTACAATTATCACATTGATAATCTCCATCATCCAAAAGTATTCCACTATCACATTCTTCATCAGGTATTGCCAAAATTCCATCACCGCAAACATTAGAACATGATGCCGTTTCGGTATCAAAAAAGTAACCTACTTTACAAGCTTAACCATTGTCAGCACATTTACCTAAAATACATAATGGACAAGTAGGATAACAAGAATATTTGCATTTATAGCATCCATCATAGGGTTCATCATTATCATCTTCACATTATTCTCTTGGTGATATTAGACCATCCCCACATTAATCATAGCAAACATTATTTAGGGAATCATAATATAATCCGACCTCATTGCATTGTGCATAAATTTCGCAAAGATTAGTTTTAAATTGTAAGAAAAATCCTTCATCACATTGTATACAAATTCCAAATTAGCAAATCTTGCAATTTTCGTCACAATTTAATTTGCATTAGTTACAAATGATATTACTTTACCGTTTTCTATCATCACATTATTCATGTCCATTTATATAAGCATCCCCACATAAGCTCTAGCAAATAGATGTAATAGAATTTAAATAGTAATTATCTTAACATACAAGACATGTACCATTAATGGCTTCCTTACAAAATTCATTAAATAACATTGTAGGTTGATTTTAAACTATAGGATTTAAGTTTACATCAAGGTTTAAGCTTTATAATTTGTTATTAATAAAAGTTTGTTACTTTTCGCACAATCCATTATACTTCACATACCCAAGTTGACACCGTAAACAATGACCAAGGTAGCAAGTCTAACAAGTTGAATTACAAGAGTATTTACACCCATGGCAACCGTCAAATGGCATTAAGTTACCATCATCGCAATCTTCTTCTGGGACTTTTAATCCATCTCCACATATGCTTGAACATCGATTACCAATCAATTGATACCCTTATAAACAAGATGAGCAGCCATTTTTTGAGCAATTCTAGCAACTTGATTGACAAGATAATTAACAATTGTAACATCCATCATATAGTAAACTATTCATGTCCTCACAAATTTCTTAGCCAACAATAATGTCATCATTACATAGTTCTATACATTTATTCTTTTTTTGATCTAAATAATAATTATCAACGCACTCTAGACATTAATTATTTACACAGGTCTTGCAAATAGTTGTTTAACATTGGAACTTGCATACTTTACTACAACCATCAAAATCTGTTGAATTGAAATCATCACATTCCTCAGTATTTCTATTAAAAGGATCAATTGCTAAATAGCCATCTCCACATATATTTTTACAATAATAACCAACGGGTTAAAATCCCACTTAGCATTCTAGACATTTTAAACCATCAGAACTACATTTTAAACAGTCATCTCTGCATACTCTCTTACACTAATAACATCCATCATTAGAGTCAAAATTATATCCATCATCACACTATTCACTTGCCATAACAATTAAATCACCACAATTTTCAATACAAGTTTTTGATGCAATATCAACAATCCAACCATATGTCTGACATTAATAGCATTATCCGTACATACATTAAGTGCATTAGATTTAGCATTCAAGCTTGCATTGATAACAACCATCAAATTATATAAGATTACCATCATCACATTCTTCTGATCCACTAATGACTTGATCACCACATACATTTGCACAAGGCAAGGTTGTATATTGATTACAAATTGTGCATTGTTTTGGACATTAAAATTTACAATTGTAACATCCATCATCTAAAATACTATTACCATCATCACATTCCTCATTGCCATTTACAATTAGATCCCCACATATCGGAAAGCATTAATTGTCTTAGTTTGTAAATCCTATTAAACATGTAATAGCCGAGCAAACTTAATTAAACCAAGAGATAGAATTATCACCGCATTATTTATAACATTAATAAAGACTTGAATCTTCAATGATTGGACAAGAGACACATATATCATTCAGTTCGTAATATCCAGTTTAACAGGAACAATGAAGACCATCTATTCTTCTGTTTTCTAAGCTACTGCAACTAAGACAAGAGTCTTCAGATGATGAAAAACAAGTTACGCATTTATTATGGCATTACATGCAAGTCCGATTGGATTTCTCAAAATAATATTCACTTTTACAATTACAAGTATTGCCTACAATTTCAACTTTGTCTACGGTGATACATTCATTGCATTCTGTATTTGATGATCCAAAACATTTTGTACACAATAAATGACAAACCTAACATTCAATATTGATATTGTCATCGTAATAACCATCATAACATAAACATTAATTATAGAACAGATATCTAAACATAGATTATTCGCAATGGATGCATTCATTTTTGATTTGGCATTGTTTGCATATTGGATTGCATACTAATAATTAGTTTGAAAGTATTACAATCACAAATCTAATTCTATTCATCAAAATACTCATTGATTTTACATTACAACACACATGATGTTACAAAAATTTAATAAGGGTATTTACAACTTAGACAATCAATTTCATTAAGACAAGTTTCACAAATCTAAGGACATTCTTCACATCTGTAATATTCGTCATCATAATACTATGATGAACTGCAGGATGATGGATTTAATATTACTGATGTATCAATAGAATTATCCAATTATAAGCAATTATTTTCATCTGTACATTGAAGACAATAGGGACTACAATAATGAACAACAATATAATAAAATCCGATTGCGCAATATTTATCTCTAACATTGTTGGTTGCCCCGTAGCATTAAAATGAAATTGATAAAGTCGGTGAAGGAGTAGAGATATTTATACTTACTGTAGAATTTTTATTAACTGATTGTTCAGTTTGGTTATTTACTGAATATCCCAAGTATCCTGTGACACCATCGAATTTGTATCCAAAGATAGCATCAAAGTATATAGTTAATGAATGATGTGGTGAATTAATGGTATATATTTACGAAAATCTGGCTGTTGCCCAAACGTGTATTCCTCCATAAACAACATTTGTGTCTATATACGACCAATAAATTTCATCACCTTTTTAAAAGTCTTCGCTTGTTGAGGATTCCAAAACAAAAGAAGAGCTTATATTGTCAGGAACAGTGAAATCATAGAATAGTTATATAAGATATTTTGAGTCTAATATTAAAGAGTAGTTTACATTTAGTCACATCATCATATTTGATACAAATATTGTTCTAAAGTTTTGAAGCTTTTGGACATTATATTATGCAATTGCCATCAGAAACTAATTTATACCCAGAGAAACATTATGAACAAATGTAAGACTTTTTACATTTTAAACAATTTATCGGACATTGTGGACTGCAAATTACTACTTATAACAAATACCATCCAGAATTATCAGATCTTAATTTATATAAATTATATATATACGTAAGTTCCCTTTGATTGCAAAACTGAAGCCGCCTTATTCTACTTTGAGATTCGCATATAATTATATAAGTCTAGCAGATGAACAACCACTTAATACTTTTTCCCCGACATAATCGATATAAATGTTGTTCCCAATATAATTGGTACCATCATAGTAGATTGAAGAATAGTAAGTATTATTTAAATAAAGAGAAATCCCTGAATTTGTTGGAGTTGCATTGCATGTGTAAAGATACAATTACACTCCTAATGGGTATACATAATAAGTAGTATTAACTATAGCGCTAGCTCCTTCGTTATATCTAAAAATCCCAAATAATGGGCCTGCTTTTTTATTTTGATTGCTCAATTACTTTGGATCATAAATAATATCCCAATTTATTAATTTAGAATACTAGAAATTGATTAAATCTAAAAATAGGAAGTAAGATTATGGATATGTCTTGCAATATCTTCCCCTTCTATCTGTGTATCCAAGCAAACAATATTCTCTACATTTTGAATTGTATTATGTTTTTCCTTAAGGACATCGACAAATGCCGTCTGTTAGAGTTATATCGGAAATGCATGATGTACATTCATTATAACCTACTCCAGTGCATGTTTTACAGGTACCGTGACAAGAAATATATGAAAAATGGATATTTTTAATTAATGCTTTTGTCAACGAATTTGTTAGCCTGAACTTAATCTCCGTAAATTAATTGGTATAAGGAAGAGAGATTTGATATGTTCTAACGTCATATTGTTCTGAATTGCATGCTCCGTTTACAAATTTAAATGGATTCTATGTAGAATAGATAAATTGATAAGCCTAATTTTTATATTGGAATATCAGTGCGTCATTATTCCATTATGAAATGTAGTATACGTCAAATACAATTGTGTGATTATTTGAAGAAGGATTCTGTTGTTTATATTAGTAATTTGAAATAGTGCTCATTTGTGAATTTTGCAAAATTAAAGCTACTCCTTTTGGATTAGAACAATTTTTATAGAGGGCATTCTATGTGGTGCTCTAATGTTTCTTAAATCCGAAAGGGCAAGTATTATCGGAACAGTAAATCCAATATGGTTGATTAAAGGAGCTATAATAAACTACCCATTAAGCAATTGCAAGTTGTAATTGAAAGAAAATAAGCATCTTAATTAATTAATTAATTAATTGCAAAATAAACTTAGAAAGAAGATGAATTTCACAAGAAAATTTTATAATTTTTACTACATATAAGCATATTAATATCAATATCAAAATGATCAGTAGACAATTATGAATCATATTCAATCTTTGAACAATATTTAAAATTTTTGAATAAGTCAAAAGCAGAACGAATAAATAAGGTGATTTTGATTTATATATATGAAATCTTAAACTTTCAATGATTGAAATAATATTCATAAAGTAGTAATTGTTCTTTTAATTTTCTATTCCAAATTTTTTATTTTTCAACATCTTTGTAATGATTTGTTTCCTCATCATAATCTTTTTCAATTTGTATATATTCCCTTAGATTCTGTTTAAAAATAGTCCTTATTTATTATTAATGATTATTATTTCTCATCACATCGGAACATTCAACCTTTCGTTTAAATTCTAAAGCTGAAAGACAACCAATTAAATAATGTCCTGTTTCATGTTCTAATAATAGATCATCCTTCTTCGATTTAGCCCAAGACTTTTCAAGAAGCTTACATTTCACATGTAATTTGATTTTTTGAACGCTTGGGGATTGTTTTCTAAGAGAAGAACTTGAATTACTTCTGTTAACAGCTCTTTAAGGTGATGAACTAATGGTTGGTGTAGGCAATCTTTTGATTTTATTAACACTTGTTGTCCTAACAGTTTCTGTTTTGACATTTAACTAATTAACTTGATTAATTTATTGCAATGGTATTCTTGGTAAACGCAATGGAGATTATTCTCTGTAATTCACCTATTCCCTATCCTGAGTAAAGTAGTATTCGTAAGAATTGTTCCAATAACAATGTGCAATCCAAGGGGATTCATCGTCTGGCTTGCCAATAAAATCCTTCCATTCTAATCGTTTAATTTCAAAATTTTGAATTCTCAAAGGTAAAATGTTGCGAACGTATTAATCATCAGAATGCTTTAACTATGTATCTAGATTGATTCTCTGATTGGATAAATCTTCAATCGATATGTTGCCTTAAAATGAAATTGCCTTCATTTTATTAATTATTTTTTTAACAACTAATTTCTTTAAAAAATTTAAAGCATTTAATAATAACAAGAGTAAAATCTAATGATAATGTCATAGAATAGAATAAATTATAAAATTTATATGATCAAGCAACAAATTATTAGACTTCGTCATCATTAGTATACTAAGCTATGACAGCTGAACTTTTAGATTTCTTTAATCTTTAAAATTTCCTTCTTGTATTCTATTAAATTAGAACAGCAGCCATATATTAACCACTGTCAAATTCTGTTTCTAAATTTGAAACCTTCGAAAATGCTTTTTCCATTAATGGCTACAGTTTTAATTTAACAATATCCTTAGAGATTTCAAAGCTTAAATTATACAATATTTTTACTTGGATATAAACCCACTTGATTCCAAAAAGTCTTGAGCCGCACAAATGAGAGCTTGATAATAAAAATACATATTCTTGCCATTCAGATTATATACAGGTAAATTCAATTGAGCCATATGCAATCGTTGTTGGGCTGCTGAATATTTCAATTTCGACCACTAAAAGTATAAGAGAATAGAATTACTCCCAATGGTTAAGGTAATGCCATCATAAATTAGGTGAAATATTTGCACTGTATAAACCCAGTAGCATTTTTATCGTAATCTTTCCATAACTGTTGGAAGTTCTCAACATCTAACTTCTTAACAGGAGCATTTTCTTCTTTGCTAGTATTTTAGAATCCCTAATAAGAAATATTTGATTATATGGTTTACTTCAATGATGATAGCAACGAATAGATTCAACATAATCAATGAAACTATGATCATGAAGATAATCATTAATAATATACCACCTACGTTTCCACAACCCATAAAGCCATATTCAGCATAATTAGCATAATCATTAAAATCAAAGCAAATATCATTTGGTTATGCAGTCCTAGCAGTATCCATCATTACTAAATTCCAATCTTCTCCAGTTGAACATTTAAACAATGTAAATAGGCTTACTCCAAATGAACTGAAATTTGAATTTTCTGTAACTCCCTCACCTCTTTTCACATATGGAAATAAATTCATAAAAATAATAGCAAAAATAAACAACATTATCCCTAATAAACCACCAACACTCACCAATCCAGGTAGAGTTATTAGAAATGTTCCAAATATAATTCTTAAGTTTTTAGCACTCTTAATGAGTCTCAACACTCTAAATATTCTGAAAGTTCTAAGAATAGATGTGGCTGTACCAACATTGCTTAGGACATTACTTTACTCTAAGATTACACCGAGAATTGTTAAAAGCACAACTGTGAAATCGAAAACATTCCACCCTGAACTGAAGTAAAATTTTCTATATACTATTAATTTTAAAATTGCCTCTATAGAGAAGATGGCCAAAAATATCCAATTCAAGCTTTAAATAGCATCTGTTAATTCTTAAGGAGATCTTAAATATTAAATCATCATAACACAAGTATTGAGAATGATTACACTCAAAATAAATATCTCAAAGGGATTTGATGATATGATTTCATTGAGCCATCTTATCATTTTGTGTTTTGAGATTTTGAATTTCTCTATTGGCACACTTGAATAAATCTTTTGTTAAATTTCATACCATTCTAATTCCTACTTAGTCAAATCTTTCATCTAACTTAACCGTTCTTTCTCACTCTAAAAAGCTTCAACTATAACTCCTGCGAATAAGTTAATTATGAAAAATGAACCAACAATTATAAAAAATACAAAATATAATGCCCATCCATATGCATTGTTTTCTTTTGGATTAAGATTAATGCCTCTACTATCAATTCCATCAGACATTAAATTAATCCATCCTTCAGTTGTCGATATGACAAATAAAGTAATCATAGCATTCAATACATTATCAAAATTGAAATTCTTATTTTGCCATGATCCCCCTTAGTCAAAACATTCTAATTTATCATTGACTTCAGATATATCACAGTAGTAATATGCTCCTTTAAATTAGGTTACTCCAAATATTCCGAATAATAAGAAGAATATTAGGCAAACCAAAGCAATGTTCATCATTTGGGATAAACTATTGAACAAAGCATTTATTGACATTTTTAAATCCTCATTTCTGACTATCAATCTAAGTGGCCTTAATACTCTAATGACTCTTAATATTTTAATCTTTGAAAATGTTTATGCTTGACTTTAATCAAAGGCTAAAGATGAAAAAATAATAACAACGAGATCTAATATATTGCCTGGAGATCTGATGTAACTATCGGGCCCATTAATTATAAAACCCTTACTAATTATTTTTAATAAAGCTTCACAAATAAATAAGGCTGTAATTATTTCATCAATCACGTTCAGAGTTACATTATTCGCTGATGAGAGTGGATCATCTAAAGCTAGCAAAATACTTGAGATAATGATAATTGTTAGAATAAAGAACTCAAAATACTTTTAATTTATTAATTTGTTAATCTATAGTCTGATTTTGCTTTAAGGTGGAAATATATATAGAGATACTCCTTCAAGCAAAGATTAATTAATTGTACTATTCAAAATGATTGTAGATGCCATGAATTATTATGATAAATTCTTAAATCGAGTAGCAGAATTATTATTTGTTTATTAATTTGATGCAGATTTGATAACTTAAAAGGATTGCTAAATCTATTCTGGTGACACCTGATTCATTTTAATAGTCTATTGATTATCATTCATCGACTAATCATGTCTACTTGATAGAAGATTCCGATTGTCTTCAATAGACTAGCTTTAATCGATATTGGCTTCATGAAAATTATTTATCAAAATAGCTATGAACAACTTTAACAGTATGAAATTTCCAAATATTATTACTATCACAAAGTAAATAACTGGATACACAGATCCCAAATCATACATAAATGTATAGGCTATTGTATTCCAAGCTTCATTAGTCAGAAGCATGAAAACAACCAACATTGAAGACAAATAGTTATTAAAGTTATATCTATATGGTGTTTTGTAAGCAAATAATTCCATACCTAAAAGTGCTGCAACAGACATAAATAACAATAATAGAATAATAAAATAAGCAATGCCACCCACTGTAGCTGCAATAGCCTATAACAATTTTCTAAAACTACTCCATGTACGTGCTAATTTAAATAATCTAAATAATCTTAGTGTTCTAAAAGCTTAGATGGCTGAGAAACTTCCTCCACTGGAGTTATTGCCTGCGCTACTAAGAATCCATTCTATCAAGGATAAAATGACGATCACGGCATCAAAAATATTCATTGAATCCTTCAAGTAACTAGTATCGAATGCAATTAGTTTCAAAGTCATTTCTATTGTGAATATTACAGTGAATATCTAATTAGCTACATCTAAGATCTCGCTTTCAGTTTTGGAAATAGGATATCTGTCTAAAGACAAAGTTATTGTATTTAAAATGATAATGGAAGTTATAAACGCCAAAAAGTACCTACATTATCTCAATAATTTACTTTGTTTCTATAATAACTATTAAAAACTACTGGAATTACTTAAACTTTGTTGGTTATATCTTAAGACATCTTTATTTTGATGAAGATCTGTGAACCTATTGAATTTATTCAATAGTATTGCTCTTAGAAATTTATTATTATTATTCACCAGTATTTTGATTTTCTTAATTTTTGAAGGCATTAGTTTCATTAATATTCTATGCAATAGGTTCCCTTATTTATTATTCAGGGTTGAATTAATTGTTTTATGTCTAATCTCCATTATTCAAATTGCCTGTCAAAGCAACTTGATGTTCTGCGTCTTCATTTTATTCTATCTCTTCATCTTGCTCTTCCTAATGAATAGATGAAGCAGAAGTCTGAGAATTTTTCAGACTGGCTCTCATTTAAGTAGCTATAAAACTATCGTTAATAACAGCTAATATTAAGTTTACAACAAAGAAGGATCCCAAGAAAATGAGTAACAAGAAATATATGTACACTATAGCTGTAGACAAGGCCTCCTAATAAATAAAAATCAACACTGTCCAACCCTCTGTTGTTAAAGCTTAAAATATGGTAAATGTAGCTGAAATAATATTATTGAAATTCGTATAGCCGTAATTAAAGTTCTCGTCATCTGATTCTTATTAAGGCAGATTATAAGTATTTGGATTCCCACAATATGTTCCTGCAGGACAATTTGAAGAATCCTAACATAATTTTGTATAATTCGAAGCTTTCCAAATATTCCCATCTGGATATTCAGTTTCTCTGCATCTATTTTCCAAAGCTCCCATAAATATTTATAATCCCAATATCCCAAAGAGGATTATGATAAATAGTAAAAATATAACCACATTACCCAAAGCAGGCAAGGAATCTAATAAAGTAATGATTAGGACTTTCATCTCTTTCAATGAGTTTATAGATCTAAGTGGCCTCATTATTCTTACAATTCGAATTGCTGACACTCTAGCAGAAATGAAAAGTGAGATGATTCCTGTTATTACAACAATAAAATCGATAAAATTCCAACCGTCTCTTAAGTATGTTTGCTTATCTAGCATAAATCCCATTGCTATCATTTTCAAAAGGAACTCTATAATGAAGATTGCAGTAAATATATATTCGAAACTGTCAGTCCAGCTACTTGGTGCTTCTGAATTCGTCTCCCTCCAACTGTAGTCTTATGTGGCCAATAAAATTGAGTTTAATAAAATGACCGTTATGATGAATCTATCAAACCAGCTAAATATCAAATTAACTTATATATACATCCACTCAATCATCCATATAGCCCATAATCTAATTTTGTTCTCTGCATCAAATAAATTCAAAGACTTTCTTGTGTACTATGTATAATAACCATCTTTATACAGATAATAGTTTTCCATGCACGCTAAATTCCACCAAGTCTTCAGGTTCATCTTTGCTTTGTCCAACCATCTATTTTTACATCAGGAACTTCATACTTAATTCACCAAACTTGAGAGATGTATGAGTCTTCTTTAGTTCTCTTAAGGCTAATTCTGCGTTGGAGCTTCATTTTGAACTTCTAGTTATGCTGAAATGTAAAATACCTTATTCACTCATAACTTTATAATAAATGCTTGTAAGAATTTATCATAGAACTCAATTATAATTTTATAAACTAAATCAAAATCAGCTCTTTAACAAATTTCCGAATAATCCACTTCCAACTTGAGTATTCGAACTAAAATTAAATAGGCCTCCTGTTTAACTTTATTGGTTTTATTCTTTTGGTTATTGCCCAGAAAGGATGTTGCCAAATAAAGTACTCCCAGTATTAGGTTAAGGTTAAATTAAATTACTTTAAGTTTGTTAAGGTTGTGATGAAAATAAATTTGGTTTATTATTAATTTAGTCTTGACTAATGTAAGATGAAGTTGTTTAATTTCCAAATAAACCACCATTTTTATTGAGCAAATTATCAAATAATCCACCTTATGAATTTGTTTAAATATTTGAGTTAACTCCAAAAGTGAAGCTTGATGGTGTAGTATTTTAAATAGCACTAGATTATTTGATATCAGCACTGCCATTTTTATTTATACTATCTTGATTTTAATTATTAAGATTGAAAATAGGGATTTAATTATTATTGATTTGACCTAAATTCTAAAAAAGAGATGTATTTTATTATTATTATTAAGGTTAATTTTATTCATTAATCTTCAATTAAAACCCGTTATTCAGATTTTGTATTTAAACTTAAGGCATTTGATTTATTTAAACAGGTTATACTATTTTATCTGTAACTACATCAGGATTAGGATTTGTAGTATTCAATAAATTTGAAAATAATCCAAAATTATTCTTTGCTGGCTCTTATTATAAAGGTTAAGGTTAAGGTGATAATTATTTTTATTCTTATTACTATTTATCCTTCAACTAAGGTGGTGCTTAAGTTATGAACTTACCAAAAATATTTACAGTTTCCCCTTATTATTAATTTGATTATTCTTTTACTTCATCATTTGCTTTTTCAGGCTATAAAGAAAACTATAAAGGGTTTGTATTCCCTTCTTAGTTTTAATTATCTTGTTTCAATTCAAATTGAGAGGCTAAATCAGTAACACATTTTGTAAGTTCCTACTATTGATCTTACTATTGATCCTAAGTATCGAATTGATCTTTTAAACCTGAAAAATCAAATTAGTTTATCTTTTTCTCAGATACCTTATTGCTAGAGTTCTTATTAGTTTTTTTTGGACTCTCAAATGGTAACGAATCATCAATATAAATTTTTGAGTTTTTTCTGAATTTTTTCATCTGCTTAGAATCCTAGTTCTAAGTTGTGAATGAAAAGTCTTTATTATGTCTATTCTATCTTCGATCTTTCCTACAAGGACCATTGATTATATCAAAGTATGTGGAATTTTAAATATAACATTGCTCTTGAAAATTTTCTTATCGTACTTCATCTAAGATTGTCTTGCTTCTTCTATATTAAATAAGTTCATTATCATCTGAACTTGATTCTGCCTCTTCTAACTAAGTTTTCTTGACTACTTTTTCGCTTTATTCGTTTGCTTTAATTTTTTTGTATGGCGCTACATTCTTAATTAGATTATCAGACTCTTAATCAATTAGATTATGCAAGAAGTTTTATCTTAGCCTTTCCCTGTATTTTTTGATCAACAAATAAACATTCCATCCAAATAAACTAAAAATTGTGGCTGTTAATGTGATTTCCATTTATATAAATAAAATAATTTAATAATTTTAAACAATTGATTGAATACTATTTATCAATTTTGAACTTGCTCCTCCTACTTTAATTAATCCAATTGCTATTAATATTCCACCCCTATTTTTGAAGCATATTGGAAATAATTTTTTATGCAATGAACTTCCTTTGAGACACAATCTCCACACCACTCAAAATTAATCACCTTTGAAATCATGTCCTTTTATATTTTTCCTTCCTTTTCCAAATGAGCAATCTCTTTCCTAAGATTAGTAGTGCCATCTTCAATTTTCTTTTGACTTATTCTAATAAGAGGCTCTGTTTTATGAATTTAAGTCGTTCTTTTAAAATTTTAAATTTCTTCCTTCTATTATTATTCCTTATTCTCAAGGGTTAGAATTTTTTTCCTCAATTCTTCTATCTAACCTTTATACTTGTCTTCATATTGTTACTTCAATAGAGCCTCAGAAGCTTACAACTATTTCTTAATAAAATCACGTTGCTCAAGTAAAGCCTCTTTTTTTAAGATTGTTCGGATCTCCTCTCCTAAATTCTTTGAATATGTTTAATAAATACTTTTTGAATTTCATGTATAATTTGATTAGTTTCTTTTTCAGTTTGCTCCAAATTATGTTTAATTGAGCTTAACCTATATTTTTCATATACTTTATATCCTTCTATTAGAATAATTAAAGCTAAGCTAAAAGCAATCTAAATTTCAATGCTTCCTACTTCTATTTTAAAATAGTATATGCATGAGTTGCCTATTAGAATTAGAAAATAAAATATTTTAGAGAATTTGGTTAGCTTTTAAAATTCATTTAACAACTATTCTTTAGATTTTTCCTTTTATTCCTTCAGATACTTAAATTATTCTAATTATTTTATTTATTTTTTGGAAACCAATATATCCGATTTTCTAAGTATTAAAATTAATATACCCAATTTTAAACCCAACTATGAGTGAAATTATTCCAACTAAAATATAAATCGAATATCCATATTCATGCAAATGATTTTGAGTATATTCGGTGAATTATTGCAAAGCTACGGTAACTTTTGTCTAGATCTCATTGAAATCCATCAATTTATAAAAAGTATTTTGATTTAAATATTTAGAATTATTTAATATTTTTCGAGAAAAATCAAAGATAAATAGAAATAATAAAATCGGACAATAAATGAATTCATAATTGCTATAATTGAATAATTTAATAATCATCTATCTATATTGATACAAATAATCCTGTTTTTTTGAACAATATATGTTATCTTTCACTCTTTTACTCACTTATATTATATAATAGAAATTAATTTTTAGAATAATTTGGATGTAGCATTTCCTGGAGTTACTCTGGAATAATAGTAATTGCTCAATGAATTTTCTAATGACTACCCATTGAAGTGAATGTATTTGTATTAAAAATTTAACTATATATATAAGGCAAAAAGGAAAAACAAAAGCAACATATTTATTTACATAAAATCATTCTAAATTTATAATATTTATAATCATAGAATAGTTTTTAGAGGTTATGGCTTTTTATTTTTGAATTTATTGTTATTAATATATGGTACTTTATTAATTAGATTATCTTCAAATATCAATAATATTATTAATAATTTATTTATTTGAATATACATGTATATTTGTTGAAGCAAATAATTTCAACTAAAATAATAATTAGAAATCTCATGAATCAGAGCCATCAATTGCAAATTTAAGGGCTTTCAATTAAATTAGGATCATATTGGTTAAATTTAAGTTATTGTGATTAAATGTTTAATTATTGTATTTTATTACAAATTAATTTTTATATAGAGGAACCATGCAAACGAACCTACATGATTATGAATATTGAAAAACAAGGAGACAAAATAAAGGAGGTGAGATAATAATTTATTTCTATTACTTTTTAATATTAAATATTGAGCAAACACTCAATAATTGTATCTTTGATTTTCTATATGACTTGAATATGATATGAAAAAGAGATGTATTAAAAAATGGTATAATGTACATAAACTTATCAAAATGATAATTAGTTTTCCAATTAATCAAATTAACGATCTAATTAATTTGTTTATTAAGATAAATGATATAGGATTGTTGTTGAGAGACTTTTTAATTATTCCATAAATTAATGCTAAACTTTATTTATATGTATTTTATTATTAAAGCTTTGACTTCTCTTTTACTGATTATCCATTTCCTTTTTTTTGATACATACTTTGTTTGGCCTAATAGTATTTCGATCATTAAATTTAAATTTCTGTAAATTAAGTTTTGACTCGTTTTCTTCTCTGGGCACAATCTTTAGTTTTATTTTTGATATCTTATTACTAATCTCTAAATCTGAGTTAGGAATTTAGCTAATGCTTGGTAAATGAGTTTTGAGATCTTTTTTATTGGAGTCTAAATGTAAAACCTCTTTTAATGGTGAGTTGAATTTTTTTTTTGAGGTTCTAATATTTTTAAATTCTTGAATGCGAACTTATTCTAAAACTCTTTGTGATACTGGGCTGAGTAAATCAAGAGACTTTACTCTTTACAAGTTTTAGTATGATGCACTCTTTAGATTTATATGCAATTTTTACATTATATTATTATCCTAAAATTTTATAAATAATGTTGTAATTGTGAAAGTCAATTGATAACTTGCTTTACTATTTGTATAGACTTTAATAATTGCGAAATACAAATGAAAAGTGGCATATTTTGTTCAATTTAGTTCAATATTAATAAAATTATGAACTAAGAATTAAATCAGCAATAAAATCCAAAGTTTCATATAAATCTAATGTAGAAATTATGCTAAAAAGCTATGATTAAATGTAAAGAGGAATAGATTAATTAAAAATTTTACTACATTCCCAAAAAGAGGCTAAGTTCAAATTGTAATAAATAAATAATGAATTCACTGTAATAACCTTAAACAGAGAGAATGAGCACTGAAATTTCATAAAAACAAAGAAGAATAATTTTTAATAAGAAAAATAATTACTGTTGGAGCAGTTAGGAAAACATTAACGAAAAAAATAAATAATTATCAAATTTATCTCTAAGAGCTTTAAAAGACGAATGCTAATAAAAAGAATAAATGAGGTTCCACATTCCTAAATTGTCATTGGGAAATGAAAAATAGTTAAGATTAGTATAGTTGAATAAATAGCTCTAAAGTCTCACAAGCAGACAAACGGTGAAGAGACAAGCTTCTCCGATTAATTTATAGTTGAGAAAAGTTAATAATGATTGTCTCATTTAAAATAGATAAAAATAACTAGACTAAATGTTTGAGGCATAAAAGAAGATAATGAAATACATTATTCATTAAGATGAATATTTTAATGATGCATTAATCTAATTGTAGAAGTCCATTAGTTAATGATTTATATTTCAATTTAAATTATTTTTAAATTTGGCAAGACAATTTTTGATTAATAAGGAAGGAGATTAAAAGTTGTGACAATGTATTTCTACATATAAAGATAATTAAATCCTTTTAAATATAAATTAATTAATTTCAAAGGAGTATAAATTCTAAATGTAATCCTATGAATAAATGGGAAAGACTGGTAAATAAGGTGGAAAGAGTAAAGTGCCCGTGTAATATCCAAATAATATATTATAATTATAATATTTGCATCATTCAATATCTTAATGATAAAAATGCGGCAGCGCCAGCTCTAATCCATTGCTCTTCAGAATCTTTGGATGGGAGTTCAAGAAAAGTGACAAAGTTAGTTGAATGTCCAGTAGTGCTTAATGTTCCAGCTCTTAAGAATTAAGTATTTTAAATACCTTGAAACAACTTTATAAAGGGGACATTAATAAATAACTAGATCTTTAGGATACTCCTTTTCAATACAAGGTAATAACCAAACCAATGGTAATTCCGAATATAATTCCTTTGGTCTAGGATGAGTAATGAAATGTTTTTTGTAATCCCATCTTATTCCTTCCAATGAAATGCCAAAGACATAGCATCCATCTTCTGGCTTCTCTTCTATATCTTATGGTGAAAGAGTGTCAAGTATCTTAAATTCATAATTCAGTTTATCAATGGCAATTACATGTCTTCTAGCATAGTTCTATAATGATCCTGTGAGAAATGCTTAAGGGAAAAAGAAACCTTAAATGTAAAGTAAAAATTTACCACTAATCCAGAAGACTTTAGGAGTTCCATTGTCGACCCAAGATTACAGGAAATTAATTCTTGCCGAGAGATCATTGGTCCAACTAGAAAGAGGTTTTAAAGAGAGAAATCCTTTTTCAGCCCACATCAGAGGAACCTAATTATCAAATAGTGAATTGGCAAGACTTTCAAGTTCATCAGACATGACAATCTGACCTTTAAGTGCTTTCTTCACATTGATCAAGGATTCTTTCATCGTTGCCAATAATCGGTTGTATCTAATAACTTCTTAGACTAGCACTGTATTCATAGATTCTTCATAGGAAGTAGGATATTTCTTAAAAATGTCATCAAATGGCAGAACTTCAGGAGTACGACTCTAAACAAAGGTGGCAATTTCCTCAATGGTTTCTTCCCTTGATTTTCCGGTACCTGATGATTGTCTTGGTTGAATGGAGAGTACAGTTTCTAATAAGATTCTTGTTGTATTTTAAGAATTAGTAATTTCAGCATTTTCATGCATTCCAAATGCTTCAGGATCAGGATTTAAAGGAAGTTACTCTATATAATTGAGATATCCTTCCTAATTGGTTGAGGCTAAAGAAACGTAGATTCCTGATTCTGAAAACTTATATCCATCTCTTAAAGCTTCATGACATATGTATTTCTTGATAATTGTCTTTATCAATCTCACATCTTTATCATCAGTTACTCTACCACCATAATTGATTTCAGCTCCCAAATATTGAATTACTTTATATGGTACCTTGTCATACTCATCTAATAACATTTTTAGTTGTCTTTTGCAGACTGTTAGATCTTCATTTGTAAATTCATAAGGGATATTCCAACCAATTGCACCAAACTTTCTTCTATCTTAAATAATTGCATGGAATAAACAAAATCCAAAGAGCAGCTTTTTAAAAATGTCTTATTTTGTGCATTCACTCAATTCCTTATCATCCAAGTTCTTATATGTTCTCATTAAATTAGCTCTAATTCCTTGTGGAGGTTCAATTGTCATTTTAACAGAATTCTACAATACAGGGATTGGGAAGGAACTCGAAGGCATTGAAGTTAACCATAATCTAAAGTCCTTGTGTATATTTTCATTCAATTCCTCACAAATACGTTCCAGATCATTCATCCAAGATATAGCTAAATGGCAATTCTATAAGAGCACCCAACCTCCTCTTTAAATGGCATCTTTAACCATTCTCTCTGCCTTAGGTCCTTGACCTTATCCCAAAGATATGGAATCAAATCTTTTGGCCATATTTTACTCTTCTGCAAATTTAAGGAAGTCTGCAACTGGATCACTACCTGCTGATAACACAAAAATTAAAGGCGACATTGGTGATGAATCCTTGTAGCATTTCTCCAAATCAAATGTAGGTGGAATTGTAAATTTAGGATTTAATTACTAATCTATGTAATCTTAAATTGCAGGCACTAATTTATCAGGTCTTAGAGCCTTTAAGAAGATTAATTTCTCAAATTAAGTCAACTATCCTTACCATGGTTCAGGCAACTATTCTTTTTATGGTTATGAAGAATCCCAAATTCCTTTAAACTAATCTGAATTATCCAAGAAAAACTGATCAAATCCTTTGAAAGCCTCTAGAGTTGACATTCCTTTCATCTATCTGTATATGTCAGGCCAAGAATTATCAGAAATCCAAGCTGTTGGATTATGAGCAATCTTAATATCTCCTTAAGGACCTGCTAGGAGGTATCTCCATTGTTTATCATCCATCATTTATGCTCCTTATAAAATTTTAACACAGAGCATAAATGAAAACAATAACTTGTGTCTTTCAAACAATGATCTGCAGATATTCTCATAAAGTGAATAAGTGAAGTAATCATTTAAGTTCTTCAGTCTTTCTTCAATCACAGAAGATGGTTAAGCATTTTCAACTCCCAAGACAAATAATTTAGTAAACCATTGGAGTGAATATTAATACATAGGATCAATATTAGCAAGATCAGTGATACAGAAGAATAACAATGAGGATCTGAATGCAACAGGTCTATAGGATTCTCTGACTTCATCAATTTAAGCCTCTGTTATTTTAGAATCTTTAACTCTTTAGTTGATTTCAGCTGCAAATCTTTTACTGGTTTACAACTTGTTTATGAGGGTTTCATCCAATAGGATTTCAGAGATATCTCCTTTTTAATCTGAAAGAGATTTAAGAATTGAATCTTCAATAGCTAATAATTGTTTCTTATCAGCTGCATTTTTCTTAACAATTTCAATCTTCTTTTATTCCAAAGCTGGGTTTTCAAGTGCAACAATTTAGGCAAGCATTTGTTCTTCCAATCCACTAGCAGTGATAGCAAAATTGATGATAGTAACTTTAACAAAAGTTTCAGGAGAGTAGTGAGGATTGGGAATGGTTGTTGTAAGATATAACTTGAACTTTTCATTATAAGTTAATTACTTATCACCAATAGTTATAGTATATGAAGTGCCTGACTTGACTAATTGTTGATTGAGAATAGGTTCCAAAGAAGGATCTAATTCTCTGCCTACATTTTCTAATAAAACCCATTTACCAAATTAGATAGCTAATTCTAGAGTTCTCATCAAATTAACGTCTGATATTTTAACAACATCAATTCCTTCAGCATTATCTCTTCCCATATTTTTGATGAATTTGTTGGCTTAATTTTAAGGATCAATCATCAAACACCATCTTCTACTTTTATCAATGATTATTCCATTTTCAGTAGAAGTGTCATCTTTTGGTAATCCAGCAATGTTCCATGCTTAAATCTTAACTCCATCTCCTAGGAACTGTCTCATGGTGACCCCTTCAGAATGTGCTACTCCTACAACTCCTAACTTCAACACCCAATCTCCTTCCATTGATGTTCTATAATGGGAAGTAAATGGTCCAGAATATGCAACCATACCTGCTGCTACAATTGCATCACCTGGTAGTAATTCTACTTTAGCTTATAATGACTTAATGTCTCTACCCCACCTTTCCTTTTCTTCTGATAATCCTTCGGTTAACTTCTGAGCTCTTTCCAATTTGATTTCGCATTCTTTCATTTTATTTTACAAGTCCTCTTTTTCTAATATCTTTTGGTTGTACATCTCTTCCAATTCCCTTATTTTTGCATTAACTTTTTCCAATTCCTCCTTCTTTATCTTGAGTTCTGCAGTTTTTTCTTCTACAATCTTCCTCATAGCAATTAATTGATCTCTGAGTGGTTTAGTTTCAGTATAGACTCTATAGTAGTCATACATAGCCTTCACCCACATATACAAGAACTTAGTAGCAAATGAACAGTTCTTGACTGCATCAATATTAAATTCTGGTTGAGGTATGACTTTCTCTTCCAACTTCTTAATATGAGCAGGATTAGTAGAATCCTTATCATATTTTAATAATTATTCTAATAACTTTTATGGATCACTTAACAAATATTTTCTTGCTGTTTCAAAAAAGTTTTCTTCCTTTTTACCTCCAATTTATCCTTCTTTCATTGTCAATATAATTTCACCTCCATTTTATTTAATATATTCTTGCATCAATATAACCACACCTGCTAAAGTGACTTTGACAGCATTAGGTGGAGATCCCAAACTCTTAATTTCCACTAAATGTTCCTTTCTCAATTTCTAGACTTCTACAATTGTCAATTCTAAAGTTCTATTTGCATCAGCCACAGATGCTTCTGCTTATTCAGCCAATTTAGTAGCTTCTTCTTATTGTTTAGTAGCTTCTGATTCCTCTCTTGCAACAATCTTCTATGTATCATCTGCCTCCTATTTATCCACCTTCAATTTCTCCATCATTTTAATTGTGTCAATACTGGCTTATTCTAATTTTGGTTACATTTCTTTCAAAGTTATCTTGATCTCCTCCACTGCATCGTTAGCAGCTATCAACTTATCCAATCCTCCTTTGAGACGCTGTATTTATTGATTGAGATCTCTTCTCTTGTCTGATAATATTGTCCTATATAATTGAAGTAATTCTAAATAACTGGTTGGAGTAACATAATTGTATCTTCTTAATTCAGCTAAGAACTTTTGGGATAGTTTCTCTACGCTTTTATGAAGATTCTTGAACATTTCAACCAAAACTGGTATCTTGCCTTCGATTGCTAATTCCTATTCATAATCTGCTAATTATCCCTTTCCGACACCAACCAAGGCTTCCTCTGGCCATTCGGTAAACCAATCAATAGTACAACAATTAACCAAAGATGGAAACATTCTTAATCTAGTTGTAAATTGATTTCCCTTTGTACGTCATAGCAATAATCAAATGGATATTCTTCTTAACTCTAATCAAATACTGTGTAAATATGTTCATCCTGGTAGGGGGTATCTGTCTCTTAATGCACTCTTACTTACATGCTTAAGTAATATCCTCAAAATCTTTCTCTTAATATATTCCAGTAACATCACCAGAATTTAGAACATTGTTCAAATCTTCCAACATCTATTCATTAATTATTTGAGTGTCACAAAACAAGAAAGTCACTGGTTTATTTTCAATACCAGCTATCATCAATACCTTTTTGACGTCTTCTCTCCAACTCCTCATTGAGTAATTCTTTATAACTTCAATTTAAAACAACTTATAGTTAGTAACAAAAGTAGCCATTCTTGACAAGGATTGTCTACCACTACCTCCAACTCCTAGCAACAAAGCATTACCTTAGGGCTGTCTAATAATCCTAGCAATTCTTGATATGTGTTCAGTTGCATCCACAAACATTACTAATCTCATTTACTTTTTGGCTCCTCCAATTATAAATGTGTTATCAGTGTTATAATCTTCTTAGTAATTGTCCATTCTATTAACTAGATGATGCATATCTGGGATCTATTGATAGACTTTGATATCTGCATCTCTGGATTGCATGAAATCTCCAAAGATTATTCTTTCTGAATCCAACACTTATTCAGAAGTGACTCCAAATTAAGTAAATCCAATCTTCAACATATTCTTTAGTTCTTGTCTATCTTCTTCGGTTGTCAATCTATCGTGAAATACTCTTAAATTCTCATGATACCATATCTTAACTAATGCCACTACATCTGGAGTTGACTTTGGGGCAGCTGAACTTATTCCTTGGAACACTCTCCAAATATCTCTGAGATTGAAGGTATAATGAGATTTAGCAGGAGTTGGCAACATTGTTGATCTTACTTATTAATAGAATATTAACACACTCTAAACTAAAGTTGGAATGCAATTCTTAATAGGTTCATTGAATCTTTTTAAGAAGAAAGTAATCAGAGAACTGAAAATCTCAGAAATGTAATTATTGCTAAGTTCATTATATGCTATCACATTACAATGTCTGACTATTCTATTACTAATAAACGTACGACCACCTCCAGGAGGACCCATAGCAGCAAGGATAATAACATCTTCAATTTTCATAAAGGATAGTTCTTTTCTATTATACCAACCTTTGTAATCCAAATATTATCTAAGTAATTCCAATGGTGGCTATGCGCCATATTATTCTTTCTTTGGCATGTTTAAATCATCTACAAAGATAATCATTCTCTATCTGATTGGAGGACCAAAGACCCCTTTTCTTCTTTTCTCTAATTTTGAATCTATTGTATCCTATGTTTGATTGGCTGATGTTTATGCACTAAAAGTAAGGGCTATATATAAGAAATCATCACCCATTCCTGTAGTGAGAAGACTAAAGATATTCTATGTCTTTCCAGTTCCTGTAGGTCCAGGATTCAGAACATTCTTGTTATTTGACAAAAGCAATTTCAATAAGTACATGTTTCTAGTTGAATCTGCAGTTGGAATCATGATTTCATGGTAAGCCAATTTAGAATCAATACTAAAGTTCTGATACATTTGATTCCAGGCAATGAATGTATTTGTTGAAATATCAAGATAAACCTCATAGAAGTCCTCTGGTTTATCAAATTTGGCCAAAGATTTTAAAGTGTCATTAAATCCTTATCTATTGTTTCCAGTTGCACCAATTGACCAAGTGAGCGAAAAGAAGAATAACTTCTCTAAGGCAGCTTCCAATTATTCCATTTCCTCCACCATTATCTTTTTTAATTCTGTGTCTACATATTAGGCCAAATAGCAATCAAGAATTCTCATTAAAGATTGCACTAAATTATTATTGGAAGTTGTAACTATCTCTATTATTGATTTTCTTAAGAGCTCAATAGTTGGATCAAGATATTATTTAAAGCAGTTAACTAGTTTGTTCTTTATTATTTTACTTTTAACTAAGATAGTTTCAGGTAATCTATTGATCCAAGAGTCAATTAGTACTTGATATCCTAAAGCCTCAGGTTCCATATAAACCATACCACATCTACTAACTGTAGCTTGGAGATGCCACTGCCAAATCTTCTACTTCAAACATCATCGTCATGTATGGAGTTAATGTTAAGATCTATCCAGAGTTTAAGCATAATTTCTTATTGTCATCCAGTACTGTATTCATTGATTCAATCCACAAGGCATCCACAGGTCCATCAAAAATAACCCAATGTTTTTCACCTGATTCATCTTTTACAGTTTCTCTCACTATATAAGCTAAGACACCATCTGTCCATTCATGAGTTTATTCATTAAATTGTCCATACAATTAACCCATTGTAATAGATTTTGGATTTAAGATATGAGTATGTACCTTCAATTTACATGACATAGCTTTTTGTAAAGTTGTAATTGTAGATGTTTTGCCACCTCCAGTTGGACCTACTAACATCAATCCGTGTCTCACTTAGATTGTGTCATATAATTATAAGCATTTATCAATAAACACCTTTACATTTTATAGATTCTGTTATTAACAACAGATGTTTAAGTCCTCCAATAAATCGCCATAAGAATACACTGGCTTCTCAACTCCAGGGAATAAGTCATTGATAATATTCTCAAACAAAGGGAGATCATCCTTCAAAAATTTAGGAACATTAACATCTCTCAATGCTCTTAATAGTAGTTACTCCTCATCCATAGTTGGATTTTGTTATTTCAAAATACCAGCAGCGTTAATAACTGATCTAACAGCTCTCATTCCATAATCATAATGGTCTTAAGAACTTAATTATTCTGAACTCAATTTAAATGTTGCAACCATCTTCTTAGCTAATTCTCTTCCGAGTTCAAATCCAAATGAATAGAACATAATTTCTCCAATCAAAGCATAATCTGGAACCATCATAGCTACACCTCTAAACAAAGCTTTTAAATTATCAGGCAATTCAGTTCTACCAGCATAACCAGGATTCATTGTAATAAACACTGAGAAAGTGGCTTAGATTTTAATAATTGATCCTTCGAATTCTATTTATGGAGTTCCTTTTGCCTTCTCTCCAAATAACACCAATAATTATTATGCAATCACAGATAGCACCTCAATGTTAATTCTATTAAACTCATCAAAACAACACCATGCACCTGCACTTGCTAAACCCTTAAAGAACTTACCTACCATCAAATAATCCATAGAATCAGAACAATTAAACACTACACATTATTTAGCTAATGCTTTTGCTAAATCTTTCGTTGACTCTGTTTTTCCAGTACCTGCTGGTCCTGCAGGAGCACCTCCTAGATTTAATTTTAGGGCACCCATCAAAGTCATATAGCACTTATCTGTTAAAGGAGTAATCACTAATCTGAGAGTGTTTCCTAAATACTCATAACCATATGGGAAATTTGTTTAAACACACTTAACAAAACAATCATCATTTTCCCAATAATAACGTAACTAACTAATCCATTCAAAAGCACTGACGTCAGTAACATTTTCTTTAAATAATTTCTCCACAACATCCTTTGCATGAACATCAATAACAATTAATGCATTTATAGTAGTTTGCTGTTACTTTGTTAATTTGGTTCTTACTAATTCAACTAATTTATTGATCTAGGCTTTCAATGTTTTCTCCCAATATTCCATAACACTATTACTTTTTATAGCTTATTCCACTTCTTTCGTCCATAGAATTTGAGAGCCATTCAAAACACACTATCCAGGATGTAATTAAACCCACTCATGTCTAAGTTTCACTTAATAATCAGAAACACTATTTACTAATGCTTATCTCACACTTGATTTCATCATATCTTCCACTTCTCCCATCCAATCTTCCACATTTTTTTTATTTGGATCTAAAAGCTTAACGAAACCTACTTTTTCACCTTCAGCTGAATACATTGCATGAATCTTTTTTGCATCATCAAATTCAATTGAATTGATGTTTTCAAATACTTTTCTTAAATGTGGTTAGACTGCTGTTGGTTCTTTAGTTTGTGATAAGATTTCTAGTAAATCATCATTTGAAAGAAAATAGAATCTTGCAAATTTTTCTCTTTTCTTTTCCAAATAATTGTTAAGTTCCTTTTAAATTATTTCTAAATTCTTATTAGCCTCCTGCAATCTCTCCAATAAACCCTCTTAAGTGCAAACTCTCAAGACTTGAGCATAAGTTTTAGCTTATGTCATCGTATGCTTCCAAGTTTAATCTACAGTTTTGAATTTCTTAGTTTCTGCAGGTAATTATTTTGCAATATCTGGTGAGTCAAAAATAGGTTATAGATACATCCATTAGGCTTGACATTTACACCATTCTTCTAGAACATCTGAGGTCATTTTAAGAGTTGTATTCCAATTATTGATTCTATCTTCAAATGGACCTTTGAAAGGTGAGAAAGACATCGCTTAAGTGTTGACAATATGTTCATCAAGCACTTATTGAATCTCATCATAACCTCTAATAATAAATGTAATTGATTTGTAAGGCAACAATTAAAAGTTGATTCCTTCCCATATAGTCTCCATTTGATCTAACATTGTTTCAATCATATATTCTTTTTATGCCTTTTCTCCAACTTCAACACAAACGTCAACATTTTACATTAGCCCCATTTCTAATACCTTTGTAAAAGTGAATTCACTTTCTGGTTAAGGTTTAACAAATCCAATTCTGTTTTTCAATTCTAACCAGTGTCTCTCCTTCATTCCTTGTTTACGAAGTGCAACCAATAATGGAACCTTTGGTTTAAACTCCTCAATCTGTTGCTTAATTGAAGTAGCAATTTTTAGTACACCTTGGAGATCTTTATCTTTGAATTACCTGCAAGATCCAATTAATATTCTGATTGCCTCTTCAACCCATTTTTCAGCAGCAACAGCATCAATTGTAGGTAATTCATCCTTAAACCAAGATTCTTGATTAGTAAACCATTAATTAGTAGTTATCCATAAATTGCTGTAGGGTTGAAACTCTCTTTAGAGCATAGTAATTTTATTGTAATCAGTTTATTCCTAATCAAACAAGGCCTCTCTAGAATTATACTTACGAGCTTAGTCTTAAAATTCTGCTAAGTATTTATTAACATCTTAAGCAGTTTATGCAATTTCAGCATGATTCTTTAGAGCTTAATGCTAACTGAAATTTTAGATGGTTCTTTCCAAATTATCAATACTTTCTTTAAACTCTTCTTGTGAAACTTTCATTTCATCCTAAAATTTAACTTTCTCTTTTTCCATATCCTTTTGTCTTTTAGCAACCAAATCAAAAGTATCTTTAGGACATCCAAATACATACCATTTTCTATCCAAATCTTCTTTTTAAAATCCTCTATAACTAAATTCGTCTAATATTTTATAAATATCAAAGCATTTCTAAGTTTCAATTTTCAATTTGTCAACTTCATTCGGTAAATTCTGCATAAACTCTTTGATATCTGTTAATTTCTCGATGTTATTAGGGCTCTCTTTAATTTTACTCTATATTCTCTAATAATCTTAGAAGATTTCCATTGTCTTCTTTCTTGCTCTCCTTGCTATCATATCAATCAATAATTTGCTAATCATGGAGTATTTCTCACATAGATACATTTTAATTTCTCTACATTAAACTTAAAATATTGAAACCTCTACAATATCAGGAATTTAAGTCTTGAGTTCTTCTTCCATTTTATTGTATTTGAATATTTCTTCTTTAAGTTAATCTATTTCCCAAGGATTATCATCCATTTCAATTCTTCTAATCTCATCATCAGGATTCATCTACAAAATGGGTTTGAATTTCTCAAATATTTTTAGATAGTCCTCCAAGGGTTTGATTCCTCTAATCAATTCTTCTCTGATGTGTTCAATCAACAACCAGATCCACTTATTTTCATCTGGATACTTCTTTGGTCTTTCATTTGGATTTGGAGTCTAGGGTCTTTCTTTTGGTTTCACTGGAGTTTTAATGAAAGAATCTGTTTTCTATTTATAAAGATCAGTAAGTAATTTAGGTTCCAAATCAGGTACTTTTGTAATTTCATCAAGAGTCTTGTCAAATAAATGGATGATCATATTCACAAAATTCATGGGAGATGTTGAATAAAGAAATTCTTTATCATCGTTAGTTTTAATCATATCAATAGTAAATATTGGTTTGACTCCAACTACTTTATATTTGTTGATGATATTGGATGGATCATCTACATTGACCTCATCAGGAATGAACGATTTCAAATAATTAACAAATCTTTTATAATTGTTTTCTACCAAACTCTATACAGTATCCTACATCATCAATCTTACAACATTTAAGAATCTTTTCAATTTACCAAAATCATAAGTGATCTTATTTGATTCCTTCATGTTAAACCATCCTTTGCCAACTCCTGAAAAGTAAGTCTTCATGATTTTTAATAAATCCTAAATCCAAGACCCTCTTAAAGAATAAAGCATTTATGAGATTGAACTCTCTTGCACATGTTTAAATTCTTCCAAAACCATCACCTTGTCTATTTGAAAATTGAAGATCTCAAATTCTTACATCTTATTGCATTCATATCTGATCTCTTATAATGCTCTAATCACTTCAGTTTTAATAAAGAGAGTGCTGAAACAAAAATCCTTGAAAGTTTCTCTGAAATTCTTAGGATCAATCTAAGTGATTTCCCTTGGGTTATACATCTCCAATTATTTCTCCTTACTCACTGGGAACATCCCATAATAAGGTACTTATTTAGATGTATCTTCATCTATTTATAAATTTAATTCTTCATCTTCATACTCTAAATATCTATCAAAAATGATTTTATTCATTGTCCTCATATAATCATAATTAACTTCTGCAATCAAAGCTGTGGTATCTAAATTTTCTAATTTCTTTGTCTTTGCCAATTATTCTAATCTTCGTTTTTGTTCTGTATCCAATTCACTTAAATCTTGGATTGGCATCCCATCAATAAAGTAATTATATCTGACTCTGCTGTCAGCAAGTTCTCTATTTTTCAATGCTGTTCCCAACCTTTTAACAAATTTACGAGGATCTTCAGCATCAAAACAAATATATAATCTATGAGCTTTAAAATCTCTTCCATCTTTTTCCTTTAATTTCCCACTAAATAAGCCATCTTTATATTCTATTATTTCACATCTTCTTGCTTCATAAATACCATCTTCCTTCAACAAACAAGTCGCATATAGTTTTCTGTTTCTGCCTTCCTCATCCACTCTTCTTTTAATCCAATCCTCATTTGGATAATCGTCATTAGAATTATCATCAAATAGTTCAAGTGGTAACCACTGTACTTATGGATTTGTCATATTTAAGTCAATACCCTATAAATTTCAAATTGATGATTATACTTCTTAATCTAATAACTGCAGTATATTAAATGATGCATAAAGCTTCTGTTTTCTGTTGATTGCTACTTTTCTTGGAATGTTATCTCCAATCGGCTCATATGGTTCAAGCACTTTTGGCTCCACCACCAATTCCTCAGAAACTTAACTAATTATTGATTCTATTACTCTTCTAAATTGAATGAGCCCCAGATAGTCTCGATGTATTCGTAGTTTTCTTTAGTGAATAAGCCTTAGGAACCTTTTATTTCATAGTCGTATTTAAAGTTATATCTGGTAGATATGACAAGTCCTGTTATAATATTGCAACATTACTTAGTACATTACCGAGTTTTCAGGATTAATCACTTCCGAGTAGATAGCCCTTTAACGAGTTTGAAAGAATGACATACTAGGTTGTGACATTCCCTCTTAAATAATTTTAAATAAATTTATATCAGGTTGTCACATCAAAATAAAATCAAATTCCAAATAAGGCAATCCAATATCCTCTTGTTCTTGAATATATATCAAAAGCATTCCATCCTTACATTATTTATCATACATTAATCAATCAAATACACAACATTTATTCGATAAATAAATATCTAGAAATAAAAATATATATAAATACTATCTTAATAAATGGTTGGTTGTCTGATAATAATTGTATTAGAACTTTCACCTTTTAGATTGATTCCTTAAGTATTCATTTTTGACTTTAATAAATTAATTTTGATTAATCCAAATTTCTAAAAAATATTAGTGTTATCCTTTTAGCTCTTAAATAAGATTAGCCCCTAGTCTTTTCTAATTTTTGAATTGTTGCATAAATAAATGTCAAACAAATCCTAAGTATTAACTTTATAATCAGTTTCCATAGAATGTTCATTGTAATAGAGTTAAAACTCCATAATTTAAATAGGATTAAAGTTTTGAAGATTTAATATTTATAAATACAATACATATTTTAAATAATAAATGATGTGAAATAAATACTGCCTCCTTCTCTAAATTTTCTGTATCATTTTAAAATTAATTTAAATTATTCTTGCAATTTTCATTCAAAATATATCTTGTGATTTATTAAGTTGATTGATCAATTAAACTGCTATAATCCCATTTGCCATACTTAGAATAGAAGGTAAATTCTCTGCATTTTCATCTAAAAGAGCAATTTTAAGTTTTTTACAGTTAATTCGATAAATTTTAAGGGTATTTCTCTTAATTCTGACTTTCTTAAGGTACCTAAGCTTTAACTAATCCCATTATTATTTGATTTGATAGAATTCTCATTTATTTGATTTGTCAAGCGGCTAATATATAAAATTTCGATTTATTGCCTATTTATTCATTTAAAGGATCCTTGTAAGTTCTGGCATTTATTGGCTATTATTCAAAATATTTGGGTTTAAAAGATCGCTCCTGTTATCAAAAACAATCAGCCTTTAGCATTCTCAGAATTATCTTAATTTTGGATAAATCTTCTATAATTATAAATCTTATATTTAAGTCAATTTATTAATTTCAACAATATAAGAACATAAAATTAATTTAGAATATTTACGAGATGAAAAAATATTAGATCATTCAGATATATCTATTTAAGAGCTTAGGTTATGAATAAATTTGTTGAAAATTAATTACAATTTTTATTTCTGTTTTTCCTTTTATTAGAATAAACCTTTAATATATTCTTAATGTTATAATCCTAAAATTAGAGTTTCTGAATGATTAACTTCCTTTGTATCTACCAATTTGAGATGCTACTCTTAATCAGTCGTGACATATAACATTCTTGTGTATAACTACTCTTTTTTGATATCGAAATTAATTATTGGCATATTTTTAAAGGCTTCTATGTAGAATTAATTAATTATGGTAGTTAACATTAATATTTAAATTTTACATTTAAGATTATGATTGAATGATTGATATTTCAAATTATTTGCTAACTCAAATAATTGGATAATGACTGCATTAAATAAAATATATTCACAGCATATTAACTAGGCTTCTAAAATGCTGAAAGACTTTTTTAGAAATTTAGTTCTTTAAGCTACAAACGACGATACATATTAATTATTTTCTTTATATAATGATTTTGACATAGCACTTACTATTTCTTTTGGAATTTTTCCTTTTCTAGTGATTAGTTCTAAATTTTGAAACAGAAATTTTGCGAAATTTAAATTCAAAATTTATTCTTAATCTTTCTATTTTTATAAGTCTAATAAATTATCATCATTTTTCTAGACCAATGTGTTTTGAAGATAATATTATATTTTTTTAAGTGAGGGATCGACCCATTCTCTAAAAGATTTTGATAATGATTCTTTTATTTTTCTATCGAATTTGAAGATTTTCTTAAGATTTAATACATATTATAATTTTTGAATATTGCCTATTCTTTATAAGCTTGTTTTAGCCAAGTTTTTAAGAAATAGTACAACTAATTTTCCAATAACTTTGCACAAAATTCTAAATTATTTTATCCTCATTTTTGGAGAGTATTATTATTTAATTTTTGGAAAAATTAATTTACAGTTTTAAGAGAAATTCAATGAATTTTGTAGACTACTTTTAGCATTTGAAGAAATCATTGTTGAGCAGTTGGCAACACTTACATGTTTTACTTGATAGTCTTCATTATAATTCTTGGAGACTGAATGAGACCTGTACTTAGGTTTAATTATTGGTTGTTTAAGAAAACTCTCGTTATAAATAAAATTAATACTTATTCTTCTTTCTATTTAAATTCATCAAGATGAATTCGAAAAGAATTCAGAGATACATCTTATTCTTTTTTATCAATTTGAGATTTAACTTTAATTATGTAGTCATTATTCTAGTTTAACTTATTGGTGCATTTAAATTTTTTCTATCTTTGACTCAACACAGTTAGTTATGTTTATTAAGAATATTTAATTTTCGGTTATTCCTTCACTTAAATCCACGAATCAAAAATATAATCAAAACAACTTTGTTATTTTATTTCTTGAGCTTTAGGATTCTACATAATATTTGAATATTAAAATTTAATTTAATTATATTAAAGTTATGAATACCAACCTATATATCAAAGTTAGTGCATTTTGTAGATTATACCATATATCTAGAGTAAATACTAATATTCAATTTAATATTTTAGATTGAGATTGTTTTAAAAAACAAGTTCATTATTTTAATTTCTTACAAAAAGGCAAATTTTAAACAATTCTCTCTTTTATATTATTTAATACTAAAGTCTTAAATACTTAGGTTTAGATATCAAACTTTAATTTTTCTAATGATTGTCTTATGATAGAATATGTTATTAAATTAAAGCTATTATTTTAATGTTAAAATAGTATATTTTGTTTGAAGATCACTTGGAAGAAAATCCTTTATATACTATAAAATATGTCTCTGTAAAAGGAATTTTTTTTAAAATCGGAATTATTTAATTACATAAAATAGAATGTGCTTAATGAAAAGAAAATTAGTTTATACGTTAATCAATTATTATTATATATTGATATTACTATAACAGAACGTTTGGAAAATAGAATATTACTCAGGGCATATAAATAATATGTTAAATCACAAAATCTCAATCAATTTCCATGAATTCTAAAAAAAACTATTAAATAATAATAATGAATAATTACATTTAAGTTCACTTTCTTGTTATGCAATATTCCTGGCTGACATTGGATTCTTTACCAATGGGGAACTAAGAAAATGATTTGCGATTTGTTCAAGGCTAACCTTTTTTTAAATAAAATAATCGCTGGATTATTAAGTTTGTTAATTTAATTTGGATTAGTTTTAAAATTGATTGTTTAGTGGGTTGTTTTCTTTTTTATCCTAATTCAAAGATTTAAGATTGCAATCAATATCTTATTTTATTTGATTCTTTTTAGTTCTATTCTATGCATCATCCTTTCTCTTAAGAATAGGTGAAAATTGTGATTCCATTAATTGATCTTTGTATTTCGAAATTGATTTATTTTCAGAAAATTTTAAGTTTGAGCTTTTTGGTGATAAAGATTATTAAATATTATTGACTTTTTCTTTGAGTTCTGCCATCCCATCTCGTAGTTTTTGTTGTTTACAAGAACCTAAACAATATTGAAAATTTGAAATTATAACTTGCAATTAGTTTTATGGTTTCAATGGAAATGTCTTAGGTTTTGCTTTTCATAGCTGAAATTCCAATGATTACAAGGTATTTGATTAGTTTTTGTGAAGGTTTGAGTTCATAATCTAGCATAAATTGATTCAGTTCTTTAATATTATTCATGCTTAATATATTTGTTAAATATTTTAATAAAATGAAAATTAAAGATTAGAAGTTCAATGTTACAAATGATATAATATATCAATTTGAGTTTTTTTTTAGAATTCAATGAAGTAGAATACTTGAGTAGAATATGGTTTTAGGGAGGATTCAATAAAAATATACGATGCAATTTAAACTTATTTAATAATAATGAGAGATATTAGAAATAAATTTGTATAAAAAGATATATGAGTGAATATTTATATATGAATTCATACTAGAAGATTGATGATGATTATATATTAAGAAATGAGATTGTTTGGTTATTTTAAAAGACAAGCAAATAATAATGAACATCATATTGTTTACTCAAATAAGGATGAATATCTTGTATTTGCAATTATTAATTTGTAAAGGGGAGATGAAAGACAACACGAAGCATGGCAAAGGAGTTTATAAGTTTGCTAATGGTAATCGATATGAAGGGGAATGGCATTCCAATCAAAAACATGGAACTGGAAAATATTTTTACAGTAGTGGAGAATTGTACATTGGTTAATGGTAGCGTAACAAGAAAAATGGATATGGACAACATTTCGGACTTTATGGCGATAGATATGTAGGAAACTGGCTCAACAATTGTAAACATGGACAAGGTACAATCTATTATGCAGATAACTCAATTTACTCAGGTAATTCTATATAAGTAACTATGTAGGTGAATTCCAAGACAATAAGAAGCAGGGTTCTGGATATTTTTACAATGCAATCACGAGATAGCTGAGTTATTAATTATATGATAATGATAAATTAAAAGAGTAAAATACAGTTGATTAAGTTCCTTGCGATTTTGAAAATGTGTTTTCTGCGTTTTTAGTGATAGATAATAATAAATTATATCTTCAATCATTACCCAATAATAAACTAAATGAAACTCACTAGATTTAGCAGGAAACCTTATCAGCATTGAATGAGATAGTTACTCTGAAAGGAAAAAAGAAAAGTATATAAATTTTATATTATATTTTAATTTAATAGTGTAGGAATGGAATATAGATGAGGTTTGTACTTGGTTAGATTATTTAGGATTATCTCAATACTAAGAGAAGTTTATTAAAAATCACATGATAGGAGAGATTTTACATGATCTAACAGATGTTGAATTAAAAGATGAATTGGGCATTGACATCTCAGCACATAGAAATCTCATACTTAGCAAATAAATATACATAAGAAATATTATATCAAAAAAATGGAAGGGTCAATCCACAGGGCTGATAGTGAAAACTCAGGTGATCAATCATCAAATATGATTAACTTTATTCTATAATCCAAAAGATTGAACCTGTAGTATTGGAAAGTCCAGGGATGGAAGTTCTAAAATAAAAGAAATCAAAAAATAAACGATCATCTGGAGGTTCTGAAGATAAATTGATACCACCTGATAAACAGGACTAACAATAAGAGACTGCAAATTTCTCGCCAAAATAAGGAAATTAGGGATCGAATTTAAATGTAGAATCTAATAAGGTAGTAAGCAATTATAATATTAATAATGCTACTGGTTCAGAATTTTCAGATGTGAGCTCATGCTGTTCTAATGAATCAAAGGATTAGTAATTGGAATCTAGTCAATCTAATTCACCCAAAAAACATAACATGTTCAAAGAGAAGAATTTATATTAGAAGCATTAGGAGATACTAATGAGCTTATTGAAGAACTTAGGAATTAATGAGAAGTTGCTGATTAATTATAAAGAAATCAAACAAGGACCATAGATTGGAAAGGGGAGTTATGGAATTGTTTTTAAAGGAAATTGGCTTGGCTAAGGAGTGGCAATTAAATCTTATTGCCAAAGGAAAGATTAATAAATGCATAAACAATTAATGGCTGATTTTCTTAAAGAAGTTTAAGTCATCTCTAATTTGAGACATCCTAATATAGTTCTATATATGGGTGTTTGTATCAAGCAAGATAATTTTTACTTAATTACTGAGTAAGTAAAGATATAAATTTTAGATATATGGAAAATGGGAGTTTGTATGATCACATTCATAAAGGAAAACTAAGAATCTTAACTTTATTTAAATAATTGAAGACATTACTTTAGGAATGAATAATCTTCATGGCAGAAAAATAATGCATTGTGATTTGAAATCATCCAATGTGTTGATCGATTCAAATTGGAATGTAAAATTATGTGATTTTGGACTTTCAAAAATTAAGAGCAAGAAAACTAAAATTATGATTGGAACACCCCATTGGATGGCCCCTGAAATCATGAGAGGAGAACCTTATACTGAGAAATCTGATGTGTATTCATTTGGTTTGATTCTATGGGAAATTATTACTGGTAAAATGCCTTATGAAAATCTTTCTGTTACATAAATTCTGGGAACTGTTGGAAGGGGCCATACTTAGGTTGAGATTCCTCAATCCAGTAATCCACCTATTTTGGCAATTATAGCAAAGGATTGTCTTAAAAGAGATCCATCATAAAGACCAATCTTTGCTAAAAATCCAGAAAGGATATAAGAGAGTCAAAAGCAGAAATGTAAAACAAGGAGAAAGCTAAGAAATACTTAATTGATTTTTTATCTAATTGACATTAATATAAATATATTTATATAACTGATGGATTCTAAAAAATAAGCAAAGGGATCAGAGTAAGTTTAAAAGAGTCGAGGCAATATTGACATGTTGATTCGTACAAAAAAAGAGGAATTATATACAATCAAATAGAAAAATGATCAAAAATAAAAGGAAACAAGAGCACAAGAAGAATTCAAAAGGGCTGAAAGGGCAAATAAAATAGAAGATGAAAGCAAAAAAGCCAATTCTAAAAATGCTGAATTGGAACAAGAATGGTGTAATCTATAAGAGAAAGATGAATGCGAAGAACTTAATAAATTGATAAATCAATAGAAAGATAAATTTGCATAGATTATGCATGCAAAAGATGAATTAATTAAACAATTTCTAGATGAGTTGAATAAGAAAGATGATGATTTTGGTAAAATGATTAAAGAGTAAGCCATTGATATTCAAACATTAATTTAGAAAATGAGATCTCAATTTTTTTAATTAAGAGAATGCATACATGAAGATCTTGAATCTATTGAAAATGAATACATAGAAGAAGTATAATAATATATAATAATCAAATTAGAGAGCCAATTTATTGAATAATTATTAAACTGAAATTAGAAATTTATTTGACAAAAGAACTGAAAAGGAAAAATCATTTGTTGATGAGAGAGAAAGAAAAGAGGAAGAATATACTAAAGACATTGAAAAGTTAAGAATCTAAGGATTGAAATCCTATGCTGAACTCAAAATCTCAATGGAAACAGAAATCTAAAATTTGGAAAAGTGTTATGAGGATATGAAAGCACTTTATCAATTGAATACTGAAAAGTTAGACTATAATCTTAAAGTTTTAAAGGAAAAATAAATATCGCATACACATACTCATGATGATCTCAAAAGAAAAGACTAAAATTTAAATAATAGATTGAGAAGTCTAATAAAAGACTATAATGAATTTGATACTAAATTTAAATAAACAAATAAAGAATTAACTTAGGAATACAAGCGTATTACAAGATAGTTTAAAGAGTTATAGAGAAAGTTTAAACATTTTGATAAGGCTGATTAAAAAGCTTATGCTGATATTCATTCCATGAACGAATTAGAAGTAAGAAAATTAAAAGCAAAAATTCTTAAATGTGACAAAACTATTCATATTTAATAATTAGGTGTGGATTGGGAAGAGCCATAAGATTAAAAAGAGACTGAAGGTATTTTATTGTTTAATTAATAGAAAAGTCACAAATTATGGCTGAAGAAGAAGTTCAACTGCCTTTAAGCGAAGAAAAATTATAAGAAATAGTTGAAATATTAATTGAGGAAGTCGATTTCTTGATTGATGATAAAATGAGGGAAACTTTAGAAAAAGCAGAATAATAAGAGATTTCAAATGTTAAATTGGGAGTCATAAAGAAATGTCTCAATATTGATTCAATTGATGAAATGCTTATTTTCATTGACGAATTAATTAAAAATTGTGAATTAAAGGTTTAAGAAGAACAACCTCAACAGGAAGCTGTCACTGAGGCTATTAAAAAAGTATAAATTGAATAACCTTAAACTGTTCCAGATGAGGCTCCTAAAATTAATTATGATACTTTCATTATAAACCAAAACAGCATAATTAACTTTTTGATGCATTGGATGAAAACTAATGAATAGAGAAAGAAACAAATTGAGAAAATGTCTTCAAGAAGAGCAGCCAAATAAGAAACAGAAAGATAAAAAAAGGAAAGAATTGCTAAGGAAGGCAAAAAGTATTGGGAAAAATTAACTCAAGTTCTACCTGAAAAAACATTTAGAGTTTGGAGGATTCTAGATAAATAATTGAGCAAATATTATGAATTACTTCTGAAAAGATCTAAATTAGTAGAAGAAACAGGATAAATTCATAATCATAATGAAGAATTAAAAAATCTACTCAATTAATATTTATAAGTATCTCATGATAATTAAATTAGATTAATCATGAATTAAAAATACCTCCTACAAGATTTTTAAAGTTGGAATAATAATAAGATAATGTCAAATTGCAAAATAGCAAATGACTAAATAGTCAATTAATATAGTAAATATAATTTTTTAATTTCATTAACTTTTAATCACTCATTATACAATAATATCCTTAACTTAAAATAGCATATCTTTCATTATTCTAAACTATTATAAATTCAAGTTTATTTCATAAGAATTTAAAAAATAATAGTAAATTAATATTACATTTAATTTACACTAATCAACAAGATTTTCTTAACCATCTCATTTAAATTAAGTTGTTTCTTTATCCGATTTTTGTTTGCCCATGTGCCAAAGTTCTAGTCTTTTGATAATAAAAATGTCTCAAATGGCCGACAATAAGTTCATCACTTAATAATGCTAATTATTTCTCATCAGCAATGTCCACTAAATAGATTAATAAATAATTTACATTCCTCTACTTTTTCAGTTTCTGAAACTTTAAAAGGAATATGATTCTATTTATAATACTTTCTATAATCTCTGTGGCCCAATCTAAGTTTATATTAAATATGATTACAATTTTCCATCTGGTAACAATAATTCCCCAGTTTTTGTTAACGTAGCTTTGTGTTTACTAATTTATTTTAGTAATTATTTTAATCTCTTTTATCTTAATTCTTCATCAGTTTATAAATCATCTTTTTATTTTTATTTCAAATCCTCTTCTTCATCATCAGAATCAATATCAATATCTTCATCTTCATCATCTTCCCACTCTCCCTCATCTTCAGGTTAATTTTCAATTTTTTTATCTTTTTCATCCTCTTTTTACTCTTATTTCAATTGCAATTGTTGTTTTTTTGCTTCAATTTATAATTGTTATTCCTTTTGCTCTGCCAATATTCCTAATAGTTTTTCTTCAAAATTGTAATATTTTGATAAGAGCTTATATTCCTATTGAGGCATAAAACAATGTCCTTTGTCTAACATATGATCTTTCGCAGCATGACTATTTTTGAATGTTTAGAAACAATGTAAACAAGTGTTATTTTTTATTTATTTGTTCTGATAATGCTTTTAGCAATCCCTCAACATTTATGCAGTGCTTTTATTCACGAATTAAAAATCCATGATTATTCATATGTTTTAAACACTCTTCAAGATCATCGCATAATTCATCACAAAATAAGCATACATTACTATTTAATAAGGAATTTCCTGTTTAACTTCTATTGGTTGTGATAGGAGATTTTAATTAATTTTATTAATGGCTTTTAGAAACCAGATGTGCTTAATATGTTTTACTTGATTTGAATTCTTTATTACAACATTTAAAAGTTTAAGATTGAATAGGAGTTATGATCTTCTACTCTGAGATTTTATCAAATTCTAATAGATGATTTAATTGATTACTTTCTTTATAAGCTTCATATGAGACTGGGGCCAAGTTAATCATTTTTCTAGCGATGTTGTATCTGTGAAAATCGGTTTTGTAGTGATCCTTATAAGTAGGTTCTTCTGGGAAATTAAGTAAACAAGAAGAGCAAACAAATTGACTCCATGTTATAATTTTAATATTGTAATAAAAAGGAGATGATAATCATTTCTTCCATGATTATCTTAAAGTACTTAAACTTTTCTGCTATTTCTTGTAATGCTACATTGTCTTCGAAACAAGATCAAAGCTATTTCCCAATATTTATGATTGTCTTGTTGAGTTTCTCATCAATTTCGAATTTCTGTTATACTTTTCCAAACTAGAAGATTCTACTCTCTAAGATTGAAACATTTCACTTTTGTTGTCTTCTGCACATCTTCTTAGTTTTAAGAGACTTTGTTCCTTCTCAGATTATTGTGTATCTACTCTGATATTCATCTATTCAATATTTTTCTAATCTTGCATTTTTTTAAGTAATTGTTGTGGATTTGAATAAATTTTTAATAACTGTTATGAATTGATAGTGGCTGCTGATTGAGTATATTATTTTGTTTTTGCACTTACTAATTAATTCAATCTATCATAGGCCGTTGGGGATTTCTTATTAGGATCTATAATAAAATTAGTTTAATTGAGATTTTAGACTTTATTTATTGATATTTACGAACACATATTTTCTAATTGCTTAATTTTTTCATTTTAATTTTTAATTTCTGCATCAGATTTCTGCTATTCCTCCTCTAGTTTTTAAGTGAGTGCTTCGATATGTAATCGTTATTGTTATTCTACTCTTATATGTTATCGAATGGTATTTTCAAGTCTTTGGATCTCTTGTTCATATTTATTGTCAATGAATTCTTCTAACTGCTCCTTGAGATTCTACACAAGAGTTGTGAGTTCTCGAACTAATTCAAGGATACATTTTCTTAATCTTTCATTAGAGACTTCCTTAAACTGTTACACGTCAGCTGATTAGGGCTTGACTATTTATAAGAGGTCAGCAAAGAGAGAAGCTAAACATTAATTATCTTCCATAATAATTTAAATTTTTATATCTCATCCACTCTTGAACAAAAGAATTGCTACCTATCCCATATAGAAATAGATGAAATGCTTGGTTTCGTGTGTAACATAAGATCCGAAGTTTCTGCCCACAATGCAATGCCAAGTTGGATTATATTTCTTGTCAAACTCCTTCTTGATGAATGCCTATTTAATCTACAAAGTAATTTACAGCAATATCCTTCTCAATATTGAATTTCTCTAATGCTTGATTAGCACAATCAATGGCATCCTGTTACATTTCTTCAGACATATCAGCATTTTTTACAACTGCTTTTCTATCAGCTTGAGCCATTATTTAATTAAATATTTTTAATAAATATCATAAAATCAAATTCTGATTACTGAAAACAAGTGACGAACTGTTGTAAAAATAGGTGAAACAGATCGTTTATATATCGTCGTTTTTGTTGTCGAATACATTGAACTTGAAGTCGTTTTTTATTATATATTGTCCTTTGGAGACATTGATGGAGAAGGCTATGTCAAAAAATTATTAAGTCTCTATTATTTCTCAATTTTTAACAATGCTTTATCTGTTTAACATTTTGATAACTTAGCTTCTATTTCATCATTTTATGAGTTTTAATTGTAGATATGTAATTCTTAATCAATTTATTCAATTTTTGAATCTTGCAAAATTTCTAATTCTTCATTATTAGTATCTTCATCATCAATTAAAATTTAAGAGAGAATTTCCCTATGAGTGGGATGGGCGCTTTGAACAGTTGATGCAAAAGATAAATGATTTTATTAATTATTGAGTAACAATTAATTTATTATTAATTATTGTATATTAGAGAGAGACACCATGTTTATTTGAGTAGATCTAAAGTTTAATTTATTAAAGAGTTTGCCTAATTAATTATTCTATATTAGTACTAATCAATTCTCTTGGTATTATATTTTTCAATTTTTTCCTTTGAATTTCACATATATAATTTTAGATTTCTTTTGATAAATAGTACAAGATTCTTTCCGTAGAGTTGATGAGATATTAATTTTCCGTTGGCATACTTATTCCAATACCATTCCTAAAAGTAATTATTATAATGAATGCCTTCATCATTCTATTTTCCTTTGTTGATGTTGCCATAATAAATATCTCCATTTTTATAATGCATGACTGTAAATCCATCACACTTTTAGTTTTTAGCAACACCATAAGTCAAAGGATTAATTTTGATGAGTATTTTATTACCATAACAATTATTCTTAAAAGTTATAATTTTTTGCAAAAAGCCTATATTTTCAATGTCTTCAACCTTTTTAATTGAGTCATCCTCTCCCCAAAATATCTTAAGACAAGAGTTTTTCAATTTATATAGACCTACATCTTTTGGTTTTGATTTCTTAAATAAACCATAATAATATGCTATTAATTTATAACAATATTACATCCATCTGGATTGATTACCAAACTATAGCCCTCCAAGTGTTATTGGTAAAAAGATCCAATGTATAGAGTGCCATCGCTTTGAAGAATCATATCTTTATCAATAAGACAATTTAATAGTTGTTGCATTAATTTATTAATTAATTGAGTACGAACACATTTTCGTTTTTAATATAATAATGTTAAAAAAATTTGTTTTGCTTTTGATTCTCATAATAGCTATCTAAGCTAGACATCATAGACTGAGACCAACTAAATCAGATGTTGGACATAACCTGGCTATGAAACCTGGAGATGCCTGTTTACCAACAACTAATTTGGGAGGATAGAAAAAAGAAGAAACTGCTGCCAATTAAGCCAGAAAGCATTTGACTGTATATTAATAAATATAGAGTTAGAAATTTGCAGATGATTTGACTGAAGAGAATAGAAAAGCTACATAGAAGGAGCCATTCCCAAACTTATACACATATTAGGATGATAATTGTGTTGGAAAAGCTTAGGATCCTCCAAAGAGAGATAGAAGAATGAGAAGAAGTTGATTTCATTAAAATAAGTTCTTATATTATATCTAATAAATTACATTTGATCTTAACAATTCTTATTTAACTTTAAATTTCATAATATTTTCTACTTAATTAATTATAATAAATGAGGAATTTCGATGAAGAAAATGAGATTGATTTAATTGAGGAAGACATACCTATTGTTAATGAACCAATATTTTAATGGATATCATTCGGAGATGAACAATACCATTACAATTTTTTGGATGATATTTCAATGTTAAGACATGATAGTATTTACTTTGAAGAAGAAGACAACTCAAGATTATTTCGTGTTCCAAGAATTTAATTGGGATTATCATCCTCTAGGTATTTTTAAGTTCAAGAATTAGAGAAAAACCTCAAAATATTTAGAAATACCTTCAAAAGCGTACCATCCCAATATAAAACTAATAATTTGATCTGAGACTCCCTCATATCAAAGTAACCTAACTCAGAAATATGAACATCTGCCATGAATATTTTATTAACGAGTTCGGGTATACAATTTAGCAATATAATTAGACTTTAAGATTCACAAAAAAATACTAATTCTGTAGACATTTTAATTGGTAGGTTATTTCGGTAAAATAAGGACATCATCCCAATTGACATAGGTATTAATTGATAATTAATAACTCAATAGTTTTACCAGAAGATAGAGTTATATCTCGAATTCATTGTAAAATTGTTTGTAATGATTATTTCAGAAAGGATTAAAAATTGGATCCATTACATGCAAAAGTTTTAAAACTAATTTAAATACCATCCATTATTAAGTTTAGGATTAGCTAATTTTTAGAGTAGAATATATTTCTATTAAAATAGAAAACCAAAAATAGTTTAAATACAAGATCTTGGCAGTATTTGTGGCACATATCTGCGAATCCTTAAATAGAAGCCTTGTTTGCTTTAAAAGGATCAAAAATTTAGTGTTGGAAGTGCTACTTGGTTTAATATTGTCTTCAATCATACATATGATTCTAAGTTAAAACAAAGAGATCCTGAATGGTTTAGCATAATCAAACACTTAATTAGTTTGAAACAATCCTAAAAACATGAAATTCATATGAATGAAAATTAACCTTTGCCTTTTGAACCTCTTGATTCTATAAAGAATCTCACCGTTAGTGATCTTTACAAAAAGTTAAGCGAATACTAGATACCCATACTAGTTGTTAAACTCTAGGGTCAAGGAGTCGATAATAACAAGTCCCTAAACTTATTTATTGGAAACACTGAGACAGATACCACAGACTTTTTTGTAGGGAGAGGGGCTGAAAACAATATTAAGATCAATTCCAATACGATATCAAGAAAGTAATGTCGAATCAAGTATTCTCAAAAGTAAGGGACTAATTTTAATTAGATATCCTGGATGGATAATAAACGACGGATTAGAAGATAGAGAATCTGCTAATGGTACTTGGATTAATTTACAAACTGCAGAATAGTCAGAAAAGAAAATTGAATCTAATTTAATTTAAATCCAACACAATGATGAAATTAAGATAAGTGATTTTATTCTAAAAGTGGAACTCTTTAAGGGAACAAAACAGGGAAATGGACATATAATTAATTAATTTCTTCATGATTGATTATTATTAATTAAATAAAAAGTGACGCTATTTATTTTTATTCATAAAAATTATATCTTTTTAATCTCAAAATAAATTTATTTATCAAATAATAAAAATGAGCAACATTCCACCCTCTCAACACCCACCCTAAGCACCATAACCAGGTCCATACTAATAACCTACATTCTAACCAGGCTTCGCTCCATAATATGCTCCTGCACCAGTTGCTTATGGACCTCCTCTTACCCAATCCCCATTGAGATATTCACAACCCCTTTACCAAGCACCAGTCGTTCAACAACCAGTGTATGCTCAACCAGTCGTTTAACAACCAGTATACACTCAACCAGTTGTTCAATAACCAGTCTATGCTTAACCAGTTGTCTAACAACCAGTCTATGCTTAACCAGTTGTCTAACAACCAATTGTCACACAATCAATCGTTGCTCAACCTCAACCAGTTGTTGCTGCATAACCAATCCAAGGAGAAAGCAGAATTGAATATGTCCCATATGAAAAGACAGTCATAGAATACGAGGAAGTCAGATAAAAGATTTAAGTTCCAAAAGAAAAATATGTTACAGATTATTATGCAGTGGAATACCAAACTGAATATGTTCCATAAGTATTCTAAGAAAAATTCACAGGTAATCATATATTCAAATTTTAGAATACGTCCCTGTTGATAGATATCAAGAAAGAGTCGAATACTATCCAGTTGAAAGATAAGTTGTTCACTAACAAGTCTAACCAGTCCAATAAGTTGTTGCCTAACCAGTTGTCTAATAACCTGTCTAATACGTTTAACAACCAGTTCAAGTTGTTCAACCATAACCAGTTCAAGTTGTTTAACAACAGCCAGTCTATTAACAACAACCAGTTTATTAACAACCATTGGTCTAATCCATTCCAGTTTAGACTGTTCGCCCACCAGTTTATGGACCAGCAACAACCCTTCCTTTGGGTTAGACTGTATCACCAAGACCTCTTGGTACCACTGTCCCAGCTAAACCATTAGATAAAACTTAAGTATTTTTCCCTTTTAATTATATCTTTAGGGCCCCAAATAACCAGCCCAATAATAGAACAAACAAAAGAGCTTTTTGGATAGATTATTTGACAGAGATTGAAATGGATTATGAATATTTTTATAATGCACAAATAAAATTTAAAATTTTGAATTTTGGCATCTTTCTTTTTATATTTTCTCTTCACTCATTTATATTAGAATTAAATTGATTTCGATAGTCAATTGATTTAATTAGTTTGCAAAATGAATTCATAATTTTCTCAACAACCAAAATTAGAATAGGATCATTAGCCATTACCATACTCTCTACCTCCTCTCCAAAATCCAGATAGAGTCTAATATTATCCTATCTTCTATATAAAACAGAATAAGTATTAATTTCTCTTTATCAAATTAGCTAGCCAATTCATTCGAATTTTTAATAACTACCTATTGATCAATAAAATGGCTGGTTTGTCTGTCATCCCGTAATGCAAAACGATCCTTTCTTTCCGCACATATCAAATTTTTCTCAATTTACTCATAAACCTCCAACTTTCAATGCTGAAATACCAATTAAAATTGAAGATGATGCAGAAATTCCATAAACACAACAATCCTAGTAATTCCAAGAGCCTAATTCAAATAAAAAGAATGAAAAATCAAGGAACAAAAAGCAAAAAGATTAAAATAAATTAAGAAGAAACGTTGAAAATAGCAAAGAATTAGAAATCTAACCATGTAATTGCTCACAAAGTAATTGTCTTAAAAGATATTGTGCTTGTTTTCATAGTGGCAGGATGTGTTTAGATGAGTGTTAATGCAAAGATTGTAAAAATTGTACTGAGTTTGCTGAAGAAAGAGATGAAGCCATAAATCATGTTTATAAAAAATGCCATCGTGATAAAAAGGTTCCAGTAAATGAATTACTCTCTTTGCAAATGAGTTATGGATGCAAATGCAAATCTACTGGATGCTAAAAAAAGTATTGCGAATGCTTTAAGCGAGGATAGATATGTGGAGAATAATGTGCTTGTGAAGATTGCCTCAATATCCCATTTAGTTTAAACTAAAAGGATCTTAAGAAAAAGAAAACACTCCTAAAATGAAATCGTTCATTTAAATTCATTATAAACATTTATCATCATTTATATTAACACTTAAAAAAACACTATTTTATTGTTAAACTAAATCATTTTTTTTTGAGAATTATAATCAAAATTATATAGATTATATAAAAATATACAATTTTTTATAATTTCATGCAGAAAACCAACTTATTTCAAAAGCATAGAAATACTTGCTAGATTAAACCTAAAGTGTTTTTGATTTTATTTAAATTATTTTTATAGGTATTAAATATATGATATTCTAATCAGATGTATTATTTTTAAGAATAATTATTTCAGTCAAAATTTAAAAATTTATTCTCTATCCATAGACAATTAAAGAAAAATAGGCTATTCTATGAATATTTTCATTATATTTTAACATTTAAATGAATTATTTTTAAAATAAATAATTCATAAAATAATTATTAATTATTTAAAAAGGCCTAATTATTATGATCTAATGATTATATAATATAAAATTCACCAGAATAGATTTAGCAATCCTTTTAAGTTATCAAATCTGCATCAAAATAATAAACAAATAATAATTCTGCTACTCGATTTAAGAATTTATCATAATAATTCATGGCATCTACAATCATTTTGAACAGTACAAATTAATTAATCTTTGCTTGAAGGAGTATCTCTATATATATTTCCACCTTAAAGCAAAATCAGACTATAGATTAACAAATTAATAAGTTAAAAGTATTTTGAGTTCTTTATTCTAACAATTATCATTATCTCAAGTATTTTGCTAGCTTTAGATGATCCACTTTCATTAGCGAATAATGTAACTCTGAACATGATTGATGAAATAATTACAGCCTTATTTATTTGTGAAGCTTTATTAAAAATAATTAGTAAGGGTTTTATAATTAATGGGCCCGATAGTTACATCAGATCTCCAGGCAATATATTAGATCTCGTTGTTATTATTTTTTCATCTTTAACCTTTGATTAAAGTCAAGCATAAACATTTTCAAAGATTAATATATTAAGAGTCATTAGAGTATTAAGGCCACTTAGATTGATAGTCAGAATGAGGATTTAAAAATGTCCATAAATGCTTTGTTCAATAGTTTATCCCAAAAGATGAACATTGCTTTTGTTTGCCTAATATTCTTCTTATTATTCGAAATATTTGGAGTAACCTAATTTAAAGGAGCATATTACTACTGTGATATACCTGTATATAATCTGAATGGCAAGAATATGTATTTTTATTTTCAAGCTCTCATTTGTGTGGCTCAAGACTTTTTGGCATCAAGTGGGTTTATATCCAAGTAAAAATATTTTATAATTAAGGCTTTGAAATCTCTAAGGATATTTTTAAATTAAAACTGTAGCCATTAATGGAAAAAGCATTTTCGAAGGATACAAATTTAGAAAAAAAATTTGACAGTGGTTAATATATGGCTGCTGTTTTAATTTAATAGAATACAAGAAGGAAATTTTAAAGATTAAAGAAATCTAACAGTTCTGCTGTCATACTAATGATGACGAAATCTAATAATTTGTTGCTCGACCATATAAATTTTATAATTTTATTCTATTCTATGACATTATCATTAGATTTTACTCTTGTTATTATTAAATTCTTTAAATTGTTTAAAGAAATTAGTTGTTAAAAAAATAATTAATAAAATGAAGGCAATTTCAATTTAAGGCAACATATCGATTGAAGATTTATCTAATCAGAGAATCAATCTAGATACATAGTTAAAGCATTCTGATGATTAATACGTTCGCAACATTTTACCTTTGAGAATTCAAAATTTTAAAATTAAACGTTTAGAATGGAAGGATTTTATTGGCAAGCCAAACGATGAATCCCCTTGGATTGCACATTGTTATTGGAACAATTCTTACGAATACTACTTTACTCAGGATAGGGAATAGGCGAATTACAGAGAGTAATCTCAATTGCGTTTACCGAGAATACCATTGCAATAAATTAATCAAGTGAATTAGTTAAATGTCAAAACAGAAACTGCTAGGACAACAGTGTTAATAAAATCAAAAGATTGCCTACACCAACCATTAGTTCATCACCTTAAAGAGCTGTCAACCGAAGTAATTCAAGTTCTTCTCTTAGAAAACAATCCCCAAGCGTTCAAAAAATCAAATTACATGTGAAATGTAAGCTTCTTGAAAATTCTTGGGCTAAATCAAAGAAGGATGATCTATTATTAGTACATGAAACAGGATATTATTTAATTGGTTGTCTTTCAGCTTTAGAATTTAAATGAAAGGTTGAATGTTCCTATGTGATGAGAAATAATAATCATTAATAATAAATAAGGACTATTTTTAAACAGAATTTAAGGGAATATATACAAATTGAAAAAAATGATGATGAGGAAACAATTCATAACAAAGGTGGTGAAAAATAAAAAATGTGGAATAGAAAATTAAAAGAATAATTACTATTTTATGAATGTTATTTTAATCATTGAAAGTTTAAGATTTCATATATATAAGTCAAAATTACTCTATTTATTCGTTCTACTTTTGTCTTATTCAAAAAATTTTAAATATTGTTTCTAAGATTGAATATGATTCATAATTGTCTACTGATCTTTCGATATTGATATTAATATAGCTTATATATATTAAAAAATTATAAAAATTGTCTTGTTAAATTCATTTTCTTTATAAGTTTATTTTTGCCATTTATTAATTAATTTAAGAGATGAAAATATATCTATACAATATTAAAAATGTGCTATACAATTTAATTCGAATGATTTTCATTTTTTACTGATAAGCTTTGATTCCTCTACTTTTTTATTTTCAATCAGAATATTTTCAATTGTCTATTCATTTTCGATCTTTTTTGAAATAAAATTATACAGATTAATTAATATGCTTATTTTCTTTCAAATACAATTTGTTATTGCTTAATGGGAAGTTTATTATAGCTCCTTTAATCGACCTTCTTTGATTTACTGTTCCGATACTACTTGCCCTTTCGGATTTAAGAAACATTAGAGCACATAGAGTGCCCTCTATAAAAATTGTTCTAATCCAAAAGGAACAGCTTTAATTTTGCAAGATTCACAAATGAGCACTATTTCAAATTACTAATATTACCCGCAGAATCCTTATTCAAGTAATCACACAATTGTATTTGACGTATACTACATTTCATAATGGAATAATGACGCACTGATATTCGAATATAAAAATTAGGCTTATTAATTTATCTATTCTACATAGAATCCATTAAAATTTGTAAACGGAGCATGTAATTCAGAACAATATGACGTTAGAACATATCAAATCTCTCTTCCTTACACCAATTAATTTACGGAGATTAAGTTCAGTCTAACAAATTCGTTGACAAAAGCATTAATTAAAAATATCCATTTTTCATATATTTCTTGTCACCCTACCTGTAAAACATGCACTGGAGTAGGTTATAATGAATGTACATCATGCTTTTCCGATGTAACTCTAACAGACGGCATTTGTCGATGTCCTTAAGGAAAAACATAATACGGTTCAAAATGTAGAGAATATTGTTTGCTTGGATACACAGATAGAAGGGGAAGATATTGCAAGGAATATCCATAGTCTTACTTCCTATATTTACATTTAATCTATTTCTAATATTCTAAATTAATAAATTGGGATATTATTTATGATCCAAAGTAATTGAGCAATTAAAATAAAAAAGCAGGCCCATTATTTGGGATTTTTAGATATAATGAAGGAGCTAGCACTATAGTTAATACTACTTATTATGTATACCCATTAGGAGTGTAATTGTATCTTTACACATGCAATGCAACTCCAACAAATTCAGGGATTTCTCTTTATTTAAATAATACTTACTATTCTTCAATCTACTATGATGGTACCAATTATATTGGGAACAACATTTATATCTATTAAGCCGCGACAATAGTATTAAGTGGTTGTTCATCTGCTAGAGCTATATTATTATATGCGAATCTCAAAGTAGAATAAGGTGGCTTCAGTTTTGCAATCAAAGGGAACTTTACGTATATATATAATTTATATAAATTAAGATCTGATAATTCTGGATGGTATTTGGTATATGCAATAATGGGTAGTCCACAATGTCCGATTTATTGTTTAAAATGTGAAAAGTCTTACATTTGTTCATAATGTTTCTCTGGGTATAAACTAGTTTCTGATGGCAATTGCATAAAATAATGTCCAAAAACTTCAACACTTTAGAACAATATTTGTATCAAATATGATGATGTGACTAAATGTAAACTACTCTTTAATATTAGACTCAAAATATCTTATATAACTATTCTATGATTTCACTGTTCCTGACAATATAAAATCTTCTTTTGTTTTGGAATCCTCAACAAGTGAAGACTTTTAAAAAGGTGATGAAATTTATTGGTCATATACAGACACAAATGTTGTTTATGGAGGAAAATACGTCTGGGCAACAGCCAGATTTTCGTAAATATATACCATTAATTCACCACATCATTCATTAACTATATACTTTGATGCTATCTTTGGATACAAATTCGATGGTGTCACAGGATACTTGGGATATTCAGTAAATAACCAAACTGAACAATCAGTTAATAAAAATTCTACAGTAAGTATAAATGTCACTACTCCTTCACCGACTTTATCAATTTCATCTTAATGCTACGGAGCAACCAACAATGTTCAAGATAAATATTGTGCAATTGGATTTTATTATATTGTTGTTCATTATTGTAGTCCCTATTGTCTTCAATGTACAGATGAAAATAATTGCTTATAATTGGATAATTCTATTGATACATCAGTAATAATACTAAATCCATCATCCTGCAGTTCATCATAGTATTATGATGACTAATACTACAGATGTGAAGAATGTCCTTAGATCTGTGAAACTTGTCTTAATGATATTGAATGTCTAAGTTGTAGATACCCTTATTAAATTTTTGTAACATCATGTGTGTTGTAATGTAAAATCAATGAGTATTTTGATGAATAGAATTAGATTTGTGATTGTAATACTTTCAAACTAATTATTAGTATGCAATCCAGTATGCAAACAATGCCAATAGAAAAATGAATGCATCCATTGCGAATAATCTATGTTTAGATATCTGTTCTATAATTAATGTTTATGTTATGATGGTTATTACGATGACAATATCAATATTGAATGTTAGGTTTGTGATGTATTGTGTACCAAATGTTTTGGATCATCAAATACAGAATGCAATGAATGTATCACCGTAGACAAAGTTGAAATTGTAGGCAATACTTGTAATTGTAAAAGTGAATATTATTTTGAGAAATCCAATCGGACTTGCATGTAATGCCATAATAAATGCGTAACTTGTTTTTCATCATCTGAAGACTCTTGTCTTAGTTGCAGTAGCTTAGAAAACAGAAGAATAGATGGTCTTCATTGTTCCTGTTAAACTGGATATTACGAACTGAATGATATATGTGTCTCTTGTCCAAACATTGAAGATTCAAGTCTTTATTAATGTTATAAATAATGCGGTGATAATTCTATCTCTTGGTTTAATTAAGTTTGCTCGGCTATTACATGTTTAATAGGATTTAAAAACTAAGACAATTAATGCTTTCCGATATGTGGGGATCTAATTGTAAATGGCAATGAGGAATGTGATGATGGTAATAATATTTTAGATGATGGATGTTACAATTGTAAATTTTAATGTCCAAAACAATGCACAATTTGTAATCAATATACAACCTTACCTTGTGCAAATGTTTGTGGTGATAAAGTCATTAGTGGATCAGAAGAATGTGATGATGGTAATCTTATATAATTTGATGGTTGTTATCAATGCAAGCTTGAATGCTAAATCTAATGCACTTAATGTATGTACGGATAATGCTATTAATGTCAGACATATGGTTGGATTGTTGATATTGCATCAAAAACTTGTATTGAAAATTGTGGTGATTTAATTGTTATGGCAAGTGAATAATGTGATGATGGATATAATTTTGACTCTAATGATGGATGTTATTAGTGTAAGAGGGTATGCAGAGATGACTGTTTAAAATGTAGTTCTGATGGTTTAAAATGTCTAGAATGCTAAGTGGGATATTAACCCTTTGATTATTATTGTAAAAATATATGTGGAGATGGCTATTTAGCAATTGATCCTTTTAATAGAAATACTGAGGAATGTGATGATTTCAATTCAACAGATTTTGATGGTTGTAGTAAAGTATGCAAGTTCCAATGTTAAACAACTCTTTGCTTGACCTGTGTAAATAATAAATGTCTAGAGTGCGTTGATAATTATTATTTAGATCAAAAAAAGAATAAATGTATAGAACTATGTAATGATGACATTATTGTTGGCTAAGAAATTTGTGAGGACATGAATAGTTTACTATATGATGGATGTTACAATTGTTAATTATCTTGTCAATCAAGTTGCTAGAATTGCTCAACAAATGGTTGCTCATCTTGTTTATAAGGGTATCAATTGATTGGTAATCGATGTTCAAGCATATGTGGAGATGGATTAAAAGTACCAGAAGAAGATTGCGATGATGGTAACTTAATTCCATTTGACGGTTGCCATGGGTGTAAATACTCATGTAATTCAACTTGTTAGACTTGTTACCTTGGTCATTGTTTAAGGTGTCAACTTGGGTATGTGATGTATAATGGATTGTGCGAGAAGTAACAAACTTTTATTAATAACAAATTATAAAGCTTAAACCTTGATGTAAGCTTAAATCATATAGTTTAAAATCAACCTACAAAGTTATTTAATGAATTTTGTAAGGAGGCCATTAATGGTACATGTTTAGTATGTTAAGATAATTACTATTTAAATTCTATAACATCCATTTGTTAGAGTTTATGTGGGGATGCTTACATAAATGGATATGAATAATGTGATGATAGAAAACGTTAAAGTAATATCATTTGTAACTAATGCAAATTATGTTGTGGCGAAAATTGCAAGGTTTGCTAAATTGGAATTTGTATATAATGTGATGACGGATATTTCTTACAATTTAAAACTAATTCGTGCGAAAGTTATGCACAATGCAATTAAGTCGGATTATATTACGATTCCATAAATAATGTTTGCTATGATTAATGTGGGGATGGTCTAATATCACCAAGAGAATAATGTGAAGATGATAATGATGATCCATATGATGGATGCTATAAATGCAAATATTCTTGTTATCCTACTTGTCCATTATGTATTTTAGGTAAATGTGCTGACAATGGTTAAACTTGTAAAGTAGGTTACTATTTTGATACCTAAACGGCATCATGTTTTAATGTTTGCGGTGATGGAATTTTGGCAATACCAGATGAAGAATGTGATAGTGAAATACTTTTGGATGATGGAGATTATCAATGTGTTAATTGTGAGAAGATTTGTAATAATCTTTGTGAAATTTGTGATTCATATAAATAATGTATTAAATGCAAGGAAAACTATGAATTATTAAATCAAAAATGTTACTCTAAAGAATTGAATCATTAGCCATGCTTGATTGAAAATTGTGAATATTGTGAAGACTCTAAATGCATTGAATGCTCAATTGGTTATGCCTACATTCCAATAGAAAATGTATGTTAAACTATTTGTGGAGATGGAATCATTTTTGGTAAAGAAATTTGTGATGATGGTAACAGAATTAATGGAGATGGTTGTGATTCACATTGTAAACCATCCCAAAATACCCAATGTGTTAATAATCAATGCATTTAAATTTCACACCCTATGCCTTAATTGAAATTTGTAAAAGAAATAGATAATTCCTAAATTATTTATTTGACTTATGATCAATAGGTAAAATTATCAGAGAATTATTCAATTTCAATATTTTTAGATTCCATCAAAACGTAAATTAATAATAAAGTTACAAATGTATCCTTTTCTGAAATTAGTGCACTTGACTAAGAATCTTATAAATACCTTCAGATTGAAATTAACATAGGGTATGAGGAAATAATAATCAATCCTATATTTTCTATTCATTTTACTGACCTAAATATAATCATAAATGAACTTGGAATGACATCAATCTAAGAAGATATCTCGATATAATTAACATCTCCAAATGTTTTATCTGAAAAACAAAAATAAATAACATAATCCCTTATATAGTTTAGTGGGTACTAAGTTAAAATAATAGCAGGTCTTATTCTACTATCATCATTTGGGGGAAAATTTGAGATAATTCAAAATCAAATTGATACTATTTAATAGCTTTATTACCTAAAGTATATTAATACTCGAAAAGGTCAAAACTTAATTTAGTTTTTTGCAACTTTTAGGATCATTTAACTCACTAATCTCTATGGTTTGATTGGATTCAATCCTTCGAATGATTTATTTTTTGAATTCTCTTCTTAGAAATCAGAGGCCATTTTTGAAGAAGATGGACGAAATGCAAATTATCTAGCTAATTTCATTTAAATCTCTACGGTTTTTGCTCTAGCCTATTTAACACATTTGGCAATATAGATTTGGATTAATTACTCCATGAATAAAATCTAGAATTTTTAAATTTAAAATTTTAATATGTTTCTATTGCAAGGATTACAAAAAGTTATAAGATTTTCAATCAAAAATTGTAGAAATAACTTTAGTGAATAATTTAAAGGACTATTTTAATCACTCATTTATGAATACTCTATATCTTCATTCTTATCTTTAATCTATTAAGATTTTAGTTCAACTGAAGGAAAATTTAGTCTTATATTGAATGGAGGGGTCACCTATTTATTGTTTTATTTTTTACTATTTTAGAAAAATTCAGATAAAGAATCACGCATTGAATTTACTTACTCATGTGTATAAAAGTTGCTATTTGGAGTTATTTTGATTGTTTGTTTTAAGTCTGCCATACTTTAAATTCAATTGTGTGCTTTAAATGAATTCATTTATTTTTACCATTTATTTAAATTAAAGAGCGATCTTGATAAATTTTCATTATTCAAAAAATAATTGAAGCATTCTAATTTATTTATCATCAATATTATGCTTTTGCTAAATGAATTATACAAGAATGATCCATTCAAGATAATTTAATTAGGATGGGCTATTATTGCCATGATGAGTTCAGTATTAACTATGACACTGGTAGTTGATGTGTGCAAAATATTATAACCATTTTTATCAAAATTACTAGATAGACTAAAATAATAGAGGCCCATTTTTAAAAACCATGAAATATTGGATCAAATTTAATAAAAAAATTTTAAGTGAGTATTTAATGTATTTAAAATAAAATCTTTTGAAAATAATATAAATATTAGGAAAATGAGAATCAAATATAGATTAATTTCTTATTCTCATTATTTCATTCTATAAATAAAAATGAAAATATATTATTAAATTTGTAATTATTTACAATTACTATGATATTAATTATCTAACTAAAAGAATTATTTTTTGTTTTATTTAAATAAAATGGTTAGAAGCTTACTAATTAATACACAATATTATCTCATTAAGAACCATTGATTAAATTTAAATTTCTTTGTAGAATCAAATATATTACAATTAATAGAGACGTAATATACATAATATATGTATAGTAGATATCACAGATATATTATATTTGGAGATAATTACATATCTTAATAAATTGTAGATGATAATTAAATATCTCTACACAACATGCCAAGCTTTTGAATTTTTATCTTTATGGATCAAGGATTGGACATAATATTTAGCTGAAAATATATGTTGAATGAGGAACATTGAATTAAATAGATGAATATTTTTAGATTCAATTATAAATAAGATCTTTTTAAATTCAAATATTTTTAAGATATAAAATACATCAATCATTTTTATTTAACAATGTTCTTGATTTATCTCCAAATTTCATCTACTTATCTTTCTGCATTGATCTCATGCAAAATATTTCTCCTAAAATAATAAATATCTATGTATACTATCTATAATAGTCAACAATTGGAGAGGTTTTGCTCTAATACACTCGTAATCTGTTTCTAATAGTGCTCTCCTTATCATCTTCTCTTTATATTAAATCTTCTCCTGTGATATCATCTTTTCCATATTGTTTTGGAGGATTGAACTTATAATTGTATGTTCTTCCCGAAGCTAGATGGGTCCATCTACCTCCTAGTCGATCGATAACGGTATCTTCTCTGACGTTCATGAAGATAGCTTGATCAATTTATTATCCACTCTATTTTAAAATTTCATCTAATTTCTGAGCTTGAGGAATAGTTCTTGGAAATCCATCCAAAATAGCTCCATTTGCACATGCAGGCCTGAATTAAAGTTTATAATTACTTGGATAATTGATATTTGATTAAATTACACATAACTTCATCTTCAATTAGCTCACCTCTATCCATAATTCCTTTAAGCCGCTTACCAAAATCACTTCCAGACCTGACTTCTTCTCTAAGGAGGTCTCCTGTAGATAGATGGCACATGCAAAAACGGGCCAGCATTTTTGCTGAATGAGTCCCCTTTCCTAGACATATGTAAAACGCATAACTTACCAGCTCCAGGCATTCCGAGCAATACAATACGTTTCTTCAATCCTTCTTCTTAACAACGATATCTCCTATACAACTCAGTGATTAATGCCTTCTCAGAGATTTCTGAGTATGCCTTAGTATCCATTATTAATGAAAAAATAATTTTGCCAACTAATTATTATAAAATTTCATTAATCAACATCATCTTCACCAATTTCTTCTTCTAGTTCATCAATAACTTCTTCGCTTTCAGATGCTATTAATAGTCTAAATCATTGAGTACCAGCGTAATCAGGATTTTAATGATTCTTTAAATGGGCGGTCAGATTGCTGGACTAACTAAATCGCTTTTGGCAATCAGGATATCTGCATGAATATGGTTTTTCTCCAGTGTGGGTACGCATATGAGTTTTAAGATTGAAATCTAAGGAGAATCCTTTTTAACATAGTTCACATTTAAAAGGCTTTTCCCCAGTGTGTACTAATTAATGTCTTCTGAGTTTAGAGTTGTCAAAGAATGTTTTTTTGCAAGTAGTTACAGGACAAACATAAAATTTGGGAGCAGCCACTTTCTTAATTTTAGGTTATTAAGCCACAGCTTACTAATGAATAAAATAATTGGGTTACCTTTTTCATTTGGGTCATTTTTTGTAATAATTAGCTCAACTCTTAGGTATTGGTAGTACTGTTGGCTAAAAGTCTCTGTAATTCCTGATGTGTTCTGTTGATGGAGGCTTAATAATTAATTCTGGGCTTTTATTGTTTGGTGTCATAAACATCATTGACTTTTACCCACTTCTTGATGTAGATATCTTTGGCTCCGGGGAGTATATTAGGTACTCTTACTCGTTTGAATTCCCAACATTTTTGTGGTAGATTGAGAAAGTATTCATCAGCATCGTTGAAATACTATTATTCGCTTTCAGAGTCGTGTTGCATTAATAAAAATTATATGTAAAATAAGGTGACTTTCAAGATAGTAAATACATCAGACCCCAATTTGGCATTCAGAACAGTATCGTAAATATAATTGTTAATGACAATAGAGTGCCTCAAGAAGCTCCATTTAGTGCGGTTGTCAAATATGTGGCTGAAGAGGTATGAGAATGGCATAATTAACTATAGTTTAAAGTGAATCCAGCAACAAGTGCTATAATAACAAATGCAGGGACTGGAGTGTCACTTCAATAGACCTCAGGAAATGTGTTTTTGAAACATGGTTCAGAATTGAAGATCATTCCAAGAGATCGTGTAGGTTATTGTTGATATAAATATCATAAATACATTTTTAAATCATCCCATATTCCCTCCTTGATTACAGCAGCAATGTTGAGATCATACAAGGTTTGCCAACAGATTTCGGCTGCTTTTTATTTGTTTACTACTTTGTTGCAGCTCTAAATATTAAATTGCAATCCATATTTGGCATAATCTTGGTTGGCTACAGCAAATCGATATTTTATGTGTTTGACTGGACCATTTATAATAACATTATAGAGATAGCATTGTTAAATTGCTTTTATAGCAGCATGTGGATAATTCTCTAGGAACTTCTTACGTTGTTTGATGTTTCGCATTAAATTGAGCAGTTTTAGATAGAATATAATTTTATGGAAGTCCTCTGGAGTAATGATTTCTGTTACTTGTTCAACAGAATCATGATTAGCAAGATAGTCAACAGCATCCATGAGGATTTTGAAGTACGTCCTCATTTCTTAGTATAGATCATCTCCACACTCATATCGTACGATTAGTAAGAAGATTGAAATTGTAGTATCAAGCATCTCTTTTATAAAATTACGACAATGCATATCATAAGCTAATTTAGAATGAAGGACATGTAATTTGGATCTGAAATAAGTACAAAACATGTTGAATCTTTATTCCCGTGCCATCTTTCCTGTAAACTGAAAACAATATGATACACATCTTAATTTCCCCTATTCCCAAAGTTTGACTTTATCTGGTTTATTCTGATTACAAGGTGTTTTTAAGGCTTCTCCACCAGAAATATAGCGTGAAAGATCAAGTTGTTAAATATATTGCATGACGCTCACAATAATTGATGCATATAATTATAAATGATAATTATTTTGCTACTTTTTTATATGCAACCAGATAAATTTACTCTGATGACCATCAATTACAAATTATTTCCAATTAAGTTATCATTAGAATTGTAGCTGCAAGGATCTAAGAATTCATTAGCCTTCAAACTTAATCCTGATGTTATTTACTCTAAACTTTATTTTAATTTTACTTAATGATGGATAAATCGATCATATTCATTTTGAAGGTATAGTTTAAGTTTTAAATCATGAAAGTAAGTACGTGATCTTTTAGATATCAACCAATTACTAAGAATAATTATTTATAATACGTAAAATGCTGTGTGATAGTGTGTATTGAATAAACTAAATTATTTTGAGAGCATTATTGTAATAAAAGAAAACAGCGAAGATGATAACAAAGAATCCTCAATTTTATCGTATTGATAATATCAAAATGATTATATATTATAGCTGATACATTGACTGCTTAATAGATTGAATGAACTTGGAGGAATATAAAATTAATCATTACGTATTTTGAATTCCTCACTAAATTGTGTTATGCATAAATGTTATTCAGAATGTACTTGATTAGAATAATGAAATTTCAAATAACTAATTAAAAAATTCTTATTTGATTAAGTATGTCTTAGATGATATTCATATTAAAACATTTTAAAATGATAAATTAGTCATTCATTATAATTATTGCTATAATTTTAATTTTTCTTCTTGTTCATCTTCAAACTATTTGAGCATTTCAAAAAATTGTTTCTATAATTATTCAAATACAGGTCTATTCTTTGTAATAGCTTCATTCTCTTATTCTGGTGTTATCTCACTTAAGCCATACTGTTTTCGTGCTCTATTTTAATGATAATATTCTCTACCTTTCAATGTCATTTTCATTGTCATCAATGTAAATTTAACATGCTAAAATGCATAAGCATGCCTGTCTCAAGAGATCAAAACTCAAGTAATAGGAGGCTGCTAAAACTTTATCAAATAGTTCGTCTGATAACTATAAAACCTGAACTGATTATTAGTCCAAATTGTCATTTATTTTATTATTGATGATTGGTTTTTTAATTCTTATTGCTTCACTCTCGTAATTATGAACTTCACAAAATTTCTTAATCACACTCAGGACTGCAAACTATGGCTTTAACTTGGACTTTTACATCAATCGCAACTGGCAATGGTTCATCTATTTCTTTATCTTACAACAAATCACAGAAATTCAATAATTCGCTCTTAAATTTAATGATTTGATTATCACTAGTATGAAGGACCCATTCTTAGGTAGAATTCATTTAATTAATTAAATTAATTGCATTTTTATATATTATCATTCCAACTTAAAAAAGTGTATATTATATTCTAAAGTGTTCATCAATACACAAGTAATACAGCTTTTTATATAATAAATTAAATTAATCAAAAGTCATCATTATTATGTTCACTAATTTTTTTATATAGACGAGAATAATCATCAATTTATTAATTGTTCTATCTCAACTTTCGCATTTAAGATTTTAAGAATTTGGTCACATTTTATTAATCATCATTTGTTTCATAGGTTTGCTATGTTGTACCCCTATCAGTTTCATCTACTGATATACTTTATTGAAATTAATTCTACCGTTTATGATCGTACTTCATCCTATCCTGCACAAATGAATTTTGAATAAATTGTGTTTTATTTTATAAATCTCTATACTTCTTTTTCAGTTTTTCATTTATATCTAACAATAAACAGCTTTTTTATCTCTCCTCCTCCAATTGCGAATGAATCTCAACGATTTGCTTTTTGAGTAACTAATTCTAATATCTTTGAGCTGTAAAATTTTATTATGCCAATTTGTATTTCTTATTTAACTCTTCATGCTTTTATCGAATAATGTTAAATTTAGCAAATAGGATATTTTCTAACTAGCTGTAATTTTCTGAATTCAAAGTCAAGCAATCGGAACTTTCATTCAAAAAGTTTATATAATCATCCATTGCATTCATAAAATTCTTAAACTCTCCTTATTTAGTTGATTAATGCTCATCAAATACAAATTTCTTCTTGGTTACTTCTGTCTTCTGATCGGTCTTATCCTAAAATGTAAACGGGTGATTTTTAAAGTCGATTTAGTGATCATCGCTTTATTATAATATTCATATCTTACAATTCTAATTGAGACAATTGATTTTTAAAGTTGGGTTTAGTTCTTTGAAGCGACACGGGAAAGGATTCTGTGAAAGTCTTATCCTTTTATACTTCACAATTAAATACTTAAGATAGTTTGTGATACTGCATGAAGTCTGTGTTTACAGATTGTCTCCTCCCAGTTTTCCTTAATTCTTTAAATATGGCTAAAATATATTACAGGCATAATTAATGCTCATCCTTAATTTGATTTTAAGGTAGTTAGTATATTAAAATAAATTTATAAAACATAATTTGTATTTTAATCAACTAATTGACTAAATGAAATCTCAACGAACTTTGCATCTTTAAGTCCAATACCCAATTTCTTATTCTTGCTATTGAATTAATTTATTGAGATTGACTTTTATTTCCAATCTACGCAATGGTGAAGGAGCCATCGATGGATTTGAAAGTGATCTTAGTAACATAGAAGGAGAACAAGTACTAACATAAATGTAATCCTTTACTTTTATACAGTTGTTGGTGAAGACATCTGAGAAGGATTCTTTTTGATTTGTTTAGGCTACTCTATAAATAACTAAATAATACCAAATAAACTTGATATTTTTTCTTCTTCTCATTTTCCTTTTCAAATGTACACGATTAAGTAGGTCCACTTTATGCCTATTGGAGTAGGCTTTTGTAAGATGCATGAAACTAATAGTTGTCAGATTTATTTTTAGATTTCTTCATATTCTAAATAAGTTTAAGCAGCATTTCATCTGTAATTTGCTTTCTAGAAGATCCGCCTTCTGCTCTAACAGTACCGTTGCCATAACTTGAACCATATCCTTCAACATGGCGAATGTCATTACGTTCTGTGAGGATTTCTTTCACTTAGAAGCGTTTTTACAATATTTGATCATATTTCTTCATTAAAGATTGAATACTAGTGGATTTATTATTATTGTTGGCTGCTGTAGTTGTTGATGATTTGGCACTCTCTTATAATTTCAAAGGTGGGATAAGTACCTTAGGCTATTGAGATTATTAAGGAGTAGGATTCTTCTTGGCATTTGTAGTAGTTGCGGTTGGCATCTTCTTTTTGAGTGGGATCTTAGTGATTGCTGACAAATTCCTTGATGTTTACACATTCACATCATTGAAGATATTATCAAGTTCTTGGTCATTTTGACAATTGAACAATTTGTTATGATCTCCAGATGTGTTAATAATTGAACATTAGCATTATTCTGTTGGTTTGTTGATGGGTATTGATTTCTAAGCTTCAACTTATGATACCTCATAGATATTATGAGATTTGCTGTCCCAAGAAATTTGTTCCTTCGGATAGGAACTAAATAAGTATGTCGATACTACTCAGATACGGATTCCACGTAGTTTTCACTAAAAATATGATCTGGAATCATCTTCTTAGTAATTGGTTGTTGATTCTAACTATTTTATGCTTTTTATTGTAATTTTAGCAATTTATTCTATCTCTTCTCCATAAACTTATGAGCATTAACTTTACATAGATTTGGTTATATCATCTATTGTTGTATAATGTTTCAATTTTTACTTTATGTTACTCAAAGTAGAAATTGCTAAGTAAATTTAATCTCGGATCTTACTCATCTCTTTAATAAAAACGCTTCATATATTCGTTTTCATCATGCAAGTATAATTAGTCTTTAAACAAAATGACATGATCCACAGGAACATTTGCTAATATTTCTGTTATTGGCTTAGCAAAATAGAAGTTGAACTACTCAAAGTATCTAGGCCTTCATATTTATCAAATACTTCTCATGTATCTCCTTCTATATAAACTTGCTTTATCTGAATTTACAGAATTGACAGTTTTGATTGTGTAGTTGGTTATTCATTAAATTCAAATATAAATAATTAAATTTTACTAAACTTTCTTATAAAATGTCAATTATTCAAACCTTCAAATACTTGAGTGTCTTCATTTCCTTTTCTCTCGACTCCTTTTCTATCTCTAATTTCCTAGCATTCTTTTCCCTTTCCCTCATAGTCTCTCTCGCATCATTTCTACAATCTAAAACTATCATTATACTCTATCATCAATTATCGCTATCTTTATTCGTCCTCCAAAATCTATTGCTTTCTTCTTTTTAATTCCTGTTCCCACTCTAATTAATTTAATCTCTGATTAATCTCTAACTATTTTATTAAATGTTCTCCTGCCTTCTCCTCTTAGTATATCTTTAATCGTCTCTCCTTCAATCTCTGAGCCTAAGCCTAACTATTAGATCTCCTCTCAAACTGATACTTTATCAATTACTCTCGACTCGCATCCTCTATAGCTTTATTCTATTTAACATATCATTTCAAAATTACAATCTAAAAATTGTGCATTTTATCCTCCTTTCCTTTATTAATCATATGCTAATATTCCGAAAAAGTCTTCTTGCACTTTTCCATATAATTTAATTTCTTCTTTTCTTTCTCGTCGAATTTCTCTCGTCTCTAATAATCCTAAGTTGCTAAAATATGCTATAATTATAAACTAATAATCTTATACATTTGCTCTTTCTATTTTCTATTACTTTTATTCTGCTTACTTCTAAAACTATTACTTTGTCCACTATTTAGATTCTTCTATATACTTTAATTTCCTTAAGTTTTCCAATTCTTTTTTTTCCGATTACTCTTTCTAATATTAATTGAATTTGTCCTTGTCATTCAAAGCACCCATTGACTTCTAAAGAATCTTTAAAAAGTGCTCCTCTTTTTATTGTTTCTGCTCTTCATGAAAATCCTGCAATAATGACATTTGCTTTTTCAACTGTTTTTCCTTCCTCTGCATCTTCTACTCCAATGTTGCCTATCTTTATTATTGATCCTTAAGCATTCTATCCTTATGCAATTGCAATCTCTTCGAATTCAACTCCTCCTATTCCTTCAACTATCGAGCCTACCATTGCTAATACTCCTCCAAATTCATTTCAGCCTTCATTTGCTTTACTTCAATCTCAAAACGGAACTTCTAAAACTCCTTTTCGTCTTCAACTAATTTTTTTTAAATGCTGTATTGTTTCTCTATCCATTTCTAGTTGTGTGATTGAATCTATTGATCTCTTTAAGCTCGATAAAACTGAAAACTGCTTTTGTACATCCGAGTCTACCCATCACTTGTACTCGACAATAAACCTCCTGTTTGAGTCATTAAGTCAGTTGGAGCAGTCTCTGGCTTTATATTCGGTTAACTTTGAAGTCTCAAGAATCGTTGCGATTTTTGCTTCAACTACTCCAATTTGTCTATCTCAAACATGATCGAATATATATGCATATCAATGTCTTTAAGCAACTTTTTGCAATACTCATTCTCTGTTGAATGTGGTTCTACTTCTCTTCTCAGTAACCCAAACTAATCTATTTTTTTATTATTACATCTTAAACTAAAGTTATTCTCTTTTCTACCTTAGCTTGTGAAATTTTATTAATTTTCTTTATTTTATCCAAATCATCCCACTTAAATCCTTCTATATACAATAAATGAGTTATCGATTTGTCATGTTCTAATTCTTCATTATTGCGTTTTTCTAATTCTTAGTATCGTTCAAGCAGTTACTCCATGAAGAATGACTTTAAAATAAATATAAAAATTATTATTTATTATTAAAACACTTTATACTTAGCTAATTTTCTTTTATCCCATATAATTAACTTCACTTACAATATTTCCAAGAGATAAGGGAAAATTCTTAATTAATTAAAAGTGTAGCATATGAAAATATGGGCAATTTCTAATTTTCTGATATTCATATGATTCACTATACAAATTTTAATTGCTTCACTTGGCTTCAACCATCATAAAATGATGTAAAAGTATAAGATTATTGAAAAAATTAAATTCCTGAAATTCATAATTAAAATCATTTAATAATATATCAATTCACTTTTAAAGATTTTGACCATTTACTTGAATAGGTTAGATCTTTTATTATAAAGTAACATTAAAATATAGCTTTGGTTTTCTTCTATGTATTGTTCTTAATGATTTCTCTATTATCTTTAAAGTAAAATTTACTTAGTGAAATGTAATTAATAATATATATAGAATAAAAGTTATATTTATATTAAAAAACTAAGATTTTCATCTATATTTGAAATATGGGTTTAATTCTAAATAGATAACAAGATCGCCATTATTTAAATCTACATAATTTTAATTTTAGTTGATCATATCATTAAGTTTATAAGTTTTAAAATGGATCTTCAAACATTATAGATAATTATCTTTTTCTGAATTTCCTTTGAACGTATTGAAAATAGGAATTTAAAAGAATAGTTCACAATCATTAATGCCTTTAATTGGTTAATAACAAAAGTACAAATCATTCAATATACTTCATTAATAATTAATTTTTTATGAATATATTATTATCGTCATATCATTTTAATTCATTTGATTTGGGTTAAGTTAAAAGTGTTCAAACTTGATGCAAAAGTTTAAGACTTAAATTAAACAATATTAGATTTTTTAAATTAAATGCTCAAATTTCAAAAAAAGAATAAAAACCAAGCTCAAACATGTTTTAAAAATGTCTATGGAAGCATGGACTTATTTGGATAGCCTCCAGCTTTTAAAATTCTCAAACAAGAGAAATTTACAACTTCTTTAGGATTTTTGTTCACCGTAGGTATATCGGTGGTGTGTGTTCTATATACAATTATATAATTGTAAGATCTCTACTCTCAAACGGGTCCTCGAGTAACAATGTCTGAAGAACAAGTTGTGGACACTAGTGTAATTATTGAATTTAAGTAAGGCATACTCGTTGGAGATGACAAATTACACAATTGGCATAACAATGGCGAATATGTCCTTGGGATCGCTTTAGACGCTGGGAACTCACTTCACAATGAATGTATAGAATTGCAAGCGAGTCAGATCAATAGACCCAACTACTAACAAAACTGTGATATCCTAAAAGTAAATAATTATTCTATGTAGTTGTACACTATACCCAACGGAGCCATGTGGCGAATAGCATTTTGTAACAGATTTATAGAAATCATATTTTTCAAAAATAAAACTAGGTTTTGTTCAATGTTTTAATGTAGAATAGTGGCAAAACAATCCTCCTGTAAGAATATTATTCTAACCTTAGTAACTTTAGGGAACTGTTTAAGGAACAGTATATTAATATCTATAGATAACGATCGCTCAATGTAAAAATACCACAAATAAAACTGATTGTGCACCACCAGAAAAAATATGGAAGGAGCTGTAGACAGGATATTATGCAGTTCACTTGAGTGATAATTTGGTTTAGATGAAAAATCCTGGGACTCCATTCAAAGACATAATTAATTTACAATATACAACATTTTCGAATTCTACATCAAAATCAATTTTCTAGACCTTCAAAATTACATAGTCTGACACAGATACTGGATACATTATGGAAGATGTTTAAACGGAATATGGCTTGGCTCAATCATAAAATCGAGAAAGTCAGGATAACTATAATAATTAATTTATTGTCTAACATATAATAAATTTGGATTCTAGATTGGCATCTTATAATAGAGAGTATTAAAAGCTGTAGGATATCTTTGGAAACGTAGGGGGTCTATGGTAAATTTTATTTTTGGCCGTGAGTGCGTTATTGTAACCAGTAACCTCAACCTTCATGAATTTGCAGATGGCTAATAAATTATTTAGATTTGAAAACCAAAACAATTAGGAAGGTCTCTAAGCATAACAGAGTTCAGATTCAATAGATGAAATTAAGGACAACCTTAAGAGATCTGGATCCCCAACAAAAATGAATGCTAGAGGCTCTTAACAATTGGATCTTGAAAGTAGAAAGTCCTACTTTAGCAAACGCTCTCTTGGTGGGCAAAAATCAATGAGTAAATCAATTTTCGTTAAAAGTGTGGATAAAGTGAACAACCACAAATAGATGATATAATTATTGAAAAAAAGGAAATAATCTCTGAATTTATCAATGAGAGACATCATTATTATGAGTTTTGGATGCAGGAAAAAGGAAAAGCAGCTTATTAGTTATGCAACTGAAAAGTTCATGAACAAATTAGACATTGCTAATTTGATTTCGAAAGTTTATGAAATTGATCGGTTAAAGCTTATACTACTAAATGAACAGTAATAAAAACTATTTAACTATTTACCCAAACCCATTATTCCTGAATCTATGTTCGGAGAAGATTTCCAGAAGAAAATGAAAATCGTCGAATAAAAATAAGCCTATAAGGTTATTCTCCAAGATGAAAAACCAGAATTTATGAGATTACAAGAAGCATTCGTAGCTTATGTTAAAATATAACAGAAGGATGAAATATCAGAAGTAGATAGGAAGATTCTTGATATTCTGGATGAGGACATCTTAGAATTATTCGAGAACCTACATACTAACACTTCGAAATTAGAAAACATCTTTTAAGATAGTCCTATGAAATTCCAATTATAATTTTCTGATATCGAATCTCCTAAATCTAATTTCTAACCTGATTTTGATGAAGATATGGCTAATCAAATACCCGTTCTTCCTGCTATGCTTAGATCTTAATAATGAAATTATGTTATTAATATTAATATTAAATACCTTATTTATATTTTTGTTCACTTACAATTATTATAATAAAATTCCAAATTAAAAAAAAAAATGAAATTTTTTCAGTAATATGAATTTTTATTAATTTTTTAATGAAATGATTGCCACTTAATATTACAATATGGATAAGACAACTTTTATCAAGATTTTTATTGTTTTTACAAAAATTATTATCAATTAAAATACATATCAATTATGTCAAATTTTTTGTTTAATCATAAGACGGGTAAGGAAGAAAAAATCATTTGCATAACTAAACCAATTAGAAAGGAAAAAAGAAGAAACTAATATACGATAGAGTTCAAATTCGGCAGTGATATTGATGTTTCCAAACTCAAGTAAGTTATTCAAATTAACCAATAAATCCCTGCTTACATCCCGTTAAGTTTAACTTTCAGACTTGAATCTGATATTTTCATTCCAATTTAATTTGATCCCAATCTCTAATTGGGAGCCCTATCTATAGATCCAATTTCATTTAATTATAGAATTGTAAGGTATGATAAACATCACAATAACTACATATTTCATTTTGAGCCCATAGATAGACCCTTCACTCCTCACTAAGTTGTGAAAACCACTTTAGAAAAATATCATCCGTCTTTGGGAGAGTTATTTGAGGCTTATCATTTCAATTTATTAAAAAAAGAAAAAATCACTGTTTCTACTGAGGAAGAAATTAAGGAATATGAAAACAGTATTAGACACTCTTTCGCTGTTTATATTTAAAAGAAATAAAAAGGCATAATAACCACTCTGATGAAGTCAATTAATACCTAATACTTGTAATTAATGGGAATCAATGATCAAATATTTTAGGACTATATTAATTAGACCGGACTTTTACCATGGTGTTTATCAACTGATAATAACTAATTCTAAAATCTAATCACGGGAATGTTCCAAGGGGCCCATCAGCAAATTAATTATACAATACAAGCATTAAACTATAATGGATAATAATTTGAAGTAAAAATAACTCCTAAGGTATTTCACATATACAACTAAGAGGACGATTCATATTTATAATTTATGTTCTTTGAATAAGAGTATAATTCCTAAATTATGACCTAAAACTAAATAGATTAAAATATGATTGAATATTTTAATTAAAGGTCAAAAATTGTTAAAATGGATTTTATTGAAAATGATTATACTAAAAGATGCAAATATAGAAAACTTTGATATTACCATAAAGTATTTAATTTTCAAATCAAAATATTATATAAATACTCTAATTTAACATCCTTTTCCAATACTCTTTAATTTATAATTAATTATAAAATTAGTTATAAAAAATAAATATTATTATTTTGATAATGAATAGCTTATTCATCCAAAGAGCATTAGTAATGGTGCCAAAAAGGGACAAAATATTGTTACTCCCAACTTAACCACATTCCACACTACTCCCTTCCCTAAGTAAAGACCAACTCCTGCAAATATTGTTTTTGACATTGGCATATATTGTGCTACTAGGGATAAAATGGGAGCAGCAATGTATGTTGCTCTTTTTAAAGTGTTAATTAAAAACCTAACCACACTTTCAGCCTTCTGAGCTTTAGGATTTTCAGTTGCTCTCAAGGCTACTTTCGCCGTCTTCAAAGTAGGCAATAAAAAGGGTTATAGAGCAGACAAACTAGTATATAAAGGGATGGCAATATAGGCAAACTTCGAAGCAAAGGCAAGAGCTGACATGATCTTACTACTATAAGTTTTAAATTTTTCCACAGTCTTTTCCATCCAGTGTTTTGGTTTATAAATTACTTCAATGTAGAGTGGCTCATAAGCAAATTAAAATTGCTGCTCATCTTGGGAGAACATTTGATTATTGAAAAAAATCTAAAATGACTTGACGTTCTATTTAAAGAACTCACTGATTTAAATTAGATTGTTGGGGGTCTTTGAATTTGGATTGACAACTAAATCAACAATTTTCTGTCTTATATATATAAAATACCTTCACGTGGATAGTTTCATCTGATGTTAATATTGTTTATCTGAAGTCGACTTCGTAATACTAAGTTAAATCTTAAATGCATATTATATCCAAAAGATGTTCATTACTACTTTAATCGACTTTATTCTTGATCAAGGCTTTATCTTTTTTGATTTTTTACTTTGCAGTCATAAATTCAATATGAATGACATTCTGTTAAACTTTGTTACTATTACCCATTTTCTATAAAATAAATATAAATATAAAAGAATGATTTAATATGCTTATAAATTATTTTCATCACTATCAAATCTATGGTTCCGATTAAGCAAACACAACAATATTCCCACCTATAGAACACTTAAACACCATATCATACTATTCAGTTAAGAACCTTGAAGGATTTTAAAATTAATTACATCCATAAAGCAAGCAGTAGAATAACTTTTCTTAATCAAACTTATCTTCTCAACATTTCTTGGAGTATATAATCTCCAATTATCAATTATAGATTAAAATTAAGGATGATAAAATATTTATAAAGATTTCAAAATTTTATTATTTTTTAAATATTCTATGAAATTACTAAATCAATACTCTAATTAATAGGGAATACTATGATAATACTAATAGTGATACTATTAAATTTGCCATTTATCAAATTTTGAATTTGATAAATTAGTGGAATCATCTAAATATAATATATAACTCTACTTCAATTAAGAAGCATGAAATATGTAACACCAAAAACGAAGTAAATCTCACCTAATTAAAGGATTGTTATTGGAAATAAATTATTTAACGACATAGATGTATTGAATAAACTAAATTCTTAGTTTAAGTTCTGCAATATAATCTGAGGCCAAAATGTAAATATTGAGAATAAAAACTTTAGAATTTAGATGTTCTAATATTCTATGGGAGAATAATATATAGTGAGTACTTATAAATATAAATTCTAACTAATTCATTAATAAAAATAAAATTTTAAATTAGAAACATGAAATAGCAAAAAAAGATAAGGTATTAGATCAATAATATAACTAGAAAGACTCACCCACGCATTATATAAGTAATATAAATTATTAAGGAAGACTGCTTTGACTCATGGGTGAATACTAACGAGTATTTATTGACAAAGTTCAGCGCACCTTCTTGTGGCATCTGCCATGCTCCAGGATCTATGTTAGATGTTCTTTTAAAATCTGATTGAATTTAGCTTCTACTTATATTTATTTAATTAATTAAAAAGAAATGCAGATAAGTTGGATTAAGTGGATTGCCAGGATTACACGTTCAAATGAAAAGTAAAAGCATGAGAACAGATCAGGATCCATGGATATTTAATTTATAATATTAGAATCTTATTTTCTTTTATAAACTTTATGTTATTATTTGTTCTATGTTTATTTCGTGCACGTTTGGCAATCTATTAGAAAATGATTAAGTAACAGATGATAAGGTTCATAAATTTTGAATATAGAATTTAGAACTAAATTCAGATGTTAGGAACAATTTTAAATTGATTTTAAATGTACTAGAATAATGGATGGACTTACTAGTTTTAGTGTGAAAGGTAGGAGAAAGTCAGGAACCAAAAATGCAATTGGGAACTTTTAGTTAATTGGAGTGTGTTAGTGATGGAATATGAGATGATGTGAATTTAAATGAGTAGAATGGTTATATGAATTAGAAATTGAATTAAATGGAGAAAAAGATTAAATGATATTAAAAGGTCTTATTTTTATTTTAAATTTCAAAATAATTAATAAAATGAATAATTTCGAAAAGGTTGACGCGTTGGGATAATTGCCATAAGCAAGGTTTGGACACACCATTACTTATATCGCAAAGGGCAAGGCTATTTTATTTGGTGGTAAGGATATTTGAATAATTACAGGGGCTACTGGTGATACTGGGAAATATAGCATAACAGGAGATACATTCTCATTTGATATGCAGACTAAATAATGGAAAAGGGTTGAAGGTAATAAAAAATATAAAAAATTTAGTATAGGGAACTGCACCTAACCCAAGAGCAGCGCATGCAGCAGTGTGTGTTGATATAAATTAAATAGTAATTTATGGTGGAGCAACAGGAGGTATGAGAATTGATTTATAATGGTAGGTGGTAGTTTAGCATCGGATGATCTATATTTGTTAGATTTAAGATCAGCAGATGATATCGGATAATGGACTGTAGTACCTGTGGTTGGAACAACTCCAGGAAGAAGGTATGGTCATACACTTACATTTACGAAACCATTTTTGATTGCATTTGGAGGAAATACAGGTCAGGAACCAGTTAACGATTGTTGTATGAATTAATCATTTGAATTAAGGGTGTGTTAACGTTGAGAAGAGTCCCATTACATGGATGCGATTAGAATGCAAGTCAGAATAGCCAATAGCAAGAGTATATCACTCCGCTAGTATTTGTACTAATGGTAGTGCCAATGGGATGGTCGTAGCATTTGGAGGTCGCTCAAATGACTAACAAGCATTAAATGATGCTTGGGGATTGAGAAGGCACAGAGATGGAAGATGGGATTGGGTAAAAGCACCATATAAACTCGAAAAAGAGCAACCAATTGGCAGATATTAACATTCCACTCTATTTGTCTATAGCATGCTATTTGTCATTGGTGGTAGGACTGGGAATGTCGGTGAAACGCTCACAATCGATGTCTATGATACTGAGACTTCTGAGTGGTCTAAATTCAATAGTATTCAAAGATTCAGACATTCTTCTTGGTTGGTTGATACCAATATTTTTGTTTATGGTGGATTCGAGTTAGATTCCCCTAATATCCCAACTGACATCATTTCCAAAATCAATTTGAACAAATTACTATTACCAAGTGAACCCTTAACTAATAAATTAGGCTAATATTAACATGCATAAAGAAAGTATTGTCTATCTTGTATTTAGTGTATCCCCTCAATCTCTCTCACCTTAGATGAGTCCTGCTTCAACAGATACGTCCAATTCTTCTTTAAATAATTCATTGATGCAAAAAAAGGGAGCACCAAACAACTAAATTAATACTCAAAAATAATAAAAGCCTTTTACTTAGAATCAAGTTGAAAAACCCTCCTTTAAATTCATTAATTAGGCTATTGTGGCTGAAGAGAGCAGAGACTCGAAAGTCTAGAATAAAAAACAAAGGCTTCCCTAATCTGCTCAAGATAACAATATTGCTCATTTATTTATTAATACACTCTTGTAACCAAAGACTTTTATTAACCTTCAAGAAAATGCTAAGTTTTTATTTTAAGCACAACATATCATCATGCTCTGTGATTAGGCTGAGGCAGTTATCAAAGAATAACCAATGGTCTTAAGATGCAAGGCTCCCATTAAAATCTTTGGGGATATTCATGGATAGTATTCTGATTTAATGAGATTCTTTGATTTATGGGGATCACCTTTTGTTGATGGTAAGGATAGTGACATTGAAGCATTTGACTATCTGTTTTTAGGAGATTTCGTTGATCGAGGTAATCATTCCCTAGAAACCATCTGTTTACTTTTGGCTTTGAAAGTCAGATATCCAGAATCAATTCATTTAATTAGAGGTAATCATGAAGACAAATGGATTAATAATGGATTTGGATTCTCAGAAGAATGTGCTTAGAGATTAGGCGAAGATCCAAACGATGATGATTCTGTTTTTGCAAGAGTTAATAGATTATTTGAATGGTTACCATTGGCTGCAATTGTCGAAGATAAAATAATCTGTCTACATGGTGGTATTGGTAGCTAATTGAATTATGTTGCTGAAATTGAGAATCTACAAAGACCCCTTGAAGTTATACATGAAGTCACGACTCCAGAATAATAATTGGTTGTTGACATCCTATGGTCTGATCCTACTGATTCTGATTAGGATTTTGGAATCCAACCAAACATTATCAGAGATCCTGCAGGAACTGGAAACATTGTTAAGTTTGGTCCAGATAGAGTTATCAATTTTCTTATAAAAAACAGTCTTTCTCTTATAATTCGTGCTCATGAGTGTGTCATGGATGGTTTTGAAAGATTTGCAGGTACTTTTTACTTCTTAATTAAGCTGGTCAATTATTGACAGTATTTAGTGCCACTGATTATTGTGGTAGACATAAAAATGCAGGGGCAGTACTGATTTTAAAACGAAATCTAGAGATTGTTCCTAAATTAATATATCCACAAAATCTAAATGCTCACAATTGGATTGAAGATGAAGAGACACTTAAAAAAAGACCTCCAACACCACCTCGTTGGAAAAACTAGGGTCAACGTAGAAGTTACGAATGATCTAAATTAAATTAGTTATTTTTAGTTATTTAGTTATTTAATTATTTTCAATTCCTTATTAAATTCCTAATGATAATTTATATATATAATATAGTAATAAAAATTCATTTTTTGAATGAAGGCGAACAATATTTTTCACTTAGATCAAATGAGGAATCTCTTCTCAACAATTGAGTATAGAAATTATTGGTTTTCAATTAGTTCTCATTAACCTTATTCAAAATCTCTAAGAACTTACTAGGTTAACTATTTGATCTCTGTTTATCAGGTGTTTGATTGGTTGGTGTTGTTACCTGAGTTGATTAGGGTGACATTAACCTCGAAACAGACTATCCCTACTATTGTTCTGTCTTCAATAAAGATGTTTAAACTATTTTTATCTCTAATTCACTATCCTCAAATAAACCTCCAAGTATTTTTTAATCGGTTGCTTTTTTATATACTCTTCCCAAATAAACATTCTAAGTCTCCATCTTACCAAGACATTACTAGATATCCTACACCCTCTTATTATATTGACCCATTATCTATTTGTAAGGCAGCAATTCAATTTATAGAATTATATTATCAAGGTTAACTTCGATGTCACTATACATCTATAGTAATTCATTGTGACTCTCTTTGATTTCTTGTTATTTTTATTCGAACATTGTTAACGCTTTGCCCTACAATTCATTCAAATAGTCTATTTATTCTTTTAGTTTGTGGTCCAAAGTAGTTGTCATTATGTGATAATGCTCTCGTACCTTATCTTTCTACTTCTCACAGAATCTAACCAAATCCTCCTTTTTCTCTAGAAGACTCTATTCACTTTGATCTATTGTTAAGAAAGTTTATGAAATTGTTTCAAGAAACTGTTGTATTTATTCTTATCTAACTTAAGTCTAATCTGACTCAATGTCATCAACCTACTTCTAAGATGAAGTTTACCTTGTATCCTTAACTAACTAGAGCAATTGCACATTTAGAACAAACTAAATCAGTCAAGTTAAACTTTGGTTTTACGAATGGAACACCGACAATTTTATATTTTGCCTAATTTCTAAGCTTTTCTTACCTTCTTATTTTGATGAGCCTTGCAAATTGGTTCAGCCAAATTAAATACTTCATTTTCTTTATTCATCTGTTAACGATTAAAATTAATTGAAAACACTAATAAATATTATTCAGTAGAATAATATCTACTTATTCCCGCTATTTTCCCATGCTGCTGTTTTAAAGTTTGAATTAATGGAAGACTAAACTTTATCTATCAATTTTATAGAGATTTTAAAAATTACAAAAATTTGCTATTTTTATATCACAAACTCTAATAATTCATTCAATGTTATTTATAAAAAGTAGGGTCTTGAATATAAACTGAAATTTGGAGATGTCATTATTAGAAACTACGAACAAAATTGATAATTGGCTTCAGTTTATATTCTCTCTATTAATTATTTTAATATTTAAGGACGCTCTAATGTAAGGGAAGATATTAGAAATTTATAAAGGATATAGATAATATAATACTTTCAACAATATTTTGAATTTATTTATCATTTGTAATTAAATCTAATTCAAAAAATAAATCATTTCTGAATACTTTCTTATCTAATTATATAAGAATCATTTTAAATTAAATCTTCAATCATCATCTATTTTGTTCTTTTACTTAACATTAAACTTCTGAACATTTTCAGGTAAGTTTTCAATTTTTAATAACCATCAATGAATTACTAAAGATTAAATAAGATCACTTAACTTTCTACTATTATTTAAAACGTAGAGCTAATTTAGTTAATCCTTAAAGAATGAATATGATGAAAATTATGTTGGATATGAATTTTACAACTCCCAAGATAAGAACCATAATTAATACTTTTTAGATATAAATTTTAAAGATAAATAATAATAATTTCAAAAGGTTTCATTTATTACAATGACAATAAGCTGAACTCATTCCTTTATTAAGGAGGTAAGTGCAATTAGGACAATGTAGTTTTCCAGACTTATTAAGTATTTTTGATTTAGAGGGCATTGTGAAAGATGGATCATAGCGTCTAAAATAGAGAATTAATTTACTCAACAACTTTTTCAGTATTCATTTTTTTATTGATTGACTTTTTTAATTTATCCCTTATTCTCTCTATTTATTATCTATTTTATATAACTTTAATAATTACAAAACTTCTACTTCCTTATTAAGTTTGTATAATCTTGAAACATCACATTATAAAGAGGTTTTTGATGGAAGGATTAAAGTATTAGGAAACTAATTTTCAGTTAAAATTTATGGAGCTTAACTATTTGATTTATGCTTTTAAGGAACCACATCTATACTCACATCATTTCCATCCTTCTCTTTAAATTCAATTGTTGAGATGGGTAAATTTTGAAAAGAGGTTTATTTTTTGGAGGCATGACTTTTATGCTATGGTTTATGTGGTTCTTCTATTTCATTTTCACTTTCAGAATCACTTGAACTCTCTTCTATAGTTATTTTATACATGATTACCTTAGTTTTTGCTTCTTGAGTTTTATTCAGGCAATTCATCAATGATCTCAACTTCAGCTCTGGACTTTTTTTTAAAGTTTGTAGGTTGAACCTAATTTTGATTTTAGTCATAGGCAGAATGATGAGATGATTTTTTTGAACTTGAAGCCAATTTTTTACTTTTCTAATGATTTTATTGAACTGGTAACTCATATACTCGTTCATTATATTCTTATTCGTCTTCCTCGGAATTGGATTAGGTGTATTGTTTTAACTAATGCTTGAGTTTGATCTTCTATTTATTTTACTCTTTTTCCTCTTTGTTAAGGCTGTCTTTCAATGATTCGAGTTCTTGTTAGAGATTTTAAATTTCAAAATCGAATTCTTCTATCTTACGTCCCTCTTATATATATTATTATAGAGAATACTTTTCCATTCAATAGCAGGTTCTTAATTTTTGGATCTCAGTGATTCAAGTCGGTTATTGTAATAATTGACTTTGAGGTCTGATTATTAAAATTGCTTAAAATCAACAGAGAACGAATCAACTGAAGTCATTGATGCAGATTAATTATGTTAGTAATTCCTCTAGAGAGTGGATTTCACACTAGTATTCAATTCTTGCTCCAATTTCTTTATTCTTGATTCAAGTGTTGATTCATTTCCGATTTTGAACTTATTAGAATCGTTATCTAATGATTTAAGTATTTCTTATTACAAGTATCAGAGAGATCAAATGTGGCATCATCTAATTCCTGTTATTGCTACTCTTCCTTTCCATACACTTTCCTATTGATCTATTGCCTTTTCTTTTTTATCATATCCGTCAAACTCTCATCTGATGACGATGATTTTGAATTGGAATATCTGATTGTTGACTGTTTATTGGAAGATTCAATTTTGTAATCACTCATATCAACCGAATCATCTGAACTAAATCCTTCATGTTTACTATTTAAATTCATTTTAATTAACGAAGAAAATTAATTATAATTATAAGTACTAATTCTATTTAAGACTATGAAATAACACCAATAAGATGAGCAACCAAAGCAATTTGTCGTCTCAAAATCCATCTCCAAACATATAAAAATTAAAAGCAAACATCTTTTACTATATATATTAAAATCAAACAACTCCCATCTTTACTAATGAATCTCTAATATCCAGCTTGGTTATTGATAATATTAATTACAATTCGAATGAACACGACATCAAATAATATGAAAAATAGACTTATCAAAATTGATAAAAAATTATTCTAATCAAACTATCCTATAAATAACTTAAATTGTAACAGATTATGATAATTTAAAATTTAAAGAGAACATCTATGTATTAACAAAAACTATAAAAGTAATCAGTTTATTATATTGAGAAGAACGCATAAAGTAGTCTTAATGTAATCTTACATAAAAAATAATCATATTACTAATTAAAGGGAATTGTGTGTTCAACCTAATAAAAGAATATCACTTAGACTATTTATTAGCTTTTGCTAAAGATTATATTAAATGCCCATTAAACTAAGAATGTGCATTTCTCTATAATTGGATGTCAAGATAAGGGCAATTTTGTGAATATCTTTTCATGAAATCCACTTAAATAAGAAATCAATTACCAAATGCTATCTAAATTAGTATTAATATAAAGATGGCGCCATTATGATAATTATATATTTAATTAACGATTCTCGTAATACAACATCTCCAATTTTTAAATAGATTGTATATTGAGAATTTATAAATAACTGGAAATAAATTATAATATAAATCTGGCTATTTCTTATTAGTACTTCATAATTTTTTAGTTGAAATTCACTTTATAAAAAATGAAAATTAGAAATTTTAATATGATAAAAATGATCAAATAGTTGAATAGCTAATGTATTGGTATCGGAGAACAATAAATCGAATGCTCAGATTAGGAAGTAGGACTAGATGACATTCCCTAAAATCTAATAAATTATTTAGAATTGTAAACTAATTACCCTCAATCACTATAACTATGCTAACCAATTTCAAAGGAGGATTTATAGATGATTGAGCAATAGATATGCCATATTATCCAAGCCTAAGATTTAGTAACAAATTAAGAATGTTCTGAATTCTAAGATTTCCAAATATCTTAATAGGAGAGAAAACAACAGCTAATTTTAAAATATAAAAAAATATTTATCAAACTCAACAATTTCAATTATCCACTTTAGAATAGCCTAATGTTGCAATTATAATTTCCAAATTATTTGAGAATTACTCTATAAATTTTTAAAAAAGTAACTCAAACAACACAATTATCCAATAATATCATTTAGTTTATCATTAATTATGCTTAGAATAAGTAATTAGAGTAACCTTATGTTGAATTGTCATCAAAGATTATAAAATTATGTAAAGAATTTGATAATTTGGATTAATTTCAATTAGTAAATTAGGAAAATTTGTTGAGTAGATAACCGAATGATGAGCCAAACTTATAAAATACCATATGGACAAGATAATAAATGATTTAATGCTTGATACTTTACACTATTGTGAGATGTGAACTATTAATTTTTAATCAAAAAACTAAAATCTCATTAAATTATGAATAAAATATAGCAAATATTTCTAAACATATCAATATGTGTACTTATGATTATTCTTGGAGTGAAAATTGTTTAGGTAACATTAGAGATTACCATCCTAAGTTAGCAAAGAAACTTAATAAACGTTACTCAACTGTTAGGAATCTAGAAACTAGTTATGAAAAATAAATAAGCATAGCTATATTCAATTATACCTAATCCTTATTAGGTTATTTCCATCATCATTATTCATATTCCTCGATGTAATTAGATCAAGATGTCAAAGACAAAATCAAATCTATACTAAATGGAAAGATAACAGATTGCGATTTAAGTTTAGTTATAATTGTAGCAAATGCAGTAATGTTTGTCTAAATTTTATACGCTTTAAAATGAAATACCCTTTGAATTTATTATAAGTTTTTATATTTAATTAATTAACAAATTACAAATATCCCATAAATGGATCTTTCAATAACAAATTATTAAAATAAAGTAATAAGTATAAATCATTTTGCTTTGTAATTATTATTCTACTATTTTTATTTAAAAATTGTAAGTTTAATTATAATCATAATAAATTTGATTATTTAATATAATATTAAAAAATGAATACTTGCGATAAAAATTTAAGAATGAATTATAAAATATAGTTTGAATGTTGATTCTCATATTATTTATAAGATCTAAAGCATCATAATTATAATTAAATTATATTAAACAAAATTACTGAATTAATCAATCAAATACAAAATCCCATATCTGTATATAATCTATTAAATAAAAAAAATAAACAAAGTGCTGATATGCTTATCAATATGGTTGCAATTTTTTAACTGAAGCAAATCAAGAATTTAATGTTAATTGATATGATGCTGGCTACACACAACCATTTAATGCTCATTAACATTTACTCATCAGAATGATATCTATGAAAAACCCTCAAAATGTTGAGAGATTATAAAATTAGTAAATCAAATAAATATCCTTTTACATTTACATTTAGGTAATAAATAAAAAAGAGAATCGATCGAGAAAGAAAGAAAAAAAGAATATAAGATATGCACTTATAGAATGTATATTATAACAATGATCATTCTTCTTTTGGTTGCTTTCTTTTTGAGTTCTTTCTCTTTCTTCTTCCTTCTCTTCCTTATCCAAATGGAGAGGTGACTGCGAAATCAACTAATTTTTCACTTTCCACTCTAACGAGGAATGATGGTGAATTTACTAATCTCTTTCCAACTCTATGATATGATCAAATGTCAATTGTACCTAAAGTGTCTTTATCTAATTAAGGTTCTGGCATGATGAATGGATGAAGCTTAATTGCTTTTGAAAACAAAGGTTTAGAGTCTTCTCTCCATCATTTTTTATGTAGTCAAACCCAAGACATAATCCAACTTTCTTTCTTATTCACTCAATAAACCAAAGCGAACCATTCTTCTAATTAAGGCTTCTCCTTCGAACAATCTTCTTGGGTCTTTTGGATCAAGAGTCAATAATTCTCTGGCAGCCTTTCTGATTCTGGCCAATGTAAGTTGAACTCTCCAAACTTCTCTCTTATTCTTCAATCCATACTTACCAATGATTTGCAATCTAATTATTCATCAATATTACTCATTATCAAGACGTTCTTTTTCGAATGGTTTTCTTGGTGTGGCAGATGTCTTTGATCTGTTTCTATAGTTTTTTCCCATAAAAAGATTTAAATATAATTTTAAATTTTGTTTTAATAACAACAATATGCTCTTCCATAGTATCTCATCCTCCTTCATAAAGTCTCCATCAACATCTAAGAGAGTATCAATCAATTTAAAATAAACATCGTATTATTATATTCATACTCAATTTTTTCTCAAACTAATACTAAAGAAGCTGTCCATCCCACCTTTCTCAGGTAAGCTCTAGAAGTAATCGTTATCCACGACACTTAAATTATATTTCTTGCAAAAATGCTTCACTTGATTCTAATTTTCATCTTTCAAAAAACTACAAGTTGTATAGACAATCACTCCATCTTATCGTAAGTATCTTATTGCTTAATCGAATATGTCTTATTACAGTTTTATTAAATCTACTTTAATTCATAAGTATACCATTTAATCTTTCCTAAGAAAATCTATATTTTGAGTCAGGATTTCTTCTCAATGTTCCTAAACCAGTACAAGGGACATCTAATAGAATCCAATCATATTTAAACTTCTTCGTAAAGAAACTGTAGTTCATAATACCTGCTCTTCTCAATCTAATTTTTGCTTTAGAAAGTGCTTCACTTCTGGTATCATTAATCTCAATCACTCCTTTACCTTCCATTTGATGAGCAAATGCCAACGTTTTACCTCCAGATCCAGCACAATAATCGAGTACTTTATCATTAGGTTTGCATTGAACTCTAAGAGCACAGATTTAAGAGGCCTCATCTTGAATTTCAAACAATCCTTCTTTAAATTAATCTGTATCACTCAAATTCACATTATTCTCTTTGCTCACTAATAATCCATAGGGGGAAGTCAAGGTCTTTTTGAAATAAAGGTTCTGCATTTCCATCATTAGCTAAACATTTAAAATGGTGGGCAAATTACCTTTTCTCTGGTTGTTTTAATTGGATTTATTCTTATCGTCAACGGTGCTTTGGTGTTCAATGCAGTAAAGAACTCATAAGCCTTTTTTTAACCATATTAGTCAGAAACTAATTGGAAGAGTCTGAAATAGAATGTATTATTTACATCTCTGGACAGCTACATCGAATATTCCTTTGTAATTGATCAAAATATAATTTTACAGTGGAATATTTTGGTCCTTCTCATAATCAGGTATATGGGATAAGAGATCACATTTTCTATCCACATCTTTTGTAAAATGAGAGAGCAGAACATCATTTCTAATTAGATCAAATGCGGTTTAGGAAATTATTGAGCGCTCAGAAGGCCCAAGAGTCTTGTTGTTTTTGTAGTATTCTCTTAGAAAGGAATCAAAGGGCCCTCTCTGAACATCAAAATTTGTCATAATAGTCTTTATGTGGGTTTTAATAAATGGCCTTAAATTCATATTAAATAATAAATAATAACGAATATGAACTTAATAAAAATGCATAAGCCAATTGCTCCAACTAAATCATAGTCTCCATATAATTCAGGCAAAAAGAATCCTGATTACATCAATCCCACATTTGTTAGTCAGACTGTGTTTCAAGATAACCTCTCCTAAACAAAGGCTTTATAAAATGGACATACAAAATAAAATAGTAGTTATTACTCATATTATAATTAAACTTAAAAATTATAAAACGAAAAGACTCAAGGGACAATTGAAAAATAGCGATACGCAAATATTTTGAAGTTCGAATAAAAACGATTTGAAACCAATGACAAGAACTATTTTGTTGATAGGAAAAAGTAATTATCATAGCATGAACTCACACCTGATTATTCTCTTAATAGAATCAAAAGGAATAGTTAAATCGAATTAAACATGTCTTGGAACAACGGAGTTCAGGACCATCAAATCAAATAGGATGTGAAAAAGGATGAAAAGAGAAAACTTTACACAGAAATAGAGTAGACTGAATAATTCTATTCGTCAGTGAAAGAAATCAACAAATCTGTTAAAGATTTCAAAGCCTAAAGTTATTTAAGAGGATTGCAATTGCAGAACAGACACAATGAATATTTAAAGGAAGTAGAGAAAACTAAAAAGTTAGAGGAAGAAATCATAAGGTGCCAGGAACTCAAAATATAAGAATTAAGGAGGTAGTAAGAATAACTTAGCATAGCTAAATCCAAATTTACTAAATGATTATCATTTATAAAATATTGCATCGCGAAATTCTACTGCCAATATTAAAATTAAACTCTATATAATAACTCCAATAATTGCATCAGCTAAAGATCCAAATGAATTATATAAATAGTTTGATAATGATCGATTTCCATCTTTTCCCCATTGATCTACCTTATAAATTAGATTTCTTGCTTAATTATGTATGAATGTCATTAAATATATATAAGGATGAAAAGTTTTCTTTTAACTTTCATATAGTTTATGAATCAATATCTAAATTAAAATATAATCTTAGATCTACTTTCCAAATATGAAATATAAAAATGATTTCATCTAATTGAAATTTTATAATTCAAGCTTTGAAATCACAATTAAATAATTATTATATATATTTTCAGTGTATTTTTAACCACATCTTTAATGAAACAGAAGTTTGGAAAATTCCAGTTCTTACTTTTGAACTAATATTAATGACTAGCTGTCCAGAATTTATTGCTAATTTCTATTCCATAATTGACTATCCAACAAAAAAACGAAATTATTTCCAGAAAAATAAAAAGATTATTTAGATTGCTCTACTATGATATTATATTGTCTATCATTTTTATTTATTGCTTCTAAGAGGATGAATTATCCTAATTTTAATTCAAATCTCTCATTTTAAATACATTTTTCTATCAATAATTTTTATTCCATAAGCTTAATACAATTAAGGAAATATGGATTTCTGTTATTGGCATGAGAATTAATCTATATCTGATACCACTTCATAATAATACTTTTCATATAATAGTATTAGCTCAGGCCCATACTAACTTTCTGGAGATATGAAAAATCCACAAATGGATGCAACAGAACTATCCCTTTATGGTAAAGAAAATTATTCTCTAGCCAGAAATACCGAAAAATAAATTTTGATCAACTCATCTGCCGAAAATATTCCTTTAGAATTATTATAAATAATTGCTGAAAAATCTAACAATATTGAGAAACATTTATAAGTTTTCATACCTTACTCAAATGATGAATAACTACTTCAATATTATCTTAAACAAAAAAAATTCACTATTTATACTTTAGATGATGATCAAGTGTACTTAAATAAATTGAAGAAATAAAAAATATTTTAGTAATTGAAATATGTAAAGCAGCAAGAATTAGTTAATAATTTCGATTTAAAGATATTTAATTGTTGCTCATAAACTGACAGAATGTTTAAATTTTTGGAAACAACTCGTATAAATTCCATCTCTACCAATTAAGTTTTTATATTAGATTATTGTCATAATCTTCACGAAATTATCAGCAAAATAATGAAAGATTAAGAAACATATAAAGAAGAATTAATGTTAGTCACAATTAAATCTATAAAGAAATATTATGTATTTTTTACTGGAAAAATGAGTTCAACCGAAGGACTTTCAAGGTTACAAACAATACAGTAGATTCTATTAGAGGATGCAGAATCTGACTTAAATTGTCCAAATCAAATAAAAATGCTTCTCAAATATCTCATGGACGAAAAATTCACTTTACAAAAAATTTTATAGATCATTGGATCTATCAAGTAAAAACATGCTGATGAATTGAAAAAATAATAATCTGATAGCATTCTTTTGATGTTTTTACGAAAACTTATTAAAAACAAAATTGTTGATTAATCAAAAATTCATCAGATATATCCCTCTATCCCCATTAATCATTTAACCAAAACAAAATTAACTTCATCCCAAAAAGATATTATTTAAAATAATATGAATTCATATGATAGAGTTAACAACAGCAGGTTTCAAATAAAGATGTGATTAATTATGAAAAAATTGTCAATTTTTTATCACTAACTGTTACAAAATTATATGTTTGTTTCAACATTATGTAAAAAAATACTTAAACCTTTCTCCAATTAAATTCTTACATTTTTCAAATTTATGAAAAATTTTTATAATTATCCTCACTTATGTAATGAAAACTCTAAGCTTAATGATAATAATTATTTAAAATATTTATTTTTCGAACATTCATTAATAATCATTTCTATATAGTTATTCAACAATAATCAAACTATCCTTAACTTGTTTATACAAATCTTATGACTTTTCTATATTCAATGATTATTTAAATTAAAAATTTTTTTAATTACACAAACCTTATTTTCCTCTCTTAAAACAACTATCGAATTTGAAATTGTCAGATTTTATTAAAATTTACTCTTTTTTGTCTCTAATTATTCTAATCTTGTTTTTTATAGATATGTTAGCTATTCTGAATATATTCATGGTTAGTAAATAAATATTGAGTTCTATATGAGATTGTTATTGATCTAAACTATTATGAATGTATATTAAGTATATTAAATATTGATTATTTTATCTAAATTTGAGTACTATTCAAATAAAGTACACTATTAAATTTAATATTGTAATTTGATTATTTACAAAAGATAGAATTGATATGCACTCAAATGTATTTCTAATTAATTATTTAGCAATTAAGTTAAAATTGTTGGACATAGATTACTTTTATTTAAAATTTAATTTCATTATCACCTGAATTTTCTCTAAGATTATCTTTATTTTTATAAGATAGACTTTTAATGTTAGATTTAATTAAATAATTAAAGTCAATTTCATATGTTATAAATGTGAAATAAGACCGCTAATTGGAACAAAGACTTTATCTTTTTCTAAAAATGTAAGTTCTTATTAAATAATGAAAGAATGAAAAATATTACATTTATGGTTTCTTAATTGAATTGTCTTTGTAAAATATCTATAATTTACAACAATAGTAAAGACAAATGAAAATTTTAAGACGCAATTCCAAAAGAGAGGACTTAAAAGATGCCATTTTCATAATTATAAAGTGAATTCATGAAAAAAAATGAAGAATATTTTGGAAATCCCAGTTAAATTAAACATAATAACCTTTATTTAGTAATAGGAACATTTTCCTAGAGAATATACTATTGAAAAATTCATCATTAAAGATTATTGAATATAGTAAATATAAGGAAAATCCATCCTGTATAGCAGTATAGCAATTCTTATGTAATATTGAAAGGAATAGAGTTATAATTTTATATTAATGAAAAGAAAAGATGTTATCTTATTAGCGCTTTTAAGTTGCGCATTATTCATAATAATTATATTAAATTTATAACGATATAATGTACTATCACTAAAACGCCCCTGTTCATTAATATTCACCATTTCAGACGATGCCAACTGTCCAATATAAATAACATGCCACAATACATCCACCACGCATTAATTAAATTTATTAAGCATAGTCATAAATATAACCTTCATAATCATCAAATTTTCGATATATGCAAAATTCTTAACAATTAAAGTAATCAACTCTAAGCACCTTCTAACCTTATTAGCCGGACCCAGAAGTAGAAAAAATAATCTCTAAATATAATACAACATAAAAAAATACTTAAATTGAATAACCCGTAACTCACTGGCCATCCAATAGTATTCAGTAGAACTAATCAAACTAATTTAGAGACTAAAATCAAAATAGTAAGGATGAGTAAGAATTCAAAGATAATAATACACCACTCCATTTTTAATTTGATGATATTAAATAGAGGAAACCTAATTTAGAATAGAAGAACTATTCTCCAGATAAAAATGATTTTAAGGATTTTATTCCTTTAAAATAAGAATAAGTGGCCCTTCCTGAATAAAACGATAAAATTGTTAAATTAATAGTTTCTGGGATCATTGTTTTATTAATTTTATATATCATATCATTTCTACTACTAAAATGATATTATAAACTTGATATTTATTTTCAATTTAAGATTTACAATAAATTTAAATATTTTAAACACATAATTACGTTTATTTTACCAAAGATATTATTATTATAATTTATTTAGAAAAGTTGAAGAAAACTAAAGTAATAGATTATATATTTAATAATATTCATTTCAAATTGTTGAGTTCTACCCTTTATAGAGTCTGCAAAATTAAAAGTAGAAATATCATAGGTTTAAGTAATTAATAAATTAAATAAATAAAGATATTAATTACATTTTTTCTTAAATTTATAAATAAACTAAGTAGCATATAGAGTTTAATATCAAGCATATATTATATATAAGCTTATTTAATTAATATTGTTATAATATTAAATTAAGGTAATTCATCATTTTTATTTTTATTTCTCGGATAAAAACAGTTTTGAAAAATGATTTAACTTATTTAATGAACTATTATTAGTAGTTTTAGGAGACGGCAGATTTCCAAATTGTTCTGTTTTAATTCTCTCGGTAATAACTTTATGGTTTTAATCTGGCATAGTAGTTGTTCTATCTGAACAAATTAAAGCTTTGGATTAATCAACAAATAATTTGAATTACTAAATAATAATAATTTCAATTTACTTTTAAATCTTATAAAGAGTTTTGTTATTACATTGTTTTTGAATAGGAATGTCCTAATTTAGTAGATTATTGCAGTAGTTAAGATGATTTTGTCATCAAATCATGCTTCTTAAAATAATCATAAACTTCGCTTTTTCCAGTTTGTCTATTAATTCTTTTTCCCTCTTAAGGAGAGGCAAGAATTGACTAATAAGAATTAAATTCTCCCTTTTATTGTTATAACATCTATTAAGTTCTGCCTGGAGATTATGCTTCAGCAGGGATTGCTTGTGTTTTGAGTTGATTTAGATTAACCTCATTTGTTCTTTTAGTTTTTGCAAGTCCAAACTGGGATTCTCTTGAATAATAAAAGTTTTTTAATACGTAATTTGCTGTATCAATATTCTAGATATATATAATTCAATACTTGAAATTCCTTCTGCATGTTTGCCTAATATTACTTCCTAAATTCAGCATCTCCTTTATTAAATTCTTCTTCATCAAAATTATATTTAAGAGGTTCTGGTTTATAAGGAGTTTTTAACTATTTATTGACGATGGCCTCGAAGTCAACATCATGAAACCATTGATGTGTGAGAATTTCAACAATTCCACCATTATAACCCAATCTTTCAGTTGGATCTTTTTAAAGCAATTGTAATATGAGTTCTTTCAAAACTGGCGATATTTGAACATATTATGGAAATTCTACAGTTTCAGTCAAAATTGAATTATATATTTCTTGTGTATTATGAGAATAAAATGGAGGTAATCCAGTAACTAATTCATAAAGCAAAGCTCCTAAACAATAACAATCAACTAAATAGTTATGACCAGTTTTCATCAACATTTCAGGAGCCATGTATTCTGGGGATCCACAAAACGAATAGGCAAAATCATCTGCTGTCATATCAGGCTTTGACAAACCAAAATCACTTAATAGTAGATGGCCTTGCAAATCTAAAAGAATGTTTTCTGGTTTAATGTCTCTATACACAATGTTTTTGGAATGTAGATAAGCCATGCCAATGCAAATTTCTACAAAATAGAATTTAGCATCTTATTCATTCAATCTTTTCAATTTTCTTAGATGATAAAATAGTTCACCTCCAGCACAATAATCAAGAACAAATGCAATATAGTATTTAGTCTCGAATGCATAATGCAATGGAGTAACAAATTGGTTCTCCATCTGAACCATAATGTCTCTTTCATTTTGTACGATAATCTCCTTTTGATTGTCTAATATGAACTTCTTATCAATAAGTTTCAAAGCATAAAATTTTCCATTGTCTCTCTTTCTTACCATATAAACTCTTGAAAAACCCCCTACTCCTATGCATTTGACTAAAGTAAAATCCTTCAATCCAACTCTCTTTGTTGTAATTGGTTATGAATAGAGTGGTTGAACCTGCAATGTTATTCCTTTGAAAACTTCCACAGTTAAATTCTAGATTGTCAAGTAGTAATCATAGGGGATATTTTTGGATACAGTTTGAAATTAACATATTTTATTTAGTTCTAAAAATCTTTAGTTATAATACCTTATTATATTTAATCTACTTCAGTTGAGCCAGTTCCACTTCCAAGTTTTGTAAACGACCTTTCAATGCATGCAATTTATTATATTAAATAATTGTACAAGTCATCGGTAGTTTAATTTTAGTATTCGTATAAGTAATTGTATCTATGATTTAACAATATATCTTACTTTTATTATTTATAATGAAGAACTATTTGTATGTATTTGTTAAGATCATACTAAACGGTTTCGTCTTTGCTTTTTTATTTTAGGAATTATTAATTGGACCCAGCGGAATATTCAGTTTTTATATGGCTTTAATTGGTTGATTTAGATTCGCTTTCATTTCTTTTAGGCTTTTATGATTAAAACTATATGGATCCCTATAAGGATCCTTTTAACAGTTTTTAACTAGAAAACATATCCTCAATCGATTATCGATGATTTTATTAAGGATTGGATTAAATAGATTATTTATTCTATTTTAAATTTAAATAGTTCTAACACTCATTAGTGCATACACTATTTTTTAGCTAGGTATATTATATGAAAAATACAATATGCAAATCAAATAGTAATTGATCCTTTTATTTATGAACAGGCTATTTGATTTGATTTTGAGGAGATTGGTTGTAAGATTACTTTGTAGTCTGAGGTTACTTTGATAACTAATTTTTCAACATTTTATCAATATTTTAAGCATCTTATGAAATGGTTGCCAATGATAAGTTTTTTTATTTTAAGATTTATCTTCTTGCACTATTTCCATCATCGGTTTAGATACGTGCATCAGTCTATAAAGAGTAATATGTCATAGTTACATTGAATTAACCAGTTTTTAGACGATCGCTCTTCTAACTTAATTGTTATAAATTATCAATGCTTTTGCTTCCCTGCAATATTGCCTTCGAAGAGCTTGCAACTTAAGTGAATGTGTTCCTCTCTTTCTTGAAATAGTCAAGCAAATCATTCTTCTGAGTTTTGTATTACGGTCTTTCTGTATTGACAGTCTTGGGTTTACTTTTATTTTTTTTTGGGTCGTTGGTGAAAGGTTTATCTTATAAGTTATTTTTGGTCATTAATGTTAACATCTATTAACTAATTTTCTTCATTAACGATGAGTATAATTTATTTAATTCAAATTATATATATATTTACTCTGAAATTACATAAATTAAATAAATGAACATCTCTCTCATTATTATGTTTGCTAAACGGGTTGCTATGGCTCTTCGTCTTTCTCCGTAAGGTACTTTTTCATGAATTTCTTTAATCCTCCATCAGCTTCGATTTATTTAAAGGCCTATTAAAATTCAGGAGCTGTGAAATCATATTTTTTCAAGATCTTATTCACCTTCTCATCGTAAAGTTGTCTATTCTGTTTTTAGAATGGTTGTGACATTAAAACAGGAACGAAGTAGTATTTTTTCATAACTCCGAAGAATGATGATCTTATTTTATTACTATGTACTCATACCTTGCTGTCAATGCATAAATTGGATTTCTCATTTTCAATAGTAAGCAAAAAGTAAAAGTAGAAAGCACTGACAAATAGAGAGTGGTTGAAGCTCTTGATCTATGCTCTTGTAATGCCAATTTAAATTCAGCTGTATCACTTTACTTATTTAAACTTTTTATTTACTTCAATTAATGGCGAGGGGGCTTTTACTTTAGAAAATATAGTAAAGGCCAACAATTTATTTTAGCAGAGTTCATCGTATGATAATTGCATATTCTTCATATAATTATATAAATCTAATATTGGAATATATATTTTATAATTATATAATTTATTCTCAAATATTCGCTAATACTATTTATAAAGAAATTGTATTTGCTACTCCTTTCGCAACTTGCTCTTCCTTTTACCCCTTAGATCCTTTATTAATTGGGATTAATCTTATTGTTAAACTCGATTCTTGGTCTCAGTAAAAGCTTATCTTATTTTCTTTTTTCCCCTCATTTTCTTTGTTATCAAAAGGAGACTATCATAATTCTCTGTTCTAGACCTATTAATGACAATGAGAATATATGGCTTTGCCTTCAAGAAGTAAGTTTAAAAAAACAAGTTAAGTTGACTTAACCTTTTTTTATTTTTGTTTTTTTATTATGATTTAGTTTTCCCTCCTCGTAAAGAGGATATGAAGAGATTCGATTTTACTGTTTGTTTGACTTAACCATGATATCTGCACAATATATGAGACATGTACTTTTTTCTAATGAACCCAAAATATAAATTAGGGGTTAATCAATCAATTTTATGTTTAAATATTCGGCAGGTTTAAAGTTAAATATCTGTAAAAAAACAAGAATTGATAATCTCATAAAATTTAAGTGAAAATTTTATGAAAAAAAAGGAAAATTTAAATTATAATACTTATTAAATTAAAAGTATAGGATTTTTCAATTAATACATTTTATAAATAAAATATATTGAGATATTTTTAAAATTTGCTTGAAATAAATCTTTAATTATAATTAATAGTATAAAATGAATTATAATGTAATAATATTTATGATTAAATAAAATTATTTGGATGTATGAAATAAGAGCAAAATCTTATGCTTGGTTGTTATTAAGTGTATTTTTATCAAGAGAGTATATAATTATCTTAGAATGAGAAATATTATGAATATTTATATTTAGCTTCTTTAACTAAAAATATAGTCGTTTTTAAAATGATTGATTTAAGCTATTTCGAAAATAGAGTTAAGCATTCACTTGATATTAACTGTTATTCTTTCAAGGCATGATGGAGATTAAATTAACCACTTTAAACAAAGAATAACATGCTTTAGATCTAAAATATTATAGAAAGTAACTCACCTTATGATAGTACTCTTTCACTTATTATTTTCCAATAATCAAAATGATTCTGAATTTCTAATAAAATAGATTTACTTATATGAGTCAATAAAACTTTATATTATGGTTATCAAGAATTATTTAGAATTAATATATCCTCTATATTAGTTATATTTTCTTTCAAGGATTGTCGCTTGTGTAATTTAGTGTCTAATTAATACATTAAATATATTGGGTTGTATGTGAATGTTATTGAAGGGGAAAGCTTATCAATCATTTTAAATTATTTCATTTTTGATTTGACTCTAATAAACAGATTGCAAGGTTCTTCTATTACAAACAAGATAAAAGAGACACCATATCAGAATAAGTCTAGTCCAAAATCAGGTTTTTAAATAGAACAAGATAAAAAATAAAGAATTTTAATCATTGATTTCTAATTCTAAAAATCTTCATGTAGGGTTAACTGAGAAGTATGATAATCTAAGAGCTTAAAAATGAGCTAAAATTACTGATGGAAATAGAATTTAACCTCGTACATTATAGAAATCTTAAAACAATACTTTTTGGATAAGTAGAAATATTCCCACTTATTGCTTGAACATTAACCTATAAGTTACTCTCAAAAGAAGTACATTTCTTTCATCTTGAATATAAAATATCCAATTGTATATTAAATTATCCAAAAGTATTGAGTCACACTGCCTATAAGGTAGATGTGGCATAAAATACTAGTGAAACAAATTCTACATAAAAAAGGTTAAGTCTAGCTAAGGTTCATAAGGAGAATAGTTTGCACCCTTTTTTCATTATTTATTTATCTAAATCAAATGAAGATTTTGATAACATTAGGTATTTTACTTTTGACTGCTTCCACATCAGATGTTGCAGTCTCTGATTAATGTAATTGCGAGAAACTTCTCTCTCAAGCTGATTGCAAGGCCAAATAAGGATGCAATTGGTCTACAACAACTTCTCTTTGTTCTAAAACAGATTCTGGAAGCACTTCTGCTGAAGGATATTGTGGACTCATAACTGATGCTAGTGCTTGCGCAAAAACCAAAGGTTGTGCTTATGTAGACTCTGTTTGTTAAATATTTGCTGGTTGTTCAGCTTATAAGGGTGCCACTGATGCTGAATGCCAAGCAATATCAAAATAATGTAATTCAGATGGACAAGCATTTTGTGTTGACCCTGCAACTTGTACAACTTATAAAACTGCAGAAGATTGTACAGGAAAGGGAAGCAGCGGAGGATCAGGTACTTGTGTTTGGGATACATCTTGTAGAGAACAGAAATGTACTGAAGCTGATGTAACATTCAATACAGATGCACAATGTAATAACTTTATCAAGGGTTGCGTAACAACTGGAAAGGGATGTATCAGTTCCTTAGGATTATGCTCTTCCTATAGTGGAGATGTTGAAACATGTGAAGGATTGAAGGGATCTGATGGTTATTGTAAAGGAGTGGATGGAAAAGACAAGTGTATTGTGAAATCGTGTACAGATGCAGAGATAACCTATACAACAGACACAGCCTGTGCTAAGTATTAGATTGGTTGTGTTACAAATGGTTATGGATGTGTCAAGTCGCCTTTAGGATCATGTTCTACTTAAACAGGAGATGACGTAATATGCGCAAATAAGAAAGGATCAGATGGTAAATGCAAAGGAGTGGCTGAAGGTAAAACATGCAGTGTTGTGGAATGCAAGGATGCTCCGGAGACATACACAACTGATGATGAATGTGGTAAATATAAGAGCAGTTGTGTGACAACTGGTAAAGGATGTACCACTTCAAGAGGAGCATGCTCTTCATATAAAGGCACTTCAACAACTTGTGACGGGTATCTTGGATCTGATGGTAAATGCAAGGGAGCCTCAGATGCTGAAGCTGCTTGCTCTGCCAAAGTTTGCAAGGATGCAGATAATACATTAAACACAGATGCAAAGTGTGAGGAATATCAAACGGGTTGCAAAACAACAGGCAAGGGTTGTACCTCTACTTTATCAACTTGTTCTTCTTATACTGGAGATGCCACGAGTTGCGATGGATACGTAGGAACTGATGGCAAGTGTGCAGGAGGAGCTAGCAGTGGCAGTTGTTTCCCAAAGAAATGTTCAGATGCTCCTAATACTCTAACAACAAACGAGGATTGCTCAACTTATCAAACTGGATGCATTGCTACTGGAACTGGAGGTTGCACTGATGCCGGTGCCTGTAGTAGTCTATTAAATAACAGCCAATGTGATGGTAAATCAACATGCTAATGGAAACCCTAATGTGTAACAAATGGGGATTGCACTGATCTCAAAACTGAAATTTTATGCAAGACTGTGACTCTATAAAATTCTAATACTTGCTGGTGGGTGGGTGGTAGTTGCGTGCCCAGAACTTGTGATCAAGCACCTAACACATATAATACAGATTCTCAATGTGATGCATTCTTGAAAGGTTGCTTGACTAAGAAAACAGGTTGTGTTGCATCAAATGCTTCTTGTTCTAGTTATTCTGGAACTAAAGCTACATGTGAAGGATTTACAATTAAATGCACTAATACTAATAGTGCTACTGATACTAGTGCATGCATTGATCCTGTATGTACAGATAATACTGATGCTACAACAGATGATGCCTGTAAATCATATCATGCAACTTGTTTAACAAAAGGAACTGGATGTATTGCAGCTAGTGCAAATTGTAGTGCTTATCCTGGAACCAGCACAGATATTTGTGGTAAGTTTACAGGGAGTAATAAAACAAAACCTTGTTGGTGGAAAAGTCCTGCAACTACTTGTGCAGACAAAGCTTGTAGTGATGCTGATGGCACCTATACAACTGATGAGTTATGTGATAAGTTCTTGAAGGGATGTGTGACAACAGGAAATGGATGTGTTCCAAGTTCTTAGAATTGTGATGCTTATACAGGATTGAATTAAACAGGTTGTGCTGCCTTATCAAAAGGATGTGCTAAAAGAGAAGCCTGTACAGCCGAAGTTACATGTTCTGGTATCACTGGCGCAGCTAATTAAGCTAGTTGCGATGCAGTCTTACCAAATAAGTGTGTCTTTTTTAATAATTCATGTGTTGCAATAGGACTTTGTAGTACTTATGCTGGAACTTCAGTGGCTGCTTGTAAGGATCTAGTCAATTCAAGTGGTGTAAAGTGTTATTGGACAGATGCTACTCCTAATGCTTGTACTGAAAGAGCATGCAGTTAGATTGCAAGTCCAGCAGATCAAAAGACTTGTACAGATCATAAATCTAGTTGTGCAAGGATGTCAAATGGTTCTGCATGTGAAGAAGCTACATGCACTAATGTTACTTCTCCCGCTACTGAAAAAAACTGTTAAGACTATCATCCTACATGCCATTTTGGTAAGGTAAATGACGTTGCAGTTTGTTCTACTGGATCTACCTGTGCTACATTTGGTAAATCAAACACTGCTTCATGTTCTACTATTATCACTGCTCAAGGTGGTTAATGCAAATCAAGTACAACTGTAACCAATAATTGTGAAAATGATGTCTGTACTGGTACTGCTTAAAATGATTGCAATACAAAAAAAGTTGTTTATACATCTACATTTCAAGGAACTGCAGCTGCTTAATTGTGTTTCTATAGTGGATCTACCTGTGTAGAAAGATCGTGTGCAAATGCAAATACTCATCTTGGAGTTACTGTCTCATCATTTTCATAATGTAACTCATATTATGAGTTATGTGTATTCTCAAGGCCATCTACTGGTCCTACTTGTGTCAATGGAAATGCTGCTGATGCAAGTACTTCTGGATGTACTCTAGTTTAGGGTACACAAGAAGAATGCTTGACTTTAACAGGTAAATACAAAACTCCTGCTGGTGTTTGGGAATATAGATTATGCTAGTCGCATGGTTCGGCTGGTACAGCTAATTGTTTGGATAGATAATGTTCTTAAAAACCAGATGGAAAAACTGATGCTATTTGTTAGGCATGGCTTCCAACTTGTAAGACTGATGGAAATGGTTGTGTTGATATAACGACAACATGCACATCAATGTCAGGAACTACAGAGAGTTGCTAATTACTTACAGGTCTAGTGTTGGGATCAAAATGCTAAGGTAATAATACATCTACCACCACTGGTACTTGTGTTGCTAGAAGATGCTAAGACAATGGAACAGCCACCACAGATGCTGATTGTAAGAAATATTTAGATGGTTGCATTACAACTGGTAAAGGATGCATTCCAAGCACCACTCCATGTTCTGGCTAATGGGGAAATCAAGATGGATGTAAATTACTAACTGGTAATGATAAGCAATGTTGGAGTTTGTCTTTAACTACTAAAGGAGCATGCATTGATAGAACTTGTGCTCATAACACAACTGCAACTACTGATACTGATTGCGCTGCCTTCATGAAAGGATGTGTTACAAAGAGACCAGGTTGTATTGAGTCCACAGCTGAGTGTACATCCTATTAAGGAGTCTAAGCAGATTGCGAAAAAGCTGTAGGTAATGGTAAATCATGTACAAATGATTCAACTGCCACTGCTACAACATCTTGCAAAGTGAAAGATTGCACTAAATTGGCTGTTGATGCTTATTCCGAATCAGTATGCTAAGCTTATGGTTTATAATGTCATTACAATGGATCAAAATGTGATGTCATCACGACATGTTCATAATTGAAGGGCAACTTTATCTCTTGTACTTAATACGTAGCTTCAGATGGACCATGTGTTGGTACAGCACTCTAAACTGAAACCCCAACAAGTTGTACTGCTGCTAAGTGTTCAGATGCTCCTGTTACTCTAACTACTGATGCCGAATGTGATGCATACAAAAAAGGATGTAAAACAAATGGTCGTGGTTGTGGTTCAGCAATTTTATGTGGTGATGTATATTCTACTTCATCTTGTACTGCTCTTAAAAGCGGAAATGATTTTACTTGTGCCTGGGCTTCATAATGTAGAGACGTTCAAACAACTTGCAGTAGTTACACTGCAAATGGATAAAGTGTTTGTGCTAGTTCTAAAACTACTGCAGGATTTGGTGTTTGTATTTGGAAGAATGGCGCTTGCACAGAAGCAAAATGTGAAGATTTACCATTGTCAGTAGGTTCAGAAACAGATTGTACAGATTATTCTAGTACTTGTACTTTTGCTGGAACAGGAAATGGTTGTGTAACTAAAGGTGCATGTACCAGTTATATAAGAAAGGAAGTTTGTTCAGCTGCAAAATCAACAGATTCAATTGGAAGTTGTACTTGGGATGAAACTGTTGTAACAGGTACCTAAATAAAAGGATGCAGAGCGAAGGATTGTTAGGATGCAGCAGTTACATTAGTAAATGATGCTGATTGTGATGCATTCATTTCAGGTTGTGTTAGTAATGGTGCTGGATGTATGAAATCTACATTCACTTGCGACATGTTTAAGACTTAGGCAAAATGTCTTAAAGACTCTTCATTATAACCATGTCTCTGGAACGATGGTGCATGCCAATAATACTACAGATGTTCCGATTTATCATTGAAAACAGTAACAGCCTGTTAAGCAGCCTCCAAATATTGTACTACTGATGAAAGCAAATGTACTCCCTTAAAGATTTGCAGCAATTACACCAAATAAATATAATGCTCAATTGGTTCTGATGGTGTTTGTGGTTGGGTGACTTCTACAAAGAAATGCCAACTCTTTACCTAATGCACAGACTTAGTCTCTAAAGTAAGTAACGAATGTTCAGCCTTCAATGCTAAATGTATTAGTAATGGAACAAACTGCATCGATATGGGTGAATGCTCTACATATGCTGATAGTGAAACTGCTTGTAAGATTGGAGGAACTGATGGTACATGTTAATTTGATAAGGATACTTCAGCTTGTAGATTGAGATAATGTTCAGATGCATCTACATCTACTTCAACCCATAATGGATGTTTTGGATATTAGATTAACTCAACTACAAAATGTACAACTGATGGATCTAAATGTATTGCTTTGGCTGATTGTGCCTCATATACAAAATAAGCAGGTTGCGTCATTGATAGTTAATTCAAGGCTTGCTCTTGGGATACTGCAGCCAAATCATGCAAAACAAAGACTTGCTCAGATACTAAGAAGACTAAGAGTTCTGAATGCGCTGCTGCCTTAGCTGGATGCATATCAGATGGAACCAAATGCATAGATCAAGGAAAGTGTGCAGATTACACCACCAAAGAAGCTTGTACTGCTGGTGGAACAGATGGAGCATGTGCATTTACTGCAGCATCAGGATCCACAACAACTGGAACATGCAAACTATTTTCATAATGTTCAGATGCCAATTCAGATCAAACTGCTTGCCAATCCAAATCTTTAACTTGCAAATGGACTGCTGCAGTCGGCACTACTGCTAGTTCATGTTCCAATCATACTTGTGATTCGGCTGCTAAGGGAACTGCAAAATGTGTCACCATCCCTAGTTTCGATGGTAAGAAATACACAGTTTGTTAAGTTCAAGGAGGAAAGTGTGTCACTGGTGATCCAAGTTCCTTAACTTAAGAGACATGTTATAAGATGAGTTAATATACTTATAGTTGGAATGCTAACACTAAGAAATGTGTTGCTTGTGGATCTGGAGCCAGTAGCAACAACAATACCACCACAGTAGATAACAATTCAACTAATGTCACTGATCCTATTTCAACTGATCATGGATCATATCTATATGTTTTGCCCGTCTTGATTTCCTTAAGTTTCTGATGAAGAAAGTGAAATTAAATATTAAAAGAAAAATCATTATTTATCTCATCATTTCTTCTTATTACTTATTTCTATACATTAATATTTACTAATTTTTTTAATGTCTAATACTCCTAAAAATAAAGTAATCCCTACTACAGATTATAGGAAGAAGTCTAGATTAAAAGAAATCTAAGCCAAAATGAAACAGAAAATGATATAGTCTGGAGCTCAAACTCAATCTCAAAATAATACTCGTTTTAGTGTCTTGGAAAATAAATTAGGTCTCAGGGCTTTATCAAAATCAGACAGGTTTGATGTTGTACTCAAGGAATTTAAAGGACTCGACACTTTTTTTACCATTAATGAACTATTGTAGGAATTAAATACTGTTGGTGTGGATGATAGAAAAACTGAAATCTAAAGAGACAAAATTAAGATATTGTTAGAATAAGAAAGAATTAAAAGGTGGAAAACTCAATTCCCTTAACATTTAGAATTCGAATCAAATACAAGGTTCAGTGTTAAAAGTGAACTCCTCCTAAAAGCAAGAAACTAGTTGGATTTGGAAAAATATGAACCATAATTATTTGAAACTATTCAAAATCTTAAACCATACCTTAAAGACAAATTCAAAGATATAGATTTGAGAGAAAATCCATAACTTCAACTATTCAAGGACATCACTGACATTAGATAAATTGAAAAAGAATAAAAGAAAAGCATTTTGGCCAGATTGAATACTAATATTGAAAGCATAACACAAATTCAACCATCAAAAGAAGCTAAAAATCAAGATTATTATGATACCTTCTAAAGTGAAGCAGACAAATTAAGAGTTAGACTCAGAGAACAATAATTGGAATTTTTTAATAAAAAATGGGGCAACTCTATTGTTAAAATGAAGGTTAAAGATTAGCAATTTAAAAGACAAGCCCAAAATAATTTTAAAAGAATGCAAACCATTTAAGTTTAAAATTAAGAGAGAAGAAAAAAGGCAGCCAGAGAAACCATTACAGATCCATTTATGAAAGAATTGATTTCTGATGTATGTTATGAGGAAGCTGAAATGATGGAAGAGAAAAAAGAAATTCAATAGATCTTCCGATAAATGTAGCAGACTCATGATGGTTTTTATAAAAAATATGAAGATCCAGAAGTAATAGGATTGAGAATGATTACTAAATGAACTATATAAAATAATTCATTCTTTAATTGTATTCTTATTTTATTATATGTAATCTATTATCAATGAATAAAGTAAAAGTAATTCACCACCAATGAATTCAAATACTTATTTGTAATATATTACTCTTTTAAATAGTTTTCAAAGAATAATAAAAATCTTAAATTTTTTCTTTTTATTAATTATAAAAGATGAAATAATTCAAGAGTTATTTCCAATCATTAGTTAGTATATTATTAACCTTTGAGACCTGATTCATCTTATCAACCTAAGTCTTATTTTGGCCTATTAACAAGAAAATTTACTTATTCAAATTATCTTTACTGTTTATGATTCAATAAGAATTAAGCAGATTGATTCAGACTCGAATCTTCCAAATTGTTCATAATATAAATATTCAGTACCTAGATTCAATTCAACCTTAATGAGCTTTATTGAGTAACAAATTTCTTACAGCATTTGGTTTATTTTAGAATAGATTATAATCTATTTATCTTTGAAGGATCATCTTTCTAATCATTCTAAACCTGTCTTTGTTAAGCATTTTCATAATTTAATTAATCAGTTTTACGCTCGTCATCTGATGCAGTATATTTCAACTTTTTTATATTCCCAATTTAAGAATTCTAATACTAATTTCTAATAACTGAGAACAAGAATCCTGTGGGTATATAAAAAGATATAAATACTTTTAAAAAACAAATCCAATCAAAAATTAAGATATTAAATATATATTATATATGCGTATAAAAATTTAAATATCTTGGTTACCCAATCATTAAAAATCAGAAATTAATAAAAAGTAGATAAGTGTTTTTACATTGATTATATGTAATTAATACATTTATTGAAAAAATAATTACAATAGATCTTAAAGATATTTGAAAAATTACGATAATAATAATTAATATCAATTATCATTGAATAAAAATTATTCAATTACTACTGATTGTATTTTCTTCCTCTATATAACAAGTTTCTTAATATTGTCTTTTCTTTTAATATAAATCTTTCGGATATTCTCTCAAGTTTTTGGTCGTACCTTGAATGTAACTCTGAACTAACTAATCCTATTGGTCTTCAGTTGATTGAATTGAATTATGTTAAACCTTAGAAATTGATTTCCTTCTGTTTTTTTCATATAATTAAAAATTTATTTCATTTGTTTATTCATCTTCATGAGTATCATGATTTAATTCTGATGAAGATTAAATATTCTAAGAATCTTATTCCCAATCATACTGTAAGCGTATTTTTTCCTAATTCTTTACATCTCTTAGGATCTTATCGCACAATTAATTCCCTTTTTAACATTTGCACTTAATTTAAAGCATTTCAACTGCTTTTTTCACAGCCAATAATGAATTCTAATTATCTATTTTTTATTTAGCCAATAGCTCTTATAACCATGTATTTTATTGTATTAATCTACTAAATTAAATGGAAAACTCTTTATGCATCAATTTCATCCTATGTTTGAGTTCAATTTCCTTTTATTTTTATTGGTTTAATTAATTTGCTAGTACTCTATTTGATAAGGTTGCCTCTTTTAATTTCTTTTCAAGATGAGTACATTTATTATTTGTAGAAGGTCTAAAAGATCTAACCTCTGATTATTTATGATATTCAATAGCATTTTCAACAAAATTTAGAAATTCTCTCTCATCATGATATTTTTTGGCTGTATCCCTTTAAATAGGTTCCTTCATATAATCAGTTCTGGAGTTATTTAGTTTAAAAAATTGGTCAAATAATTTGTCTTCATCCAATTCTTCTCTATCATGCAACAATGTAATTTGACGATAGGAATTTTAATTATTTTCAAGAGACGATTTTGCTCTTTGACTCTTAGAGTCTAGACTCGGTTTTCTTCTTTATTAAAAAGTTCCCTAGTTGAATTAATTATCCTTATTAAAGTATTCAGATAAACCAAATGACTATTAATCATTTGGAGATTTCTTATGTCTGAGTTCTCTATAACTTATTATTAAATAGGATACTTGCATAATTTATGCCTTGTTTGCTTGACAGTTAACTTAGCGACATTTAATTAAAATTTATATATATAAAATCAAATTTCAATAATACTAGAGGTTCTAAGAAAATCAAATTTAAAATTAAATAAGTAATAATGAAACCATTCGATTTGATAATGCTGTCATTTGACTTAATTTTAATCGACAGTAGAAATTATTTCTAATAAACGATGCCTACCAAGCCAAAAATAGTTTTAGATATGGAATTACGCTGCACTTTGAATTCCTATAATTAAATTTTATTCAAATAATATATTTATAATAAAAATGGATGAGCGAATGTCAGAAAAATTAAGCAGGGCTGAATCCAATCTAAGCTTCCATGCCAATATTAATAACACAAACCTTTTGAATGAGACATAAGAATTAATTCCTAGTGCCTCTAAGATTCCTCCACAAGCATTATGTGGTATTTACGTAATATGTTAATTATTGCAACTAATGATTGGATACTCCTTAGTTTAAAATATTGATGCAATTACAATAGCTACATAAAGATGCATCATCAAAGTTATAATGACTTTGATGTATATTTAATTTTTTGACAAACGTCTTTTTCATCTGGACTAATCGTCCTTCAGAGTGATAGGCGCTATGGCAGGATGTCAAGTCATCGCTTCCTTAGTCGGATTTTGGGCGATGTAAGATTATTTATGAATTTAGGATTTATTTCCCATTTTCAGAAATTTGTGCTTTTCATTAATTGACTCCAGGATATATATAGGTCTTTAACCATTTTCTTTATTAAGCAGGAAATTAACTAAATTTGGTTATTTCCTTGATGCAAACTCTATCAACTTTACTCTTTGGTCAAAACTTACTATATGTGTTCGTATGCCTACTCTAACCAGCATGTTTGGCATTCTCTCATGTGATTAAATTTCTGATGAGTAAACAACTTCCTTTTTTCACTTTGATGCTGTACTAAAGTCTTTTTGGTTTGCCAGTATATATTCTACTCAATCTGATGGCCCAAGAAGTGTAAAATATATTTTCTGGTGCATATTTTCTGTATAATATTTTATGATCAATTTCTAGTGAAATAACATTCATGACTATTTTATAGATGGTTGGCTACATAGCTTAAAATGAAATTTAAGCTTAGAAGACTATAAAAATGTGGATCTTGCCTGGAGCAGTCACAATATTATCGTTGTTTGTTCAATTAGGATACCATTAAGTAGATTTAAATTATGGTACTCTTTCTATCATTTTTATTGTGTTTACATCCATTAACAATGAGAAATGATTATTCTTAAAATTTAGATTATTTAATATTTTTATTATCTTAAAATACTCATTCAAAAATGGAATAATTCATTCCATCAAAGTACTATTTATTACGATAGTAAGAATATCACAATAACTAAAGAAATTATATTATATATAAATAGTAATAAATAGATCAATTTACAAACCTTTATATTGTAATATAATAATTGGAAAAGCACTTTTATTTTAAATTTACCCTAAGATAAAAATATGAAATCATTTTTAATCTAAGTTTAAAGCGACTAAATACAAAAACAATGATTTGAATACTTATATAAAATTCACAATTTTTATTGGTTACAATAGAAGTTTTCTTATGATCAATAATTATTAAAAATCCAAATTATTCTTAATTCTATTTGTAATTCCATAAAACAGATTTTAACTATAATTTTCTTGAATGAACAGTTAATAACTAAGTGTGACATTGCTATAATTCATAGATAGAAGCACTAAGACCATACATTTTTTAAGTTAAAGTAAAATTGTATAAAATACATAATTATATAATCTATATAGTAGCTCTATCAAATCGATGAGGATGACGATTAGTGTGTATTTAAATTTGATTTATACTAAATATTTTCCTTTTAATTAACAGTTAAAATTTAAAATATAATAATGTAAGACTATAGGGGGAATTTCAAAAGAATTGAATTCGGTATATAATAAACTCCTGCTAAATCAACAGCAAATATGAATGATTTTTAATCATCTTAAAAATTGAAATATGACTAAATGAGCAATAAACCTTTATCTTCCAATATCAGTTTTATTAATGCTCCTGTTACTACAGTCTCAAAAGAGCTTTTCACTTTGTAAATTCCTGTAAAAGTGAAATAGTTGACGGATGATTGGAATACACAATTAATTTTGAAAATGATCATGCAATAGAGTTAATAATAGGCTCATGGTTAAATCTTGAGGATTGAATTGACAGATGATAACAATTTACAGTTTTTGTAGATACTTGATTTGACAGAAAGTGAATTTTTGGTATTAAAAAATGAATAAAGTCTGCATGTCGATTTTGCCACTTTTCCAATGAAACTTGCAGATTTGTTATAGTTGTGCATAAATAGTTAAAGAGATGAAAAAGTGAAGTAAAAGATGCAAGATTATTTAGTTTTTATGTTTGCTTGGAAACCAAGAACGGAGAATCTACACTTGCAGTAATTGAAAATAATGAGTTTAAAAAATTGACCCATTTATCTTTGAGACTACGTAGTGCAACAGACGATGTGATCAAAGTGTTCTTATCCAATAAATTAGCAATAGAAAAATAGGAAAATGAAGAGCACCAAAAAAGAAACAAAAAATTAACTGAGTTGTTGGAGGAAAAACATTGGGAACTAGAAAATTTGAAGTCTGAAGTCAGAAAATTCACAGAGGATAAAGATACAGCCATATAATAATTATTATTAGATGAATAAAAGAAATTCAATGATTTTAGAGAATAAACTTTGAGTAAGGAAACTAATTTTAAAAGGGAGAGTGAAAATGAAAAACAATTTATTATTGAAAAATACGATAAAATTGTATTTGAATTATAGAGCAAATACACACAATTATAATAGACTAATTAAGAATTATCTGAATAAAGATCTCTACTTATTTAATAGGAGAGGGATCTCAAAAATAAAGTAGCGATTCTTCAATAAGAAACCTCACAATATTAAAAAGAGAATTAAGAATTTAGATAATTGAATAAAGAATTAGATATACTAAAATTTACTTAAGAGAGACAATTGATAGAATTGAGAATTTAAAAGGAAGGATTTGAAAAATTAATACATGATAAGGAAGAATATTTGAATAATAAATAATAGTTAGTAGAAAATGAGAAAAAATAAAATGTAATATATTTATGTATATTCCAAGTCTATTCTTGAAGAATAAGTTATAAATTAAAAAAAATAAATAGAGAAACTCGAATCCAGAATCAGTGTCATGAGTGAGGAAGTAAACAAAGGAAATTAGATCATTGAAAAACTGGAAAATGAGCTTAGCAAATAAAAAGAAAAAATTAAATTAAAAAATACTGTTTTCCTCTAATAAGAGTAAACTGTATAGTAGTTATAAGATGCAAATGATTTAAATCATAAATAAATCAATGAATGTAAAATTAAATACTAAAATTAGTAAGGAGAGAAAAAGACTCTTTAGT